AAGAAGTTACATTTCTTAGTGGGATTTCAGTTGGATCAATATGTTTTCACGCATTTTAAGGTTTGGTGTCAGTCATAACCAATCAATAAATCCATGTTTGTTTTCATTGAACAAGACTGTCTCACACTCTTGCTAAGCCTGCTGTTGCAGAAACCAAGTCTGTCACTCAGAAAATACGCCAAAGTCCCATTCATTCCCACCAGGCTGTTCAGACTGCAATCAAAATCTGGTTTGAAAAGATCAGATTTTGTGTGACTTTCACTGTTCTAACGTCATAAAAAGAGAAAAAATCTGTAAAAGCAGCGAGTACTGTGATTATATTCATGTGGCTATGACAGTCTGTTAGCCTCTCGTTCAATTAATACATTGTAGTTGTTTTATATTGTAAATCCAAATCAACCAGCTGCTTGTTCTTGAATCTAAAACTAGCCTGAGGAAAAAGCCTTGCGAACTAAAAAGTCAAATTATTGCAGCCACTCAGAGTAAAAGCTTAGCTTGTGTTAATCTGTTGCTCGGTTAATGCTTGAGCAAGAGGTGCTTAAACGTGGACAGATTAATAGCCCTCTAATACTGCGTCTTAGATCAAAGTGTCCGAGAAATGTCATGTATTGTCCCCGTTGCTACTGGCTTCCATGCTGGCCGAGAGCAGCCGTGAGTCAGCCTGCGCTAGCCCCCTGCCTCATGCTGAAATCAGAGAAACCACAAGAATGTAACAGCTTCTGTTATTATCCCTCCCTGCTGCCTCGCTGCCTGATGCCCCAGAAAATGGGAATGAGGCTGCCTGTCTCTCTCTCTCCCTCTCTCACACACTTACAGTCTTGTTCTCATGTTCTTTCTGTCTCCTCATTCTCATCTCTCCTCACACATATACCAATTCTCTCGGGGTACGGTTGTCCATTTTGCTCAGCTTACTTTCCGCACACGTAGATACAATGTAAGAGCACATACAAAGATCCTGACGGTGCGAAATCACATGTGCTGCTTTTTTGTTTTTCCTGTAGAGATTTGCTACGACCCCAGGGGCACCAGACACATAGAAACATCTAGAAAAAAATGCCCATAGAAAGATCAAGCTGACGCAGTACATACCTAGCTAGCAGACAAACAGCTGTATAGAAATAGATTTAAACACTGACGAGCTTTCTGCCTTGAAGTCCCAAATTCAGAGCTAATGAGAAAACATAAATATGGCATAAATGCATCCCATTGGCCGATTACTGTAACTTAAACAAGGTGCCATCCAACTCCATAGAAACAAGAGTTCTTTGCATCAGAAAATAGCTCTCGCAAACTGCATGTGTTATGTTGGCAGCTGTACACCTAAGACGTTTATGTGCTACAGAAAGCTGACTCAGCAGCTCCTTTTTTAAAACTTCTAAGTGATACCTTTCCCGGGGCCTTCAATATTTCTTTTTTTCGTTGCATCTGTGAGACGGCTGCCGGTTTAGTTCTCACACTAAGGACAAACAGGAACTGAAGCTGGAGTAGATAAGGCGTCCACGCCTGTTTTTATTACTTGGGTGACACAATGGAGGCAATATTTTAAAAAGCTAATGTGTCAGAAGGGGCGGGGATTGAAATGCAGGTCTACAACAAGCTCTGCTGATACTGTGATTACGTCTTATGGATATCTCAGATTGTGTCAAATCATGGGTCAATAAATTACTTAATTTATCATAACTTTTACTGTGTTTTCTTGAAGAGGTTACCGTTCCATAGGGATGCACCGATCTGATATTTGGATCGGATATCGGCTCCGATATTGACAAATTAACTGTATCGGATATCTGATGAATGACGCCAATCCAGCCTCTTTTTCTTTTAATTAATTTTTCTTTTAATACATGGAAGTCTTACTTCTTTTTGCTGTGTGCTAATGCGCAATTTATTTGTTAATAAATAATATTAAGTAAATTTATATCTCTGTTAATTTGTTACCTTTTTTTAACATGGCTTATGTCAAGCCTGATGCCTTCACTCATATTATTGGATTGGATTGGTATTGGATATCGGCTGATACACTAAGCCCTGGTATTGGTTCGGATTGGATCGGAAAAAAATTGATCTGTGCATCTCTACTGTCCACATTTTCAATCTGTCACTAGTTGGGCACTAAAAGCTACCAGGTGTGTTTCAAGTATATCAGCCAATCATTGTATCAAGTATTGATAGTGGCTTGGATCATAAAGGATCTCCATACCTGTATGTCCTTTAAAAGGAGGACTTTCAGTGATTTATACTAAATTTCAACAGTTCAGCGTTCACTATTCAGACCAAATTAACAAACTTAGATCATATGAATCCATGTTTACCGCACTCATGAAGCAGCTTTGGTCCTGTAAACCATCTATAACTCATTATAAGACAGCAAACTTTGGCTCAGTAGGACTTACTTTATATGCTTTTTTACATTAACAGTGCCAGTTGCTTAACAGCCTTACTGCAGTGTTAATGTTTACAGTTGCAATGTCTCTAAATCTTGTTGCAAAACGAGAATGGGGCCCTGAGGAGAGGGGGAGCTGGGAAACAATATGCCTCTGATTTTAAGCATCACGGACTAAATGTAAGGAGCATTTGCAAAAGAGTAAATGATCTATGAAGCAGGTAGAGTGAGACAAAAAATAATGTTATATAGGGATAAATCTCCATCCTGAGACTTGCAAAATTCTGGTGTAACACAAATGATATTATACTTTGAATAGAAGGCACAGATTTCCCTCCTGATTAGACTCAGTGTCACTATTTCATGACTCCTTGCAGTGGGGCTGATGACTCTTGTCCTTTACATGTTTTGATTAATCCAAAACAATGTTATTTAATTACGTTATTGTCTCACTAATAATCAATTATCACACAATCTCCTTACTGTGATAGCGTTGTAACTGTTGCAGCAAATTTTCCTGTTAAAAATTTTAATTTCTAACAAACTAGTCAAAGGGAAAGAAACTCTGACATTTAGTCGACTAAAACGCCCACAGCTCAGTGACCCTGCCATTCCCGCTCTTTCATGTAGCTGCTTAGCTCCATAGCATGCATTTCATCCAGCTTGCGTAAAAATAATCCTTCACCTTTTCATTACTCACAATATATTGTGAAAGAGTGGAAATTTGTCGGACTGTATAAATCAAAAAAACTCCCACAACAACCCTTTTAGTGCAGAGTGTGCAGCAGAGGTTATGCTCATCCAGCCAGGTTGAAGAGAGCCACCTGTGTGACATTTACAACCCTAGCTTTAGGCACAACATACCTCCATAACCCTTTAATCTCGCTTTAAAGCACACCCCTCTGATTTATTGTGAAAAAGCTCGCTCCGGGAGAGGATCACCCCTATCATCAGGGTGTGACTCTGTGAGCCCTGATGTCAACAAAGAAGCACCAGGAGGTGAACATAAATGTTTGTGAGTGTTGATGTTTGAGTTTTGAAACCATGTATCTTTACATATACTGCTGATCTTTACCCTCTTGCGTTTGTTGCTGCATCATCTTACATATACACAAACATTTTCACAGCCCACATGTATGTACATTTTACCTCTGTTGACTAAACAAAAGAAACAGCAAAGATAAAACCTTAACATACGGGTGACACGCAGTTAAAATTGAGAGAAGAAGAAGAAAAGTTGGAGGTTGTTGGTTGAAAACATCGGTAGTTCTTGTTTGAGTTGGAAATGCAGTCCCTTTGCGTTTTCCTCCACAGATCTCCAAGCAAAACAAGGAGCGGATAAAACAAGGTTTCGCCATATAAACTGCGGATGTTCCAGAAATAACCCTGTCAAGTGTCATACAGAATCACATTACAAGAGAGCAAGGAACTAGAAAATGGCAACCAACTTAACGCCTCTAGAGTTCCATTAAATCAAGAAACCAAAATGTAAGTCATTCACTGTCTCTAATTCTGCTCATTGGAATAAGCATGACCTATTTCTGACTGGGAGACATGAATTATTTGAGGTTGGAAACTTGAGGCTCTCTAACCTCCAAAGTCACCGTGTACGAGCTCCACTTTTGCAATTTAATCTAGTTCAACTTTGGAAAAACTTTGTTTTTCTTTAACCTCAGCTGGTCACATTTCACCTCAACCTCTGGGATCGACACAATTATCACGAGGGGAGCACAGCAGAAGAAGGAAGGCTATCCAATTTTGGCTCTGACCCACTCCCCTTAAGCAACTGTGTCCTTTGACCCCCCCGAGGTATTCAAGTCTCTTTAAGCAGCTGTTTCAAAGGCAGACCTGGGGATCTAAAGCTGACACACACAGACAGACACACGCCCATATTAAGCTCAGGTTGCACAAGCAGCAGGTTATAATGTGCACCTGGCAACACATCTACAACTCTTCGCTAAGTAAGTCGCAATGCATGAAATCGTGTGTGGGTTCTGTGTGTAGACGTGCAGGGACTGGAAGGTGTTGCTCGGTGTGTATTCAGTTTGGTTTGGATGCAAGGGGAAGGATGACAGTGAAGGGGAGGACAAGCCAAAGCACGCACTGGAGCATAACTCTTGAGTAAAGAGTAAGGAGCCAGCTGTACCTGCATACCTGAGGAGTGTAAAGGTGGGGGTGGGGCTGCTAAACCAAAGAGAGACAGAGAGAGAGAGAAAGAGAGAAAGAGAGGGATCCTATCCTATCGTTGAAAACATTCTGGTTAAATCACATGAACTTTAGTGTAAAACTGTAATCATTTAATGTCATGATGCACCCAAACATTTACAGTCCCAGTCTCTCATGGTGTTCGGGATAAGTTCTGGTGAGTGTTCTGATAGTGTGGTGACCATATAAACATTGTTGTTTTTACGATTTAATCCACGTTAGACGCCTGCAGTGATGATCTTCAGTTGCTCTGTACAAAGGCTGTTCTTAAGTGACTCATTATGTTGGAACTGAAAATTACTAGTAACTGCAAAAGGTTAGAAAACACTCATAACACTGTGAAAATTCGGCACAATTTAGGTACACCTGTTTTGCCTTCACAGAGAATATGTTAAAAACAAGAGAAAAGGCATGGGAAGAAATAAGATACACAAAGTCAGCTGACAGCCTACATTTTTAGCTTCAACATCCTCCTTCCATGGATCATTCACTTGTGTTTTGTTACGTCTAGCCGTCTTTATCTCCCGTTCCTCTGTTTACCCAACCATCTATTCAACTCTCCATCTCATACCCCGTGATCATCAATGATCATATAAATCCTTTAATGTCTTTATGTTGTGCTGCCTTAATCCCACCTCTGCAAGGCAAGCTAAGTCCATCTCGCGGCCCTCTGACTATAATCTCGCCAGCTTTATCTCCTGCCTCTGTTGGCATAATCTTGCTCTGCGTTTTTCAGAAACTGGGTTAGAACACACAAGTGACTCATAATAGGGCAGATACCGGTGATGAATTACAGCAGATATCTACGGCCTCTATTTAGGTTGCCATGGCTTACAGGCTAGTGGGCTAGTGGAGTAAAGAGTCAATCGCCCTCGATAAATCTGAGCTGTGAGAGTTATTTGGATGTCGATCTAAGAAAAAGTTGAATTAAAAGTTAGAAACATCTTCAGGAGACTACAGAGTGATATTCAGAGTGATTTGTTGTTTGTTTTTTGTCTTTTTATCACATGCTAGCATTGATGGTTGTTTCTTTATGTTGATGAAACTGTCAGACTGAAGAAAGAAGACAAATTCAACCGTTTTCTGTCATTTGCTCATTACATGATTGATTCTTGCTTTATTGTAAACAGCTCCAACGTTTAAAAAGACAGTCAAGTCCTCGCTTACAGTGTGACAGGTGTTCACACTGTTGTGTTTATCAGTACTTCTGTGCTCCATGTGCCTGAGATACAAACTTAAAAAAGACAGCTGGTTATTTAGAGTCTGGGCGAGTGTGTAGATCATGGTTTTGTTGCAGCCACTTACTTTTACCAAAACAAATGCCTTTACAGGCTCTTACACATTGCCCGTTCAAGTTGGATATTTCTGCCTATTTCATGTTGACTTAAACGCCAGTCATACATTCAGCCACCCACCATGACCTGGATGTGTAGTCTACTTAATGCCTCAATGCTATAATACCCAGAAGTAAACAGAACAGACTGCAGATAGAAGCAGTTTTGCAGTATGTTGATCTAGAAAATGGAGGTGATTTGATCGAAGTAATGTATTAGGAGTAGAAGTTTATATGCAATAAGGTGAGAAGGCTGGTGGAGTTCGCTCTACCGTTAGCGACACACTCTTTTTCTTATCTCATCTTTAGACTGGTCCGCTGGTCAAATAAATACCAGTTTGAGTGACTAGGAATCTACACGCCAGTCGCAACAACACAAAATAGACAGCGGACATGGTCAATGTGTAGCGTTGGAGCATTCAGGGTGGAACAGCTCTGTGTGTGTTCTGCTGAGCTTTCTGGACACAGCTATTGAGACTGGCTCCCATGGTGTGGATTCAAGGCAGACGTATAAACTAGACTGAACTAACTTACTTTTTTAGTTAACAGTGACAATGAAGGCTTAGCGCAGGTTTGCTGGGCTTTGGGTAATACAGGAGACTCTTTAAGAACTGATGATAAGGGCATCACACATGTATGTTAAGTTACAATTCTCCTTAGTGCTCCTATACTTGAATATAACTTCTTATTGAAAGTATTGAGTGTGTTTATGTGTGTGACTAAATGAGTGAGAGACAAAGTAAGACGTAGTGGGTCTCTAGCTCCTTTCCCTGACTGGATAGCATGCTGTTTTGGCTAAACCATTATGACTGCCTGCAAACTGAAAGCACCATTACCATAATATGCAGTTACACTGAATTAGTTGTGCATGTTCCAGATAACACTGAGCAGAGAGAGAGAGAGAGAGAGAGAGAGAGAGAGAGTGAGGGAGGGAGGAAGAGAGTAGGAAGGGAGAAGAGGTGACGCTCATTTGACATTAAAACATTCATATTAAAATGTTAAGAAGTATCACAAGTACAAACTCAACCACTAACCTCCTCTCTAAAGAAAGGCTCTATTACTGGATTTGAACATTTTTCTTACATATGACCTGAATTGAGGACAAGCATGCAGTACATTTTTATTTCTGACGCTGATACTACAACCAAAAGCCCTGTGGATCCCCCACATAATACTAGGACTGTTTAAAACCCACTCAGAAGTCACGTCAACAATAATATGTCCCTTTTTTTCTTTCCATTTAGGATGTCTAGATCTGTCCCAGCACCTTCGTCCTGGCATTCTGTAGCTGTGGTATCTTACAAGGAATAAACACAGCTGTGTTTGGGGCTCAGGAGACAATTTTCACCGAGGAGTTGTGCCATATCCGCCCCAGCAACAGACCACTAACTAGCTGCCTTTCTGGAGCTATCTGGCTTGATATTTATGTGAATGGATGGCTGTTTGGCTGGTTCACTTAAGGGCTGCCAGTCAGACAGACTGAAAGCACCATAGCTCGGGACAATGATGGTGATCTGAGAGTGCTGCTAGCATGTGCCATGTGGGGCATAACTGTTCTTCTGCCAGCCAGTACCAGATCAGGCAAATTTACAAAAATACACAGTGACTGCCTTCCATCTCATTTCAGGACAACAGTCGTTTTCCTTGATGCGATTTCTGATGGAAGATGGACAACGCTGAAGGACAAAGCTGGCAAAAATCGTCGGCAACTTGGCAACAATTTGGTCAGTTTGCAGCTACTGTTAACGACGATGTCTGAACTCTGTCTGACACTGTCTCTGCTGCTTACTGCGCTCACTCCCAACTGCAAATAGGACTGTGAGCTTTCCAAAGGGGTTATAATAGAAAGGGCAGGCAGCTGGTCCTCTTGGTTAAACATGAACAGGCAGCCCTTTGACAAGGCTGTCACTGACAGTCAGCGTGGGTCACAGGGAGCCTGGTCAACACTTAAATACAGAGGAGAGTCTAACATGAGATCTTAAAGGTAAGTACCACTCACTCTAAAACATGCACAAGAAGCATTTATATAACCAAGTCATTAATTTATGCATGGTAAAAGGAGAAACTTGGCAGCACTGCTTCAACAGAGAAAAACTACAGTGACAGGAGTGTAAGTTTACTAATACAAACAGATTTAGTCATTGCTCTTGGCAATGAATCTAAGTATGATAACCAAGCGCTAGCCTCTTTGAAGCCTGATAATGTATCTCGCCTGCAGCACCCAGCCAGCAGTCTTCTCACCAGCACTGTCAGTTAACACCAATACTAAGCTGTCAGCACTGTGAGCACCATGCTGAGTGGCAGGGTGTGCCTTTACTGACGTTGAGACTTACCAGACAGAAGGTGTCAGGCAAAGATAGAGAGGAAGAGGAAGAGTCGAAAACTTCAAGGAAAGGAGAGAAGCAGGTGAACAAGACAGGGAGACATCAACTAAAAACTCAGGGTGTGTCGAGATCAAATGATCCTACACTGATACAATAAAAAGACTTAATAGAAAATAGCATTATATTAAAAAAATTAGGAAATAGTTTCTTACACCATTACACAGAGAAGTTCTAAGCACTAAGTTGCACACCTTAATTGCCTCTAGTCCCTCCCACAGTGTATACACATCCTAGCCTGGGGAGAACAATGGCTGACCTTTGACTTCTTTGCTATGTGGGCTGGTTTATGATGTTTACGCAGGAAGCCGTTTTCTTTATGCATCTCCTCTACTGGCACCAGCCAACCCTGCAGACACATCCACCACATCTGCAAAAAGGGTATGGTAATAAAGCAGCAGAGAGATCCAACGTAAAGTCGCTGTAGATTTGTTACACCTCTTGTCAAGCTACACTCAGAACTAACTAAAGACCCTATCAACCTACTAGACTGGGGATGTGGTTCTACCACTAAAAGAGGAATATTCAACTCTGGGACTCCTTCACTTCTATTCAAACAATAGAATAAGAACCAGAGATGGTTAGAGGAGAAAACAAACTGCTGGCAAAACTCTAGATGAAGCCTTATTTTTGTTTTTGGTGTCAAGCTACAGGCAATGTTGCCCAACACTTTCTCAAAATGTTGCGCATTTATCACAGGCCTGCAGGCTATGCCCCAAGACTAAAAATAATTCAAAGTGAAGACAACTGTCAGGCTGGTTGTTAGCCAGCAAAATAAAATTCGGAGGTTGAATTACAACATGCAGCTGACAATATCAGTTTAGTTTTTACAAACTGCCTTGGGATCAGATAATATCTGCCATCCTGCTCCCTTTAAATCGCTGTGCCCTCTTCTTTCAGGCGCACTTCATCCCTGCTGCCCAGGCCACACCTGTGCCCCTTGGCCCCTTGTCTCCTTCCCTCACTTCACCACCTCACTTTGTGTATCTTTCCTATCTTTCTCCGTCTCACACACACTTCTGCTGTGCTCCATTGGGATGGCAGGTTCAGGTGCGCTGCTCAAGTAAACCAAGGACAATGCCACAGGCAATTTAATCTTCACCAGCTGAGTCCAGCCGCTCTTACAACTCAGGACTCCTGATTTGGGCTCAGGATGTAGAGATATATCGCATTAAATGCAGAATTCCCATTGGCTCACCATTTATACATTTTTAACTCACATCTACATAATTTTGTTTTGACAGAAAATAAGGCTGGGTGTAAACAAGTTCAAAGTTGGAACTGGTTCGAAATTTCTGCGATTTTGTGGATTCAGAATGATTTGAGGATCTCACTTCTGCTTTTCAGTTCCTGAAAGCAGTGTAAATCTGTCAAGATTAAACCTCAGTGAGGGTTTTGGAGTTGAAGAAGTTGCACCTCTCTGCCAGGACCTGCTGTGCATCATTTGTGATGCAGTATGACAACTAAGTTATGAGGAGAGGATCACTGCACATCACAGCAGCAAGGTATCAAAACTCTGGCGAAGCTTCACAAAAAAGATGACGGCACGGCACAGCGCAACACATGTGGCAAAGACATTTCATGCAAAAGAGGAAGCACACCTGGAAAGATGAAACATTTATCTTAACACGGTGTATATTTGAAAATTCACCATATGCTATATGAAGCAGTCTGCCGTTCACAGAAACACCCTACCTACAGCTAACAGTTGCAGCCGTGGCAAATGCTCACCACACTTTGATGGAAAGCTCCCATTTGAGTTTATACTGACAAAGAAGATCACGTCTACAAATATTTAAAATGTATTTTTGTTAGATTCAAGTTCTGCACTCCTCCAGACTCTGTGGAAGTTTGACATTTGTTGATCTCATTAGTTCATTCTTAAATAAAAGGATGTTAACTTCTCTTAAAAGACGGAAACAGTCGACAGCTCATTTTAGAAAGCCTAAATGTCCCAAATGCATAGGCAGACTGATATTTGTTCATGAAATATTTGTGATATTTTTACCCCCCAAAGATAATGGATCTGAATCATGCATTGAAAAGTCCCATTAACAATAAGTGGAACTGGGATTGAAAACATTTAAATGGTACCCAACACTGCAGAGGACAATAAAGCTATGCAAACAAACATTTCTCTGCTCTGTTTTGTGATGTTTATGTGTCAGCAACACCACAGCTGCAGCAGCCCCCCATCTTATTTTATGTTTGAATTATTTATGTCTTATTTTCAGAAACCTGGATGCCTGGCTCTTTTATCTTTTCTCCAGCTGAGTTCTAAATCTACTGATGCAAAATAATCCAAACCACCACAACTTCAACATGTAATATGGTGGACATTAACAGACTAGGATAGTGTCCCAAATAAAAATAAGCTACTGAATAGGCCTTACTCCAGAGATAAGTAGTTCAGCTTCAGCAACCATCAGCCTTTTCACTGGGATTTTCAACAATATTCAGGTCAAGTCCCATAACCTACACAAGGTCACCTATATCATGTTTTATTTAGCTTTGTTAATATGTACTCCGTTTGATGTGGATGATGCCATGGAAACCATGGTCAAACTAATCGTCACTTTCAAAGCTCTATGATCCGAAATCATCACAATTACACATTTTATAAATTATATATCATGTGAGTTTACAGTAGGGCTGGGCGATATGGGAAAAGGTCTATCACAATATTTTTTTTCATATCAGTCGATATCAATATCACGATAAGCTATAGCATCTGTGAGGTCTTTGTGTTCTTTGGCGTTTTGTCGTGAGGCGTTGCGCTAGTGAAAGCGGAATGGTCAGCTGTTTTGGCTGCACAAGTGCTTTGGTTGAGTGTAGCTGCAGCCTGCTACTACGCAGTTGTCTGCTATTTGGTTCTAATTCAGCACATTATTGGTTCAGCATGAAGCGGACCCGGAGCAAAACCTCCTTTCGTTGGCTATTTGTATAGTCTACCAAAACATAGCAGAATGCCGACCATCGAAAAGCATATTGACCATGTTTTATAGCTGGGTTTCTTGTGTACAAACAATACTAGGAGCACACACAACCAGGGGGCAAAAGCCTGCTTCGGAGTGAACTGATATCAATAAAGATGCTGTATTGTTTGCAAGTTTTCCCTGACACAATTGCAATAAATTCATTGAAAAACCACTTTGTTTTTCATTGCATCACAAATACAAAAAAAATAGCATACCTGCTATAACATTGCACAGAAACCCGTCTATATTTATAGTGAGGGAAATTACTTTTCAATATATATCATTATCATTTTATCGCTTAGCCCTAACTGACCCTGTTTTATATCGATATCAAGGGAAAATAAATTTTGATCTATATTGTTATGGTTTTATCGCCCAGCCCTAATTGACCATGTTTTATATTGATATTGAGGGAAATTAATTTTCAATATATATCATTATCGTTTTATCATCAAGCCCTAGTTTACAGCTTCATGTTTCTGGTGCAGCTGCCTTGTCACAGGCTTGGAAACTTAACCCTACCACTGGACTTCATTCACCATTCCTCCTTTCTGCTGAGATCTCATTCAGCTCCCACCGTGCTTCTCCAAGTCATGATTCAAGATTCATTTAAGCAATTCAGATAAAAGAAACGAAGGAGAAAGAAACGTGGGTGGAGGAGGAGGAGGGATGGAGGGATGGAAGCGAGACAAACAGGACAGAGCAGGGTCCATATGATCTCAGCAGCGGCAGCAGACTGGCAAGCAGCAGGCAGCGGAGGAACCGACTGCGACCCAAAAGATGTGGCACGGATGGTGGAGGATTACGTCATCGAAAAAAGGAGGACGCCTCATCACAGCAAAACCATCATCATCATCATCACATCCAGAACTGAATATAGTCCACATATAGTCCACAGCTTTTTCTGCAGGAGTGAGCACCTTTTCTTGCAAAAACGTGAACATTTACTGCTGCATGCGGTGGTCGCAGTAAGCAGCTTATCCATAGAGGCCCCCCTTTTTCGTGTGACATTTCCAGAGTGTGTCGTGTTGTGCATTACAGCTGGTGCTTCAACAATCATTTAGCAATGAATGACAAGAAAAGCAACATCAATTTTACATGAATGACTTGCTTAGGATTTATCTTCGTGGTGTAAAACAAAAAAACACATATCTGTCAGCCAGAAACAGGAGAAACCGCACATTTTCTCCTACATAATCCTCTTTTAATAGTTAATAAATATGCAAAAGGAGCGTCATTTTTAAAGCCACATCCATAACACGAACTGACGCCGCACTGGTCCCATTCAACACCAGCTGGACTCTCATTAAAGGGGCTTACTGTAACACTGGATAACCAAATAAGTTATTCACAGCCTGTCTTTAAAAGCTGCAAACAGAATTTCATTGATTCAACAAACCTATAAATGCATATTTACCCTGCGCAGAGTGGATTAGCTCCTATTCCCCGGCTATGTAAAGTCAGCGGAGGTATTGAATGGGATGAGAAGCAGCTAGCTAGCTAACAGGCAAGCGACAAAACCAACGGCTACTGATGTTATAGAATTATCTTTTAGGGTCTTTCTTTTTCTTTTGGTGTGGTAAAACCAAACACAGTGCACGTTTGACAGCAAAGCAAAGCGTTTTCCATTCGTAATTCCGCAACATTCACCTTTTTAAGCAACTTAGATAAAAGTGACAGCGCTAAGCTAAGGCTAGCTAACGTCAGCTGGCTGTAAAAACTGGTGGCCTGTGAATGAGCGTCTTTTCTTACCGTCATAAACTGCTCCAGGGGCGTCCAGTTTTTAAGGAATATATTTTTTTCTGTAAGAGGAAATGGTTTGTGTGGGAGGGGGGGCGATAAAGCCCGAACATCCAAGCTCAGTTCACCCGCTGCCGATGAAACCCAAGCATCATCATTATCACCGTCTTCATCAGAACTCGGAGTCCGCCGCTGCCTCACACACATCCATCCAGCAGAGCGGGGCCTCCTCCGGGCTCGACCATGCAACTGGCTCGGCGACGACGGATAATCCACAAGACGGGAGCCCCCGCAGTAACCATTGGCTAGACACGGTGACTAGCAGTCATTTCAGGTCGAGAGAATGAAGAAATATATCCCCACGCAGACGTTAAAACAGAGATACCGTGACCAGTGAGAGGTTAAGTGATAAATAAGTGGATATTAAATCACAAGAGAGGCGAATGTTGCGTTTCTGACTTTCCCAACATGAGCCTATCCGTTGTAGTCAGCGTTCCCTGGTCTCTCTCTCTCTGCAGCTGCTGCCTTGACTGCCTGTCTGCCTTGCAGCACAGCAGCGATCAGCATAGCGACGTAATGGCGCAAACTGAGCGCACAGGGGCGGGGCCACGGGGCCAGAGGCGCGCAGTTTGTTTTAGTGGTCCTGGATGATAACAGCGACACAGCCCTCTACACCAGGGGTCACCAACTTTATTTGTCAGAGGGACAGAATCTTACCAGACAGTCACCTTGGGGGCTGGACCCTCAAATAAAAATTGAATACAAATCAAATTTTGGCATAACATTATTATTTGATGTTTATATATTTTTTCCATTTCATTACAAAACTGAAGGCATTTTTAGCTTTCATGAGTCAGGCTCGTATCACCTAATGTTAGGCTAAACAGTGCAGCGAGTCTGTCCTCATTTCGGAATGTATAGAGTCATATTTTCTCTTCGAGCCTCATAATTATGGAATCCAGTCGCGGGCTGGATTGGACGGTTCGGCGGGCCAGATTCAGTCTGCAGGCTGCCAGTTGATGATCACTGCTCTACAGTGACCAGCCATATCATCAGGAACCTCCCGGTATTATAATACAAGCCAATCTTTTTTACTAAGCTTTTACATTTTCAACTTTTCAAAATCACACTCTCAACCCATCACATATCAAGATGAAGTAAAATAATTCCCATAAAGTGAAAATTATATAGGGGAGAGTGAGATAAGATGAGCCATTTTTTATATTTCAGATCACTACATCAAGGCAATCATAGTTTTGTCTCTAACTAGTGTATCTGCGTATATTTCAAGATGTTGTACATACCTGCAAACCAACAGAATGAGTGTAAACATAACTGTCTTGATAATATAGCATGCCAAAAAAAGTGGTCTCCTATGGTCAACTTACCCCGAGAATAGGGTGAGTTGACCATAGGAGCGGGGTAAGAATTTATTAGTCCTCTAAGCTAAAATGGTGGACTTTTATGCTAGGTTTTTGACCTCATGTTGTAGCTCATAGATACCACAATTGATGTATAAAACACATTTAATTTTTTTTTGGTCTGAACACAATTCTAATTAGACTTATGACAGACTAAATTCACTTTCAACTTACCCCATTCTCCCTTACTTTGTGAACGTTGAATTTTATGGTCGAGCTGTTATATTGGGTTGCATTAGTGGCCCTGGTGTTCATGATCTCACAGCTGGTCAGTGTACAGTATATTTTAACACATAGCTGCATTGGGACCTTTTTACACAAACCATCATGACCATTTTGGATTTAATTCTGCTATCAAAGCAGATTCACTTTATAGTCACAGATACTTGCGTTAGCTGACAGAAGTATGGAGGAGGTGTGTTGATCTATGTTTTATCTAACTAATGCTCGTCCTCTCTACTTAAAAGGCGATATCACAGTACATTTGCCTCAGGAAGTTGCTATTGTGCATGAGAAACTTAATACTTAATGTTTTCATTTTACATGAACTGTGAAATGCCTTTGAAATCCTTCATACATCTCAAAGTTACTTGAATGAGCTTTTTAGTCAAATATGTAACAATGCTATAAGTTATAAGAAATGAAACGTGTTTTATAGAAAAGAAAAACCTTGATTTAACATTTTAACATAGCATTGAAAATAGGTATAGGCTATATATTGATCAACAACACAAAAATACACAAATTTGGATATCAAACTTATTTCACTATTTTAGTAAAAGTCCTAACAGGACTGTGAATTTCAGAATGAATGTCATTTTGTGAAAATGAATGTAATAATGAAAGTGATTTCTCTTGTTCTCTTTCACTTGAAGTCTGAGCTCGCCCATTCAAACAAAATGAATCCATGACCCTGTCATTCACAGACAGTGTCAAAGGGAGACAGAAAGTAACATACTGTGAGGGCTGTAATGTGGGCTGTACTGACCTCAAGTGGCTTTGAACAGAAACAGCACACAGTGCAACTAACAAAGGACCATTGTACGGTATCTCTGTTTGGCATACAATGAAGTACGCAGATGAAGCGGAGTGGTGAGAACAGGACAATAAGCCCAGTGTTGTTGATATGCATATCTCAAACGGCCTTTGTAGTGAGTAAATGATGGAGTAGACCTATAAAAACCAGCCAATGCTTTTTTCTTCCACTCTATGGTTCAGAGACATTCCTCGTCGTGTCAGCACTCACTGTTTGTTTTTTTCAACACTAAAATTAAACTGGTGACGGCTGGATAAGTCTAGTTCGACAAAAAATAATGATAAAAGGAGATTGGGCGCCATACTCTACAATCTTTTGCAACAACCAGTGCAGTTAAATCCAGGTCACTTGTGTTGAAGAGTCCAAGCAGTCGTCAAGAACAACAATCTCTGCTGGCCTCACTTTTCACATGGTTTTATGTTCAGGTTCTCTCACATATGATCTCTCATTGTGATCCCATTGGCCTATTATAGATAGAGATGGGTTTCACTTAGCTAATACTTCAGTGGCATGGTGTACCTTCACACAAAACAGAGCAACAAGTATCAGAGTATGTCTATTTTCACTATTGTTAATCACCTTGAATGTGATTACTTCAATATATTGCAGAAATACAGATAACTGAAGGTGTTCACAGCATAGTTTCATGTCAGTATACTTTCAGTATACACATACAAAGTTGCAACTGCTCACAGCCATTCATTGGATTTCCTCCTTTTCTCTGAGTGGTAAAATACCTGCTTCAGGTTCACAAAGGCAACTTACTGACAATGACACGACTTTTCTCTGCAAGCGGTTAACAAAGAAGCATTCATTTGAGAGAACACTTGAAAACCAAGAGTGAGTGCTTGACTTTGTCAAGATGTCAGTGCAATGCCATGCTGAGTATCTGCGATGAGAAATCACTACAGTGTTGGAAGGTCTTTAGAAGATATTACTGAGCATCCTTTTTCATTTATATCCTTTCAACTGATGCAGCAAAGTGAAGAAATGATTCAACTTTAAAACAATCAATAATCAAACTAACAAAAGATTACCATCTCTTTGGAGACACTGTACCTGAGTAAGTTTTATGTAAGTATATACCAAGCAGACATTTTCTATGAGAGAAGCATGATCCTTCAAATACTTGCAAATATGAAACAAGATCTGCGATTAACTTGTGCCAGTTATTCTAACGCTGGTATTTAAAATCCTTGTGAAACACCTTAAAATAAAGGAGTAGTATATCATTTGGGTACTGTGCAATGTAGGACTCCAGAATACCATATTATTTATCATCAAAAATCAATTGTTCTTTGCTTCCCTAGCATAAGTTGTTCCATGGACAGCTCATACAGCAAACAGAAAACATTTCTGCAGCAAAGAACACAGTAACAGTAATATGTACAGTATGAGAGGCTTCTGTTTCAAGAGGTGGCGCTGTTGTTTATATTTGTGGTTGTATGCATATTCAATTAAATTTTTCTCATGCTGGTATAACAGGATTGGTGCACTGCATGTGACTGATAAGAGATTTCAGGTGACTCAATCAATACAGAAAACCAAAATCAGTGAAAAGAAATCTCCAATCTCAGGTGCTGCTTAAACCATAATGAGACTTTTCATGGTTATGCATGGTTAGCTACTAATAACCTTATTGAAGAGCATTTTAAAAATTTATTTAGCCTTTTATTTATTTAAAGGGAAGTGGCAGGTTTAGTGTCTGGCATCATTATCATTCACAGGAGGTTCCTGACTGTAAAATAGTCATAGAGCAATGTCATAATATTCATAACCAAGGCTGTTTCTTCAATAACAAATTCCACCCCACTATAAACAATTTTTAAAACTGTTTATTTGCACAACATGCTGAGTTTACTCACCTAGACCATTTCTCTGTAGAATAAATAAGACAATGGAAACCCAGCCTTAAAGACTTTGTGTCATTTGTTTGGTTATCCATTCCAGGATTTAAAAAACGTTCAACAAAATTTTATGACAAAATATTAACAATCCTTTGGGACAATTCTCATTTCTGCAACAAAAAGTCAAGCGCCCTCCCACCCATTTTTAGGCACCTTCTCAGAGAAAAGTATGATTTATAGGGTTCTACAGCTTTAGTTAAAGCCAAGTGAGATCCATCTTACATGTAAAGATCAAAATCCCTCTCCCTTTTCTTTTTAAACCTTCTCCTCTTTAAGCAGAGTGAGGATCTTGTCCCTCCTGGATGTGTACGGCGTGTGTTTCAGCTGTAGGAGGTTAGCAGGAAACAAGTTCCCACTCGGGGCATACATATTCTCTCCCTTCTGTCCCATCAGCGAGCGCAGTGTTTGGTTTCTGGACAGAATCTTATCATAAAACTCAACCCCTCCTTTGGCATAATCATGGGACATTCCTGCCGCAAGCCGGTCTGAGCTCAAATCGACCCACTGTTTCACTGCATCAGAGGTGAGGAAGTAGGACACGGCACCCAGACCCAGGGCCACAACATTCACGACCCCACGAATCAGCGGAGGCCCCGTGTGGAGCCCAAACATCTGCTTCAGCACCACACTGTAAACCCAAACACCGCTCAGGCAGAAAGGGGCAACAACAGCACTCAAAATAGGTCCTCCAGACTGCAAGCGGGCCACTTCTCGGGCTACGGCAAACTTCTGTGCCTCAAGGGATAACACCAGTGCATCCTTCAGAACTGCGCCAGTATCGCTGCTCCAGTCCACGGCTTTCCCGTTTATGAAAATGGTGCGGTTGGTGATGCCGCTTGGGTCGTCTACTGTGCTGTTAAAGTTTGCTGGGATGCCGATTTGAGCTCCAGCAGGAAGCCAAGGGACGCCAGCACCAACTGGATGGAAGCCAAAGGAGGCGAAAGCAGAGAAATTCTTGGGTGAACTCAATCCGTAGTCCTTCAGCACCTACAAACGACAACATTAAAACTCAGATTACTGCCCCGTTCTACACTTTTAGACACTTCTGTAAAACAAATAAATTGTATAAGAGCTAGCAACTGCAAAGTATGTACATTAATTTGAGTATTGTTCCTCAGCTATTGTTAAACACTTATACATGTGTGTAAGGCATACTCAAATATAGTGATTTACAGTATCTTAATGTTAAAATGTAGGGGTTTTGTTAAGGGTTTCCTGCCATTCAATTTCCCTATTGTTTACACCATCTCCGGGTAATCGTAAAAGCTGTACTTACTATTTAGAAACTTCCATCAGATGTATTGGTAAGAAACCTCACAATACATAAAAACCTACTGTGCATAAAGACACACACACAGTACCTGTTGGAAAACATCCTCCAGCTTATCCGACAGCTCAGCCGGCTCTCCTTTGTGCCAGGCCTGATACAGCTTCCGATAGGATATGTCAGGAAAGACATGGTAGAACATGTTGGCTGCAAAGACCCCACCACAGGTGGCAACGAGCACCGGAGTGCGGTACTTCTGCAGAAGAGCCGAGTACTTGAGGAAGCGAGACGCCATGGTCCTTTTTTTTGTCTTTGTTTTGTGTCAGTTAGGTGCTGGAGACTTCAGCAAGAGACATCTGAGAAAGAGGCAGAAAATACCATGTGAGAAAGACGTGTCTGTACAGTGAGCAGAATCAACAGAGGTATAATACTTTACTGATTCCTCATTGGAGTCAAAGTGTCGTTCTGAGCTGTACCTTAAAGGAGTAGGTCAAAGTCCGTAGCCTTATGAAATTAAGGTTAATAAACAAGGGGATAATTGTAAGTACAACTATCTTATGCATATTACCATTACGGTGTGTTTCTTAAAACAAATAAAACTCAAGAATAGCAAATCTTCTGAATTCAAATGAACAAGAATCAAAGGTTATATTCAGGGGTGCACATAACTTTTTTGGTCTAGTACTCAGGGGAGCACCTGGAGATGTTACTTGGTGCTCACTGGGCACACAAGACGCAACCCGCCCCGCAGGATGGATAAAAAAGGGGTACATGGTTGAATAACTTATAGCAAAAACAACATTTATTCATAATTAAAGATGAATTAACAAATAATGGTGCGTGTTAGTATGTAGGATCAGTGGTGTCAGTGAGTGGACGTGTATGGACAGTGTAAGGGTGTTGGATGCAAAACAAAACAAACAACAAATGCATAACCATTTCAATTGACATCTTAAACTCTGAAATCAACGGACATCTCTTTAAGCACCACCAAATGTATTTTCTGTAAATACTGAAATAAACTGACTGCTCTTTGAGCTCAGTTTGCTTGAAGCTAAAACTTATATTTCTCCAGTATCAGTCATATACTACCATAACTGAGCAGTGATGTGCAAGACTGGCTTTACACATTTAGCAACAATATACAAGAGGAAAGAGAACTACAGGGTTATTTATGAGCCAATACTAAAGACTTCATTGATTGTAATAATGGCTGCAAATGCAGCATGCAACATTTTCTTCATACGTTTCAATAAACAAGATGTGGCACTTATTATATAAACCTTATACAAGGATTACAATGAACTTATCAAGACAAATTTGGCTTGAAATATATCAAAAAATAAGATTTTCATCGAGATTTGAAGGTTTCTGTGCAATTTAGACGATAATTATTTAGTTTTTATCATAACACATAATCAAATTTGGTGTCCCTAAAACTCTGTGTAACTACATTTTAATACAACAACCCGCAACAACTCCAAACACAGTACCTACAGACACACAACACTAATGTTAAAGTGACCTTAGCTAACCGAGCTAACGAGAAAGAGGCTCCTTCAAGATTTTAGCGTAACCCCAACATATAAAAACTCAACACCACATACAAACAACATCTTAGTTTACTGTTTTCGAGCAAACATACCGGTAAGTTCAGCCTCACACCTTCTCCACATCTTCACAAGGACAGCCCGGCAACATGTAACAGATTCATGACTGTTAGGAAATCCTGTCCGTAAAGAGACGGTGTCGTAAAGGTGCGGCACGACAGTTTACGACAGTTGGTTTCCATAGCACAGTAAAATCTAACTGCAAGTTATCTTTGAAGGGTGTAAAATATGTGAAAAGTTTAAGATAATGGGCGCTCTTACAGGAGGTGTAATTAAATAATATAAAAATTAATAATAAAATGACATTATTGTCGTATGAGTCTAATGTAAACTGACATATTTTGGCAATTTGTACTTCTAATTTGTTTTCAACTCCATTCGTTTCAACTCTAATGCAGACAAAAAAGGGCAAAATATTACGACAGCACTGAGAGACAGCCGTAGAGACCGGGAAGTTATATTACATTAATAATGTCACAGAAAAAAATTACATGAACTAAGGCTTAAACGTCCAACATTTGTGTCCGAGATAACTGCCCGTCAGAGGAAGCACTCGAGACTACAGCTCGATTAGGCCAGCAGGAGGCGCTGAGCAATCTTTTGTGTAATTGCCATTTATGAGAGAGTTAAATGCAGTTGGTCCACAGCCTGTCTTCTTAGTCTCAAATCCAAAGCTTCTGTCTCTCTCTTCTGTCTCTTCCTCCATTGCCTACCTATACTTACTACTCTCTCTGCACTGCTGCCCATCTGTAAATGATAATAATTTTTAAACACCTGAACTCGTCATCCACTAATTCAATCTATTTTCATAGCTTTTCTTCAGTTATAGATAGATAAATGCTTTATTAATCCCAGTTGGTAAATTCAGGGGTCGCGCCACTCATAGACTCATACACAGTACACTAACAAAGACAACGACAACAAACAACAACAAATGCACCTTTGCAGACCAGCCAAGTAGAGTAAAATCAGTTAAAACCAGTATAAAACCAGGCAAAAAAGTGCAATAAATGCAGTAGTGCTGGCAGTGCAATATGTGCTGTATATAGTGCTGAGGTGCACAGGTCCTCGACTCAGGTCCATCTTTTACATATCACTTTGGAAAGTTAAATCTTCTGGGATATTAAGATTTGACAGGTCGAAGCTTGAAACTCTTTGGTGTGCTAAAACCGCCAGCTTTTGTCTCAGAGTATATAACTATGTGGGGATGTATTGCAGACAAATATTGCAGAACAGAAGTGGTGAAGCAGAGATACAGGAAGTTAGAAGCATTATCTTTAAGTTTTTTTTGCGTCATTTCAGTTGATTGTTTGGAATAAATCTGAATAATTAAAAGAGATTAATTAGGAACCAAACAGGTATATACCAGCGTAAAAATAAAGAAGCCTCCTCTATTACTGACAGCTGTGGGTGTGATGAAAAAATGGGAACTTCTCACTTCAGCCCTGCTGGTATTCTCTTGTCCTTCAGAAGCATACGTTCTCTGCATTAACTGTGTTTCTGCACATTCTGTAGTTTTCTTTTTTCACGTTTCTATAGATAGAATTGATTATGCACGTGCTCGCTTGTAGATCATAAAAAAGAGAAGTGGTGAATAAGCAGTGAGCGTGCTGTTCATGTGTGAAGAAGTTGTGTTTGATGATCTTTGAGGTGTGGACACTGTGTACACTGTGAACATTTTTCAGCACTCAGCTTGTTGCTCATGCACGGTAGGCAAATAAAGACTGAAACGAGGTAAACAAAACTTAATTTCTATCCAAGTGCATCTAAGTGTAATATTGAGGAAGTGAAAGTCATGTGGTTGCCCAAGAAAACTTCAGTATTTTGACTACCATTCTACATGTATCTGTGATAACTTTGTGTTCCAGTAGTTGAGATGACACTTACTCACTAATTTAAATTAATAAAGTCCATGTTGAGGGGTCATATTATCTTGTTTTAACTTAATATCTGGACTTGTCATCTTAGTTTGGGGTTATATTGGGTGTAAAAAGATATTTTGGCTGCATAAGCTATAAAGAGGTAAACAAAGGTCATAAATAAGACCCATGTCAGCCACCAAAGTCAGGTCCACCTTCTCCTAAGAGAGCAGTGGAGAGCTCAGGACCTCAGAAGAAGTTGAGGCTGACCAATCACCTTAGTTGTACTGGGCCGTACCTGAGCATGGGCGCCCAAAAGCTCAGGCACACTTCCTGTCGATGCCCTGCTGCAGTGTGAGCATGGCAATTGGCTTGCAGGGGTTCTAGGACCTCTCTGGCAGGAAACTCCTATTTTGATATGCTCCGGAGCACTTAGATTACGATTAGATTAGGACATACTGCTCAAATTAGAACAATACTTTCAACGATGATGATTGAAATTAGGAAAGAGAAACTATGGAAATATTTACAAATCAAATATTTACAGTAAAATGAAGTGGATACAGTCAGGGGGTTAGACTTTGTGCATGCAAAAACAGCCCTGTGTTGGCTGTCAGTATTCACAGTGATTGTAGTACTGACTGATCCAGTGAAACTGAAAAATTCATCAGTTGTGTGTGCACGCATGTGTGTGTGCATATGTATTGTGATCAAGACAGATGGTCTGATCCTGGTGGAAAGAAACAGCTCACTTCTGTCTCCATGGAAACAGGCAGGAGGCGATGAAAGAAAGATTCTCCCAGTGTTGTAATATGTGTGTGTGGGGACAGCCTCTGAGAAAAGCCCCTTCTCTACTACACTTCATCCTATTCTATTCTATTCTATTCTATCATGTCTATCTCTATCACTAACTATTCTTTTCTTATTTTTTCTCTTAAGTGATAATGTATGGTGAATGGGTGATTCAGCAAATTAGAATCTCGGGTGAGCAATTTTCCCCTACACAAAACTTAAGAGTCATGTCTCAGCCTGTCGAGGTTCTCATTTACTTGTTACCTGACTACTACCTGGCTACCAGTGAAAGACATAAAAAGGTTAACTTGAAATTTTCATGTAAAGAGGATTTTAATGATTAAAATAGGATTAATCCACACAGACGACAAGACTTATTCATCTGATTCCATGCTCAGTTGCGACACCAGTTGCAATAGGTCACAAGCACTTTCACTGCCGAAAGGAATTAGTATTAGTACTTGGAATTTCCCCCCGTGGGACTATAAAAGGAACATCTTATCTCATTAAACGGAACATTTTAGTTAGGTGTAATGTTAAAACAGAAGCCCGTTTTTATGTAAATTCAAATTAAGGTGAATATTTCCATTGTAGGTAGTATGAGACATGGTGAATGGGTTTTTGGTCAGAATGTTAATATTGATATTTCTACTGTTGACATGTCTGCTGTTGCCTGGATTGCAGGACAGGATCTAGCCCCATTTGTCCTATCAGAGATGGTTGGAGCCCAGCCAGGGACAAGACTCAGTCAGAGTGCTAACAAAAACTTGCACTTTTGCCACAGTATCAACAGGTAGAGGTAAGTTGTGCAGCCTGACATGGTAATATGATAAGGTCGTCTCTAGTTTTGCTTTTGCTCTTGAGAATTAGTAGCTTTAATAGAGGTTTGACCAATCAGAATGAAGTATTTTGCACAAGGTAATAATTAGATTATAGCTGCGTCTGGTCAGATCTTTGTAGGATTTAAGATAGTGGTGCATCGCGCAACATTGTGTCAAGTCCCTAAAGAGAACCTCAGGAGGACGGCATCCTGTGCTTGAGGTCAAAGAGGGTATTCACTAGATATTGATGTGCATTGGATTGTGTTTCTGCTTTTTACACATGGATGCATGGGCACATCTATGCACTCGAGGGGTCAGCACATCAATACAAACATATGCACACATACACACGCAGGCACAGAGGCATAACACTCTGACATCACTGGCGCATAATGATCCACATCATTCAGTACCAAACACTCTGAAATCTGTACATGATTAACACTGTGGCTGTGACTTTAGGAAAGAAATCAATACTGATCAATATTTGTCAAATGCTGGAAATGTCTCCTGTGAGGTTAAGGTGTTTGAACATGTCATTTAGTTCGATATAATTGCGTCTTCGGATGCCTGTGATTGCGTGCGCAGGATTGCAATCACTCCATCCGACCCCTGCCCTTAAACCTTGAGCGGTGTCTCAAGAAAAATCACAGGACAATGCAATCAATTCTCAAATTAAGACTCCATCAACTTGCTCACCAATCCAGCAGCATGACCTCTCACTGAATGAATAAAGGAATCAATAACCCAGTCAATCAATTCAACACCTCTAGATTGGTTTCTACAAGTCTTCCAAAGCCTAAACCAACAGAGAGTTAATCAAAACACAGAAAGCTCTTGACTTTTCACTGGATGCACTGGGAAAACAAAGTCAGTCATTGTTGAACTATAGAAACAGACATGCTCCATCGATTTGTTGGAACATCTTTTCAGTATCAGCTCTCTCATACTGTTAATTTTGATGGGGATGCAGTTAGAATTCTGATCTGGTAAAACAAAGTTAACAAACTATAACACATGGACACATTGTGGTAGGAGGTGCGATCTGCAAACCGGACGCCCACTTTGGTGGACTGAAATATCTTGGTATAATCCAGTGGATCATTATGAAATCTTTGACCCTCAGATGATGTAACAATGACTTGTGGATTGAGTTGAGTGTCTAACAACAGTTTGTCTCAGAAATTTGGTGATTAGAAAATGTCAGTTTGTTAATGTGTATACTTTAGACTTGGACATGCTAAACATTACCCTGTAAGTATTACCTTATTGGGTCAGTGATTAGTGTTAGTTGGAATCAGTCACAAGTACTGTGCTCAAGCACAACCTGACAGAGATGCCAGCGAGGCTTTACATTCTTAGTTTGGCTGCACGTCAACACTACATTTAAACTACAGAATAAAACTTTTAAGGTATGATGCTATGTTTCACTATCAGTCAGAACACAATGTTTATACAGTATGTTAAGGGAAAGCTACAGCTTCTTTAGTAAGGTCTAAATTGGCTCTAATGTACATGGTAGATGGGCAGCACTTTCATGCTGCCTTTGTAGTCTACAGACCACTCAAAGTGCTTTATAGTAAATGTCGACAGTCATCTACTTTTACACACAAATTGCATACGCTGCCAAAGAAGGTGCCTACAGGTCTGTGCAAGATGAAATCTGATTAACTCACTCTCAAACACTGAAGGTTATAGTGTCCTCTGAAGGGATTCAAGGTTAAGTACATTATGCTGCCCAAGACCATGGTGTATGTCTTCTTTAAACAACACAGACATCTTTTTTCTGTCTTTCCATTTTCTTTCATTTAATTTATCCTCTTTCTTTCTTTCTTTCAATGTTTTTCTTCCTTTTATAAATTTGGATTTATTTTTATTTCTCTTTCCATTTTTTCATTCTTGTTTGTCCTTTTTTTTCTCTTTTTCTTTCATTTCATTTATCTTTCTTTTCGTTTATCTTCACTTTTCTTTCTTGAACTTTTTCCTTTATCTTTTTCTTCTCTTCTACTTTTAATAACTTGTTTCTTTGTTATTCCTTCTTTTTTCTGTCTTTCTGTCTGTTTCTGTTTTGTTTCTTTTTTCTCCCTCTATTCTTTTTTTTATTTATTTTGATTTTTTATTTATTTATTCAATGTTTTAGTTTTTTTTCTCTTATTAATTCAGCTTCTGCGTTTCCTCCCTTCCTTTTCTGTCTTCCCTTCTCTCTCTTTTTTTTTTAATTATTTTGTATTTTTTTATCTGTCTCTGGCTCTGTTTCTTTGTGGTTTCCCTTCTTCTTTCTTTGTTTCATTACTTAATTCCTTGTTTGTTTATTTCTTTCTTTTGTTGAGGATTTCTTTTGGCTTCTTTTTAATTTTGCAATTTCCTTCATTTTTTTCTCTCTTTTTTAATTTATCTCAATTGTGCCTGTCTTTCTTTCTTCTTTCTTTTTCTCTTTTTTCTTTCTTTTCAACAGACTGCATGTTTGCTTACTGAAATGTGTGCATATGCATTTTGTGAAGGAAGAAGGAAGGAGAGCTTAAAGAGAGAGATCTCTCCATTTCCTGTTAGATGCTGTAATATGAGTTCTTTCTGGATTGTTCACAGAGGCCTAACTCATTTCAAGTTCCCATCTCCTGCATTTAATTGGATTATTTTCATTTTACTCTTCCTCTCTATTTCACTCACACCCATCACTGATGGTAACTGTTAATGCACTGGGTCACTATAAACAATCATGCCAGTAAATTTAATTAAGAGTATCTTGTTCTTGCTAGCCTCTATTTGAAATTGTTTTATGTGTGTGCACGTGTTAAATGTGACTCTTATGATTAATTATGTGTACCGAGGAACAAGAGAAATCAGTGTTTATATACACTGATTTAGTCATGAGGAGCTGTCTGCTTAAACATTTTCAACCACTGTAAAATTAAGTTAAATTGTTCCTCACTACATGAATGGAGATTTTTAACCACATTAAAAATTTGACAAGACAAAATGACTTTTTGAAGAAACATTCATGTTTGTAGATGTTTAGCATCACAGTCAGGTCGTTTTTATTGAGCCTGCACAAATCTGTTGGCGTGCCATCAATCACATGCCATCCCAATTTAATTGTAGCCTTATCTGTTATTACCAACCACTCTCCCCTTCTCCACTCTACCTTTTTGCTCTCATTCATAGACACACTCACACACACACACAAACACCTCCTCCTCCTCCTCCTCCTCCTCCTCCCCTGTCTTGATTGATCAGATTTTTATCTGCCTCTTTGACCTCCAGCTAAAATGAACCAAGCACACAGGGTTGGATTATTTCTCCTACAGCATGGTCACCTCAGAGGAAAAAGCACAGAGCAGTTAATCAATATACTGCATGACAAATTAAGATTTTATTATAAATCCAGAAATTGGCAGGTTCATATAGTCCTTGTTTGTTTTACACTATTACATGACAAAAAACTAAGAGTTCAATTTTTCTACTTGGTCTGTGTTGCAAAATGTTGCTGTACCTTTGTTTGCATTGAAATGTACCACATTCCTTAATTAATGCTAAATCAGTAATTAACTTCACATGACAGGTGCATAGGAAAGGAATAAATGTACTTTTTCATAGCCTGAGTGTGCAACAGCACCATGAAGCTCAGCTGTCATCACAAATTGATATTGTCATATCGATCCCACAATAGGGCCAATATTTCAATTGCAGTAGTGTTGTTCCCACAAGCCCGCCTTTCCATTCTCATATAGCCTTGTACATGTTAAACATAAATGTTACCCACATGACAAAGCACAGCAGAGACATTTCACTAAATGAGCATGAGAAATACTGCAAATAAAATCAGTGCGCAGAATTCAACAGGTACTGAAATAAAAATGTGATCTGTTTGTTCTGCAATAAAAAGTGCTCTGCTGAACTCCTTATACTCTGGTACATGATTGACAGTGGAGTTTCCACAGGCGTAACATGTGTGAGACCAGTCGGTAATATGGGTGTCGCATTTTGAAGGTCAGAGCTTCAAGGTGAATAAAGTGTGCTAGAGGATGCAACTAATGTTCAATGATTTGTTAAACTGTGATTTAGGATATTTGAGCAAGGGGAATAAAATTGGGTGAGTCTGGCAGTTTGGAGTCATTCTGTTGATAATTGCACTTTAGAAATATGTGGATGGTTCCCATTTTAATGTGTTATAAATGAACTGTATTTTGGTACACGATCACGGTCTACTACAGGTGGGATTTTGTCAGAAATACACATGGTTTATAGCAAAAGTTTCAAAGAGAAAGCTTAATTGTTGATTAAGATATGACTGAAACATATATTAAGAAGTAATTTATAAGTAATAAGTAATTAGTTAGGTTTTACTTAAAAACAAAGCCATGTTGGGTTGCCTGTTAGGAGCAAAGCTTGGTTCCCCTTAGATTTGGTGGAGCTAATTTGACAGGACTGTCCCTTTAAAGGAGTCCGCTACATAAAGGGACAGTCCATTTCACTAAAAAGGGGAATTTTTTCTCGCTTTTCTTTTCATTTCTTCTTAATAAGGCGGATGAATCCTGCGCAGTGGGAAACACAAATTTTTCTTCGTAAGTATCTGTAACAGGAATATAATACTAAACAGAAAATTAAAACTTTGGGACTTTTTATTCTCTGAGATATGGAGGTCACCCCTTTTGGGCGTTTCTATTTTTAGCATCAGCTGTTGCAATACAAAGATTAGCTACTCAACGTATTGTTCCGCAGATGTGGGGAGCACACTCCCGGCTGTGGTGAAAGGGCGGCGGTGGTCTGGAAGCCGAGGACGGAGCGACACGACACGAAATGAGGAAGACTATGTCGCCGTGAGGGGGGCTTTTCTTCGTGTTGAAGGCTGATATCGGTGAGTAGCTGGTGAGGTCGTGAATGCGGGGCGCCTGTAGCTACTCGCGGACAGTGGAGGCAACACCTACCGTTAGTGTAAAATCCCCAACTACTCCCCGTATATATCAACAACTTAACCGAAGCCCAGCGAGCTGTCATCGCGTTATTTCGACTAATTATACTCAAGTAAACAGCGAAAAGAAGCTAGCTTGATTTTTGTTGAGAATGTGAACGTGTCTAGCTCGTTTGCGGAAATTCCTTTTAGCTGCAAAGTTATACAGAAAGATGAAGCAACCAGAACCGTTATCCAGGGGCGGCTACTGTTGGTTTTCCATTCGGGCTCACAAGCACATTCACCCGTTGCCACTGACGGGGCCTTCCCTCCGTGTGTCAAATATTTCCCCCAAACCTCTCTTCTAGTGTCTCTAAACCTAAATGTACCCTGCTTCCCTGTGGTACTTTGCACAGCTGTGTGGCACACAGGGGCGTCCAGCTCTGAAGCGGCAGCGGTTGTGCAGATTTAACCGCTGGACACAAAGAACAGAGAGATTCTTCATGTATCAAATCATAGGATGAGATCATTCAGAAGCACCAGTCAGGCTGCAGACACACACAGACAGACACACACACACACACACAGTAGCTGCACACTCACACAATCACACACGCGTTAATCTCTATTAATAGCAAAGTGAAATCACCACATAATTTGGCCGTCTGTGGACAGATTCCCCTTTATGCCTCCATCCTGACTCTATTTAAAATGTCAACCCCCTTGCTATTTCTGATGATGGTGATGTTTCTTCTGAGAGTAATGGTTCGCTCACTTTGCATACCATTTCACATTTTCCCAGAGCTTAATTGTGACCTTTGGCCAGGGGAAATTGTAATGTGGATGACGGTTCATGCTGAGTTTTCTACCCAGGTGACTAGATGTGCTGCTAATTGCATGTGTTCACAGCTTGATGTAACTTCTTATTAAACACAAGTGCCAGCAGGTTTTTGATCTGCGGTTCGCTTACATAAGCATCCTCCAGATGACACTTAAAATATGCCATCCTGTGGCAAAAGTGGGGTCTATAGGGAAGAAAACATATGAGGCAAATGAACTATACACCAGTGAGATGGTTTGGACCAGTGGTTCTCAATTGTAGGTTGCGAACAGCTGGTCAAAAAAGTGAATTTTTGGTGCACATCTGATGTTTGACATGTCTTTTATTTTGAAAACTAGCTTATTTTAAAGGGCACGCATTATGTCGTCCTCGTCGGTTTCTTATTAAATACAAGTGCCAGCAGGTTTTTGATCTGCGGTTCGCTTACATAAGCATCCTCCAGATGACACTTAAAATTTGCCATCCTGTGGCAAAAAGTGGGGTCTATATAGGGAAGAAAACATATGAGGCAAATATCCCTAAACTATACACCAGCAAGATGGTTTAGACTAGTGGTTCTCAATTGGTGGGTCGTGAACAGCTGGTCAAAAAAGTGAATTTTTGTCGACATCTGATGTTTGACATGTCTTTTATTTTGAAAACTAGCTTATTTTAAAAGGCACGCATTATGTCGTGGTCCTCCTCGGTTTCTTATTGAATACTAGTGCCAGCAGGTTTTTGATCTGTGGTTCGCTTACATAAGCATCCTCCTGATGACTCTTAAAATATGCCATCCTGTGGCAAAAAGAGGGGTCCGTATAGGGAAGAAAACATATGAGGCAAATATCCCTAAACTATATGCCAGCAAGATTGGTTTAGACCAGTGGTTCTCAATTGGTGGGTCGCGAACATGTTCTGGATGGGTCGGTCGCGAACAGCTGGTCAAAAAAGTGAATATTTGATGCACATCTGATATTTGAGATGTCTTTTATTTTGAAAGGCACACATTATGTCCTGGTCCTCCTCAGTTTCTTATTAATGTGGCCTGAATGCAGTAAAATTAGATGTTTTTTAATGGTCTTTATTTTGTGAAATTTTATTTATTTTCACTTTTGTCCATGCTGATATATGGTCCTCCTCAGGTTCTTCTGAATATGCTCTGAATGCAGAGATGCAAATAAGTCAATTTTTCATTTTGCTGGTCTCCATTGTGTGCAATTTGATATTTTTTGTATACGAAACTTCAGTAGTTCTCATCCTTAGTTCATGTGCTCTGAAATGCACTTTACTCAGTCAAATAGATGTATTTATGTCAAAGATTTGAGTCTTGAAAGGTTTTTTTTTAATAAGAAATAAATTTTGAATTTTATAAAAGTGGGTTGTGACTTAAGGACCATGGGAAAATGTGTTGAGAATCACTGGTTTAGACCGTCCTGTCCACCTCATATATGTGTTATTGGGCACTAAACTAACCTGATTAAAGAATGAGATCGGACTTTATTTTCTAATCATAGTTTACGTCCTCAGCAAACACAACTGAATCAGTGTTTTTGTGACACACAGAGACAGCATATTGTCGTGATCTGTTATAATAGAAAGAGAGTTGAGACCAGGGAGGCTAAATGACAGCTGTACTTTCCCAGCAAAGTTTAAACACTGTAATACAAAACAGTGTTAGACACACTGTGGTCAGAGCATTTGATTCCCTCAGTGTGCCTTTCTTTTAAATACATTCCTCTCTGTTCATGCAAAGACATTCAGCTGACTTGGTGCCTTTTGCGTGTGACTGTTTTGCAGCAGCTTTGAGCCAGTGAGTTTTCATGCCATGCTGATGGCTTTCTCTCAAGTCTTCGCCCCTATAAGTGAATCCATTATGCACGTTTCCAGCTTTATATTTTTTTATTCTAGGACTCCACTCAAGCAGCTTTGCATGATTCAGCTTAGCTTCTTTTTCTTGCCAGTGCTAACAAGAAACGGTAATGGTACCCCTGCTTAGAAACATAACTCCTTATTATTAGTTAGAAGTAGCAGCTTCACAACCTTTGCACGTTTGAGTCCCAAAGACTCAGATCACAACAGAGCTGAATTGCTCTGTCTGGTAACCATAAAGCAGATCATCTACTTACTGTGTCGCAAAGTAATAAAATAGTCTTCTAATGACAAGCAGCTATAACTCTATGCTTCCTCTCGCCACATTTTGTCTTTCCTCTCAAACAAACACACTAAAACACCAAATTAATCACAATTTTGTACAGCCTTATTTAAAGGTAAGAAAACAGTCCAAATTTAGCAAAACAATACTATTAGACTGGAGGATTAGATATTCTGTGACTGGAGAATGGACCAAGTTAGTCATTGATGATCCACGAGCATGTGACAATTAAAAAAAAACCTCTAAGTTCGTCTCTTTGTACTTTGTCCTCTCAGCCTAATGTTGCACAGAGTGTTAAAAATCTGGGTGTTAAGTCTGCCATCACTGGAGGAGATGTGATGAAGGGCCAATTCTGCTGATTCTCTCATGTGCTCCAATAAATGTAGTAATTACAGCAGTATACAGCAGGTTCTATAGGTTTATTCAAACTGTTATAAAGTCTGAAGTTAAAGGACAAAAGTTTCTGTTGTAAGGAAATAAAATAAACATAATAGATGGATGTAGATAAACCAAAGGTAAAAGATTTAATCAGCTTTTTACATTTAGGAAAGACTAAGAGTAAAACGTCACCTGACAGCACCTTGCGAGCTAGTATAAGTTAAACTCAGTGACCTATGTCTTTTGATGATTGATGGTTGTTGGTATGGCTGCCATGCTCTGGGCTTGTGTGTGAACCGCTCTGTTCCTCCTTAGACACGTTCTGTGAGATGTGTTGCTGCTTTGTTCCCATGTGAAGAGGGAAGTCCCTCTATTCTCTCTCATGACAGCAACAAGCCCCTTCTCAAGAGCCCTGAGTCCAAAACACTCACGCTGCTCGAGCTTATTTGCAGGGAAATCCACAAATCTTGGCGATAGAGTGGATTTAAAAGTTTCAAACTTATTTCTTTGTCGTAAATTTAAAAAAAGACAACACAAAATCCTTCTGAGAACAATTTTGACTAAGCTGTTGTATGATATGATATATAACTCATGTCGCCTTTTACTTCAACGCTACTCCTGTGCTAGAACTGACCTGATTGCTCTTACAGGTTTATAGAACAGGACAAAGATCCTTCGATTCTCAATCATAGATGTATTCTTTTTCAAACAGCTGCATTCAGTAATGAAAAACAGAAAGATAATTTCTGTGGATTACATGTTTTCAATCCACTCGGCAGTGAGGCTCAACATGCTTGGAGGACTTAAAGTCGATGTCCAGATGTCTGTGGCGAAGCTCATATGAGTAGCATTAGTGAGGAATTTCTCTATGTGACCAAAGATGAAGCTCTATATATCAGGTAGGGGGATATGTAATATGTAAAATGTTGTTTTCTTTCCTAACCTTGACCGGTTTCATCTGATTCCTACATTAGTAATCGACCGGTTACAGTTTTTGAACAGTCAATATACGGCCAATAATGACAGATCAGGTTGACTGATGGTCGATCTGTATTGCCTATATCTCTGTTTTTTGTTTGCTAGTCTTTGTAACAAAAAAAGTTCTAAGCTTGATTAAACATTTCAATAAATAACATTTAATTAGCTTTTTAAAAAATTCTTTGCTGTCATTGGGGATAAGAAAAAGATTGTTTTCAAAAGATCTTGGTGATATCGGCCAGATGCTGATATGATGATGATATCATCGTCCTGTGTAATCATCTATCCCTTCTAAACACGACCATAAAAATCTATTACAGCCAAAATCACTACTACTACCATGTAGTACCATGTCCTGTCTCCTTGATAATATACAACCACAAGTCAAGTGACTCCACCCTGTCCAGTCTGCCACATAAGAACAACATGGAGGAGAACTCCAACACCCACGAAAACACTTGAACATCCACAGTTGTCTATAACACTTATTTACAAGTGCGACAGAGTTTAAAAAGGAGTCAAAAAGAAAGACAGAAATAACTGAAGCAATTTCCTACCACGCTGCAAAGGATGTGACTCCTATAGCCACAGTGGAGCACAGGCAGTTTAAACTCATGGTTGACAGATATCAGACATCTGAGATAAATGTAAGTATTATAATAAAAACACTTTTATAACATAGGCTTTATGAAAACATTTCAACTGTACCCACACCCTTTCTTCATTAAAGGCTGTCTCAGTGTGTACGAAAGAAAAAGTAACAAGGAAAGAGGACAGAATCAGTGACGTAGCCCACTATGTTTTGCACAACACTGTACACTCTGTCCTATGCAACCTCTGAAATACCCGAGCCTGTAAAGCCACATCGGCCAGATGACTAACTTTGATGGGACACATGGCAAAACTTCCGTTACCAGGCTTCCACTCCCAGAGGAATTTTGTTTGAACTGTGTCTGTGGATTATTTTAGTCTCCCAGAATGATGAGTGGCGTCTCGTAGAATCGGGCACTCCACTGAGTAGACTAACAGAGGGAAATGCTGACACACTAAGTCAGACCTGGCATGGGTACAGGTTGGCCACATGGAGCAGAACTGCTGAAAACGTGTGGCAGGTACTCTGGTTTCACTTATTCCTCACAGCAGTAAAAAACCTCTAATGCCATTAGTGGCATACGCAGCTGCTCTGTGATTGTATGAAAGCCAGGACTTGAACGGACTGCAGTGGCTTTTTGACACCAGGAATTTGGCCTGGAAATTCTTCGCCTAACCTGGTCGTCTGGCTGCTGCTGAGTGACTGGCTGGTCGGCTGGCCGGCTTTGTAGAGGAAGGAAACATCTTCCTTCCCTCCATTGTGCTGGGCAGGAAAGGATGGACCGAAGCCAGCTGACAGCTGTTTCCTGGTGGATGGAGGAGGAATGGGTGCGTGGGTGTGAGGGGTGTTGTGCTCGTAGTGAGCGAGTGTGGGTTTTTATATCCACTTTGGACTTTTGCAAAGGTTTTTATGAGAAGTATAAATCTGGAGGTTTCACAATGAGATTGAAGAGATTAGTTTTATTTCAAAATCTAATTTTCTCTGACCTGCACAAACCATTAATCCTTAAATATTAGAAGCAGCTCATTTTTAAATTTACCACCAATTTGTAGGTTTACATCTAGCCTTTTCCTGTGCATTTTGGTGACGATATTTAAAAGGATATTTAATCTTTATATCATGACTTGTGTCTGCTTCCCTGAGTCCTCTCTTCCTTTGTTGCTGCAGGTCTATTTCTCTCTGTTTGTTATCACCTCCAACCATCCATCAGCAGGATAGTGTGAAACCCGCTGCAGGAATGTGTGCTGTGTCGCCCACTTGCTTCCTCACCTACTTGTGCACCCTTTGTGCAATTTGACTTCAGTCTTGATTTTATTCTTCCTACGCTTGGTATGTTTACACTAGTGCAAATATTCAATCAGACGGCATTGCATTCGTGTTTTGTTATGAAGATTTTGTCGCCCAAAATGGCGTGTTTACTGTAAAACAGTGGCGTCTTTTAATATTAGCTTAACACCATATTCTAACATTTCTTTCAACTCTGTCCTCATGTGCCCTCGCTTCCTCTCTCTCACTCTTCTGTTTCCTATTTCTCTCACCCTCCTTTTCCCCTCTCTGCTTTTGCTTCCCCCCTGTGTCTCGTTCTTTCTGAAGAGCTCTTAATTTCTGAGGCCAGCTGTGCTGTGAGATGTTTGCATGAGCATGACCTAGCATGACACATATTAAAGGTACAGCGTGTGAGATCGGGGCAGCAACTGGCGGGATGGGAGGATGACGTTTTCAAGCATGTTTTCATCGGTCAAAATCGAATTGGAAAAAAAAATATTGTTTTGTGGTTAGAGGAGATTAAGTCTTTCTAGCCACATAAGAGGCAGAGTCTGTGAAGTTTCTACAGTAGCCCAGAAAGAACAAAATTACAGAAGAGAGTCAGGGTAAAGGATGAGAAAAAAATTTTAATAAAATTTTGAGACGAAAGTTGAAGTACAGTTTCGAGAGGTGGGGGATGTGCTGAGTGGGGATTTCACACTTCAGCACAAAACTGTTCACAAAGCTGCTTCTGTGGATCTTATTTCACTGTACTGTATTAAAGTGTTTTTACTGTTTTTGAGAGAAGCCAAAGTTGTTTTTTTCTGTCACAGATATTTTGTTCCTCAAAGTTGGCGTGAATCTTCATCAGTTTATCAGTAAATATTTGCTTGTTACTGCTGCATATTATACTGATATGACCAATGATATAGGTCCTAAACAATAACAAGTCAGACATTTAAACATAATGTTAAAGGAAGTTGCAATAAGGTACACATTTAGGGTATAAATGAACACAGTATGCATTACTAGTAAATTATTGTTCAACTTCTTCCTTAAAAAACGATTCGATTTTTTTCTCAACATTGAAATTCCACTTTTACAAAATAAAATTCAGGCTCTTTTCTTTCTCAAAACGTCAATCTTTTCCTTAACAATATTATTTTTCATACTGATAAACCCTAAACCCTCTATTTTAACCCTCAGCCTCAACACTACTCTGTACAAAACAAACATTTTATCACAGGCCTTTTCTCCAAATCCACGTTTTGCGTTCCTGTTCCCTAAAAGAGGAGGATGAGAGGAAAGTTGAACAGTTGTTGTTCATCCTCCTAAGATAAAGATTCACGTTTTTAACAGTAAAAAAAAACTGTTTAGTCTCTATAAGCAGTTTTTCATGAGGCGTAACCTGAGAATGCGTTTTAACTTTTACGCACACTAGAATAGTCTTATTTTTCATCGAGCCTCGGCTGTGATTCACTTCTGCGGTAAAAATACACCACTCTTCTGTTAAACCTTTCATAACCTCGCATAAGAGATGTTTATTCTTGTTTTGAAAAAAGCCATAATTGCAAACTGCAGTCATCCATCTTTGTTGGAGCCATCATATTTCTCCCTGCTCTGTGGTTTGAGTGGGCCTCCCGGAGTAGACGTCATTACACTGGTTTCTGCTTCTAGGCCAAAACCGAGCTCACCAAGGATCCTTTTAGCTGCCTTCCCAGCCAGTTGTGATATCTGTGCCGTGAGTGACTTTAAAAACAGCCAATAACATCAAAAGAGGAGTCTTTTCTGCCGCTTTAAACTCTCTGTCCCACCAGTTTTGTCATAGCTGCTGCTGCTTCTTTCAATTTGAAGCGTGTCCGCCTACAATGATGTGAGGGGGCCGGCTAGATCCTGGTAGAGCAGCTCTCTGGCATAAAGCAGCAGGAGGGGGATCTTAGCGTGGCTGCATTTCCTGTCACTGCTCCACAATAGGAGCTGTTTTTGGGTCTCATCAGATGCTCCTCCGGTATGAAGCAGCTGATGCAGAAAAGTTTGTTTTGCATGTGAAATACTAAACATAACGATGACAGAGGGACTGATATCTCTACAGCGCTCACACCTGAGAAGAAGCTCTATTTGGACTCTGTTTATGTGTTGTAAGGTGTGAGGCACAGTTTGAGGGCATCTCCCGCTTCGTTTCTTCGTTTCCTGCCATCTTAGAGTGGGTTGGCAGCTCAGGGGATTTTTGTGTATGCGCTTTTCAGACTTGTTATTTTGATTAACTACTTTTTTACACGATCTAAATCTAAAACTCAACACCAGTACCCTCCCGAGGGTCAGTCATCCCTGCCTCTTTTCACCAGCTTCTCTGTCCAAAACACAGGATGACTTGTGTGACGGCTAAACCTTTATTTGGCGCCGTGGGGTAGCCCCCTTTCTAGTTGGTAAAGACACTTTTCAGAGCACTGATCTGCCCTGAAAACAAGAAACTTTTGATAATGCTCAAACTTTGAGTGCATCATGAATAGGAGAGGCATGTGTTTTAAGGGAATGACAGAATGAATGTGATGTACTATGATTGTCACAACAAAGAATTCTCTGTAATCCACTCCAGTATGCCTTTGGAGACCGGGCTACCCTTGAGACAAAAATACACCAGTCTGTTTGGTGCGCCTCAGATTAACAAGGCAGAGTGCACTTGGCCTGAATGTTAGACTAAAGCTATTTAAGAGCTAATTAAGCTAACATCACGAGCTACTAATCAGTTTAGTGCTTAAGTACTACCCAACAAACAAGGACAATAACACCAGGTGAGTGTGCTTTGTCCTGTTTTTTAACCACACAAGGATGCCGTATGATTGGCAGCCTGGTTATTATTGTTAAATGTCTTTTATATAGTTTTCCTCATGCTGCCTTTGACATTTTACATGTTGGTTGAGGAGAAAACGACCAAATCCAAGTAGTATTAGAAATGTTCTTATCAGATGATTCCATCCTCTTTGTGCTCAGGTCTAAAACACACGGTTTGTGCGGTTCAATCAGCAGTAGTGTTTTTGTTTTACTCCGATTGTGAGTGGCCTGGTCCACAACAAATACAGCCTGTAAGATCTGTGTGTGCTGAAGTTGAGTGCAGAGTGTTTGATGAAGTTGGGGGTGGAGTACGTGTGAAAAAATAGTTTACATGTGGGGGCTTGGTGTTGGCATATTATATAACTTCATTCTTCCATTTACATAATGACCATCAAATTCAATCACGCACAAAGAAAGACTCACATTAAGTTCTTTTTGGTGTCACTTTTGATGTATTTGTATTTATCGTTTATTTTAGCAGGAGGGACTCACCGAGGCGGAGGTGTTTTTCCAGGAGTGTCCTGCAGCTTGTGCTCTGAAATGAACCAAACAAACATAAATATAGTTAAGACTAGTTACAGATGCATTCATAAACCCATTCATACCTGCAAAACTTTCATACATTTCATAAATTTGAAATAGTTGTTTTTAAGTCGCTCAGAAAGCTCTTTAAAGTCATCTCTTGTGATATTGGGGGTGAGTAACATTGGCGTTGTAGCTCAGTATTTTTTGCACTTTGCACCCTTTAAAATATGTGAAAAAATTCTGTATAGAGCTGTAGATGTCCTGGACTGAGTCTTGTTACTAGTCTATGAGACAACATTTATGAAGACTTAACTTAATGTGGGAGAAACAGGTCCTACTAATGAATTTAAGTCTGAGTTATTCAAGTAAATATTATTCCAATATCACTAAAATGGGGGGTTTGGGGTTGTTTTGATTGCTTTTTGTGAAATGAGTGACATTCTTAATGTTAGCATTTTGCACATTCTTAAAACAACCATAAAGATATTAAGCTATATTCTACGACTGGCAGTAATATGGCCTTGATAATTCTTTTTGCATTTCTCTGTAAATAGAAAGTCTCAGTCATTCGCAGACGTACTTTAGTTGTAAATATTCGGTGTCGAGTCAGACTGTCTAAAAGAGTCTCAGCAAACATTAACTTTCCTTTGAATCGGTTAAATGACCTACTTAAATATATTTCGTCACTTAGCTGAAATTCCCACCAACGTGTGGCTGAAAAAGAGCTGCGAGTGAGCTGAGCTCTGCCTTTTGGTATCACCTTCTCTCTTGTTTTGGTACTTTTTTTTTCTGTCTGACTGCGGTCTGTGGTTTCTAAACACGGAAAGCAGCAGAAACAGAAAAAAAAAAGAAAAACCTCACACTTCTTTCCCCCCTGCCGTGCTCCCCCCCTCTGTCAGTCTCTGTATTTTTAACTCCATTTCTCTCTCTCTCTCTCTCTCTCTCTCTCTCTGTCTGTTCTTGCATTTCAGCCAGGTGTGTCTCCCCAGCATCCTACTACCCTACTTCCCACCGTTGCCGCCACTGTAGGGGGTAGCCATGGCAACCAGCGCTGTGCCAAGTGACAACCTGCCAACATACAAGCTTGTGGTGGTGGGGGATGGTGGAGTTGGGAAGAGCGCCCTCACCATCCAGTTTTTCCAGAAGATCTTTGTGCCAGACTACGATCCCACGATAGAGGACTCCTATCTGAAACACACCGAGATAGACGGACAGTGGGCGATACTGGATGGTGAGTATTTGTGTGTAACAGCGTTTGTTAAACTTCAAACTCCATCTTTGTCGTAGCCGTAGCTGAAATTCCCTGAAAGAATCAATGCAGTTTGGAAAAAGGAAAAGCCATGGCTTCTGCATGTGGGACACATTAGGCATCATTACATGTTTTTTCCTTTCCTCAGTAAAGTTTTGGTTCAGGCTTTGTTGGAAACATATAAATATCTGGGATGAATTAGGGAGCTATTCAACCGAAACCAAAATATCGGTTTTACAGCTCGCAGAGATGCATCTTTGTGCAAACTTTTACACTCTGCAACGTAATGCAATGCTTCTGCCAAGTCCCGAAAACTGTTCTGACACAGATGTGGTCTAAGAGCCATCAAGGTGACGCACAAGGAAAGGTGATAATTCAAATTTAAACTGGTTGCAAGACAGGGAAGAATTTAGAGGTGGTTGTTGTTGAATAAGAAGGTTAAAATTTGACAAACTCATCATGCAGCATCACAAGAGCTTCTTCTCTACGTCTGACCACAGGATTTCTGCTAAATATCTCTGTTTTACACACTGTACCCTAAATAAATGCGATAAGGGTTTGAGTTAGAAGTTCAAGCGCCAGTATTTTGAGTGGCTTTATCATTTGTTTTATCTGAACACACTTGATATTTCCCAATCATGACGCTGAATCAGGTTGAGGTGGCGCAGCGACGAACTTAGAAGAAGCCAAATGATTAATATGAAAATATTAAAAGTGTCTCATTTGTTTTCCTCTACCTCTGCAGTGCTGGACACAGCTGGTCAGGAGGAGTTCAGCGCCATGAGGGAGCAGTACATGAGGACAGGAGACGGTTTCCTCATCGTCTTCTCCGTGACAGACAAGGCCAGCTTTGAACACGTCGACCGATTCCATCAACTTATCCTACGGGTCAAGGACAGGTAGGATTTAGCAGTTCAGCAACACTCAACAAAGCTGCTGTTTTTTCCTCATACATGCTGAGTAAGGGACAGTACAGGAGATACAGTCACAAACAAGCTGTGTTTTGTGTGTTCTCTCCCCCACAGGGAGGCCTTCCCCATGGTGTTGGTGGCCAACAAAGTGGATTTAGTCCACCTGAGAAAGGTCACCACTGAACAGGGCCAAGAGATGGCTGCGAAACATAGTGTGAGTAGTGACGTTGGAGAGTTAAAAGTTAACGGAAGTTTCTTTTTCAGGGCAAAAATGTCTATTTTGCAGAACTAATAAGCTTTTACCTTCTTTGATTCGCTTTGTTCACTTTGATTGCTTATGTCTTCACTCTCTTAAAGGGATATTCCGGCATAAATTAATTTAGGGTCAAACACAAACGTTGCTGACCGTTTGCTTCTCTAGTTACACCAGCTTTAGTAACAACCACACGATACCACCTGTCAACCAAAATGCCACTCTATAGCCACAAGTAATACTCAGAACAGCACCTAACTTCATCAACAGTACATATAAGGTCCCAGCCATAGTACTAGCCACAAAACATCTTTTGAGCTTTGCCTAATCTCTTTAGGAATGAGACTAAACACAACCCACCTACTCTCTTCCAGCAGCCACTTGTCTGTATGGAGACATTGGGCGAGTCCAAACTGACTGCAGCGGGGTGACACAGCTCAAGGAAGAACATTTATGATCATTTCTTCATGGGAATACAATCAGACCGAGACGCTAAGGCAGAAGAACTACAGCGTCTGCAGTGAAAAATGATTAATATGGTGATTATTACTTCAAGGAATTGATAAAGTAATGATCATAAATGTTCTTCCTTGAGCTGCGTCACTCTGCTGCAGTCCGTAATGCTCCACCTGAGGTCTCTGTACAAACAAGCAGCTGCTGGAAAAGAGTGGTTGAGTTGTGTTTAGTCTCTTTGTTAAAGAAATCAGGCAAAGTTAAAAAGATGTTTGGTGGCTAGTGCTATAGCTAGGACCCTATATGTCCTGTTGATGAAGTTAGGTGATGTTCTGAGCATTATTTGTGGCTATAGAGTGGCGTTTTGGTTGAGGTTTGTTTATGGCTCCCCAGACCGCTGTGTATTGCTATCCTGCAGTCGTTACTGAAGTTGGTAAAACTAGAGAAGCAAGCAGTCGGCAAGATTCATCTCGAGGGGGGGGTCTAACTTGGTGTTACGGTGTGTTTGACCCTAAATTAATTTTGCACCAGAATATCCCTTTAAGCAGCTGCTTGTTTTATCCTTCATATTATCTCACATCTCTCATGCTCGGATTTGTATTATCTCTTTGTTTCTTCAGATAACTTATATTGAAACCAGTGCCAAGGATCCTCCAATGAATGTTGACAAAGCCTTTCATGAGCTGGTTCGTGTGATAAGGTAACTTTACATTATCTTGTGTTTATATTTTACCCCTGAGATCACTGTAAAAGGAGAAAAAAGGATCAAAGTGGTCTACAAAACCAGGGACTGTCCTCACAGATTAGCCAGAGGAAGCGTATCATATTTCTGTCTTTATTTCCACGAGTACGGTAAGTGGTTCTGACGGTGTTGCACTGGTATGTGAGAGAAGTGAAAGGGTTTTAGTGGGAATGGAAAAAAATCCCATAGCTATTTCCTGTCTTGATACATGTGTAATTTAAAAAGAATTTGGGTATTTTTCCATGTTTTGAATGTTATTACCCTTCATCTATTATCACAGAGAGCGCTAAGCAACAAAGAGGGCCGTCAGTTTTGAGGGTTTTGTTCCACTCACTGAAATCCTCTTCTTAATTCACCTCTGTGTTTGTTATTCTCAGAAAAGTTCTTACTGTAACCAACTAATAAAAAAAAACCTCTCAGGAGAGTCGAGTGGTGGATCAATGTTGCCCTCTAGTGGTCAGACTGCAGGAAGCCAGGCGTGCAGGAGATGACTAAAGAAATAATGAGTGTGCACTTTTAAAAATGATGCCTCAGCGGTTCAGGCTCAAGTGTTCCTCTTCTTTAGACTGGTGTCAGTTGACTAAGACTTCCTCAAGCACTGGCCTATTCACTGTTGTGTGTCAGAGTCTTCAATGTTGTGTTTCAGTCATATGAACTGAATCATTTTCAGTCAGTAAAACTTAAATTTGATGTTGACTGAATTACACTTCTCCTTTATCTGCAACTTCTGTGTAAAAGAAGAGTAAAAGTTGCTAAAAAAGTGTTTTAAAAAAGTTGAATTTAATTAAAAAAATTTAAAAAAAGCTTTTTTTTTTTTTGCTAGCCCTTGTGTCTGTAATTATTTCCCTTGTCAGACTGTTTCCTTTAAATCCCGTTTTCTTTACACCGACAGACAACAGGTCCCAGAGCGAAACCAGAAGAAGAAAAAGAAGATGAAATGGAGAGCAGAACGCTCCACAGGTTCCCACAGGTTCCACTGCGCCATATTGTGACCTCCCTCGTCCTCCGCTATCAATAGTAACATAGACACCAACATGCACACCCATATACCTTTGGATTTCAGGGAATTACCGAGCAGTGGTTAACTACTGGAGCACAAAAAGGAGGGGAGGGGGTCAAAGAAGAGTTTGGTGGATACTCAGAGACAGATGGAAATATTGGACCGATGTTCCCTCACTGTTCTCGATGCCTTTGGGATGAGAGCTATGCTTTCTCTTCTCAGTTTGTAGTCCTTTCCAAAGGTCTTTATGTCCCTCTCATCTGTATTCACGCAGAACTACAGCATCTGAGAACTTCACCAAGTGTGACTTTTGAATTCAGTATCAAATGTGGCACAAGAAAACAGACTCTGGGAGAAAAAGCCAGACGTCAGGATGATCCTAACATTGGGACTTTTATCTTCTTGAAAGGGAAAAAAAAGGGAGGAGTCGTCTGAAAATGGCGCTTTATTTTCAGGACTCGCTCCAACAGCCTGCTGGTCAACGCCTGTCTATCCTCAAACTCCTTCATTTTCAGGAAGAAAAACACCCGTGGGATTTTCAAACCGTGTTCTCTCTTTACGGAGTGAACATCATGAGGGAAGGGCTGATCGATATGGTGGCAGGGATTTCGGTGGTAAAAATAGATGTCGTGCGGTGTCGTGGACGAATGAATCGTGGGTTCTGTGAGTACATCTCGTACCTCGTGGTCGTGTGACGCTTTGGTTTTGAAAAGTTAGTTCAGAGAGGGTGGAAGGATGTCTCGTACGGAGTGAAAGAGCTGCGGTGTGATGCAGAGACGTTGTGTCACATCGGTCGAGTTATTGTTTCAATATTGTAATCGTAAATGAGAGCGAGTGAAGTCATTGGAAACGTAAACATAACCAGGTTCGTACCAACACTCACCTGTCAGCGGCCATGTTTACAGACACTCTGAAAACGGATAATTACCAGTCAGGTTATTAGAGCCTCTTTACATCAAGCGTGTGATCGTAATTATGGTTGGTCAAATTTGCCTCTTCACTCATCACCTGCAGCGAGATGAGTGCAGCCCATATCAGTACTGTATCACAAATGCCCTGAGAAGTTTTTGTCTTTGTAGTCTTAATAGATTCTCCTCCAGCCAGTTTTCTTTCAGTGTTCAGTAACTCAAAATACAGACTATAACGATTTATATTTATATAGAAATCTAATCCTAGGTTACAGTGTCTTTTAAATTAAATGCTGTTATACACAAGAGCTGTTTAATTTACCATAGATAAGGGATAGAGAGAGCTTCATGTTTCAGCTGTGAAACAGGCTGGAGAATCTGATTTGCACTGGCCGCTAACCAAAACAATGTGATGTCACTTTATTCCAATCCTGGGGCTTTTTCTGACGGCGCCTGAGAAGAGTCATGAACATACCCGAGTCAGGAAGGTGGGGCTATCCTCCTAGTGCTTGAAGCCATGTTAACCTAGCTACAGGCTAGCTGTAGGGAAAACCACACACTCAAAGCAACAAGACATTCATCGTGTTCATGTTTGTGCCCGTGAAAGTGGATAGGAATGTAGAATTTACTAACCTATGAAATGGCTCGTACTGTTAAAGCACTAAAGTTTCAGCGGAAAACTTTTCTGTGTGGATAAATACGCTCTCTCTCTCTCTCTCTCTCTCGAAGGAATACATTTTTGCACTTTTAATACGATTTTTCCTATCAGCATGTTTGTTTTCTTTTCAAATCAGTCGGTGAAATGAAAGGCACAGTCACAAATGATTTGAATGTAAAATCGAATATCATAGAAATGAGCAAACAGATGATCAGTGTTGTAGCCCTGTGTGCCTGTGTATGCCTGTTGCCTCCGTGAAGATTGTAAACCGATGAAATAAATAGGAATCTAATCATTGAAAAGGCGACGAAAGAAAAGTTCTGCTTTACTCCGTCGTGTTTATGAGAAGGCGTGCAACTTCACCTCAGCATGAGTATGGAAATGGAGGAATCCACGTCAGCTGTTTTTAAAGGGACATTACGGAGAGTTTCCAGCGAAGGACATGAAACGCGATAAAGCAACAGACTCTGGATCCTAGTGGAGTAAAGAAAAAAAAAATCTGAATGTGTTTAATGAAAATGTTGCATCATGTATGTTTGATACCATTTTGTATTATTGATATGAATTATTGATATGATTCTTGCAAAGTGTTTTTTAAACAACTGAATAATTTATTACTGTCTATGTTACCTCAGCTTGTCCCAGACCTGGACAAAAAGCTTAAACTCTTCCCCTCTTTCTTTCTTTCTATCTTTTTTTTTTTTCTTATGGACTTCATCAGGTCTCTGAGCCTCCAGATCAAGATACTTGTAACACGTCATAGACCATGATGAAGTCTGATTTGTTAAAAGAAGCAGGCGGACTTCTGCTTTACTGGAACTCACGGCCTCACAAGGAAAGTTTGTTGAAATCTTAAAAAAGAATTGAATGTGAAAGTTCTCAAATGATCACAGTTTTCCTTAGCAGACTCACTGGTGTCTCTTTATTCTTGGTTTGGGGTCCAAAATACAGTTTCAGATTATGAAGTTACTCCTCTTGAATGAATCTGAATGCTTAGTAAAAAAAAAAATAAACCTGTTGATTTCTTGAGCTGGCTTCACATTTCAGACAGACCAAATACAAACTCTGAAAGTGAAAAAGATGAGCCAATAATGTGAGTCTTGATCATGAGCTAAATTGAGCACTTTTTGTTTTGATGAATGGGAGAGGTAGCAATCCTTCACACCAGGTTTTGTTGAAGTTATGCTGTTGATTTGCATTGTGTATGTCCCAGTATATTGTCAGTATGTAAAGGGGTGTTGTGCACTCAGAGATGGATTACTAAAAGCAAAATTTGGAGTCGTCGGCTAAGTCGTGTATCGTGTGTTTTTGGACAGGTCTGTTGTGTTTTAAGTGGCTGTGTCAGACTGAGGAGCTAGAGGAGGCACAAACAATCTGTGGCCTTTTAATCTAGCCTCAGGGGTCGATTATATTTCAATAAAGAAATACAATTATTGTGACATTACATGTTTGCTTCATTTATCTTTAAAACACGTATGCATGATATCAAACTTTTGCTCACCTCTCTGCAGAGTGGACTGTGATGGAGTGTTGTAAAACAGCAACAACGAACACAGCTACATGTGTTTGGAGAGTTGTTCTGCTTGTTCAGCAGAAGCCCTCCTCATTAATCTTCAGAGCCGTCAGGGTCCATTGAGTTCAATACGGTGAGAATGCTGAAAGCACCTTTTGCCTCATTGATTTCAGGCCCTCAGGGGAAGAGAGGCGCGCCTGGCACACAGAGCAGGTACTGCATCTCTGTCATCGATTCACATGAATGTTCTTTCACAGGGAAATTGGCACAGAGGAGCACTACATATGAAACACAAGGAAGGGAAGAAAGCAGCAAGATGGTTATAAAAGTGGTATTTAGTTTATATCTTTGAGTGATGCTGCACGCATGCAGACGAAGACCAAGAAGAGAGCCCACATCACACCAATTTTAAAATCTCTGCATTGGTTACGTGTGTCTTTTAGAGTAGATTTTAGGTTCTTTTATTCGTTTTTAAAGCTCTTAATGGTCTTGGTCCTTCGACCGTATGAGCCTAGTAGAGCGCTCAGGTATTCAGGTCGTGGTCTTTTAATTGTTCCCAAAGTAAAAACTAAAACATATACATTACAGTCTCCATTTGTGGAACAGCCTATCTGCAAACCTGAGAGCGACACCTGCTGTTCATATTTTTTAAGTAAACTCAAGACCGACCTTTTTAGTCTGAATTTTAGTTGAATTTTGTTTTAATCTTAATCTGCATTATGTTATTTTTTTACCCTATTTTAGTTGTAGAGTAACAATTTTGTGTTTTATTACCTCTTTTTAATTTACTTTTTTATTGTTTGATTTTTAAGACTTTTATTTAACTTTTAATGCTTTATATTATATTATATCTTTATTATTATATTTTATTATGGTTTTATCGTTTTAGTCCTTGATCCAGTGTTTCCTTATTTCTTTTAACTTAAGAAAGCATTTCCTCAGTCATCTGTGGAAAGTTGAAGAGTCCTCATCTGATCTTTTTAGTGTGTGCATCTGTGTGCGTGAGTGCTCTATGTGTTGAATGGGGGTTGGGAGGGTGGGTGGGATTTTGTATTTGTATTTTTATTTATTTTATTTCATTGTTTTTAATGTGCCACATTATATGTATGAAAAGTGCTTTAAAAATAAAGTTTAATTGAGTTTGATTGATGAATAAAGGGGGGGCCATCTCCTCATCTTTAAAGTGAAACACCCTGCTGTATATGTGGCTGTGAAAATATAAATAAAGTTCCCAATGCATTAGAAAGATCCTTAACACCAAAGTTGAGCCAAAATAACTCGAGGCCATCAGAGATATATAAATATTTTCTCCAAGGATGTGTCTGTATACAGCAAAAAAAAATTACGTTTTGTTTCAAGTTTCTCTATTTGATGTCTGACCACTAGAGAGCAGCACCTCACTAGTTTCCAACTATCTTTTTTAACTGGGCTTGTGCACGCTTTATAAAAACACAGGTGTTTGAATTCATAAGAGACATGCTGAAGATTACTCAAAGAAATAAAAACTCCATTAACATTCTCTGAACACTTTTACTGACAGAATCAATCTGTTTTATTTTTTGAGTTTATCTAAAATATAAATGCATAAGTTTTCAATAAGTCTTATGTAATAGCTTATGTTTTTTCTTATTACAACAGCTCATTTAAATGCAAATAAGTGGTAAGAAAAGGGACCTGCTTTGAAATAAGGTGATGTGTAGCATACTAAATTTATTGTGTCAGGCGAAAGCAGACACTGAATTTCTTGTGTGACATTTTCAAAGCCACTCAGAGATCAGAGCTAACCAATTAAAGATGTTATTCCTCAGCTGTGTCTGAACACACACGCCTACCTTACTGCCACCATGAATCACGTCACTTTGATGTCATGTGAAATTGATGAGTCCTGGATGAATAAAAAAGCTAATGTTCCCCACCTTCATTTTGCGTCTTTTGTGGCATGCAGCACATCTGAGTTTCAATTTCATGATCTTCATCCCATTTCTATAAATGAGAAAATTCTCATTCATCTCACACATGGGGCACATCTTGTGTTTTGTTCGATTACTCCTCACTTCTTGCGGACATCTCTTGTTTCGTTTCATGTTGCAACCTCAAACGGGCTTTTCATTAATCTAACTCATTTCACACCTCATGCTCTGTATCACCACAGACACCTCTCTTACAAAAGGTAGCTGCAGGGTTCTGGCCAGTGTACTTCTTTCCTCCATTTAATTACACTGTTACACAATTTCTTACTGGCTGTCTGGATTCAAATGGGCAGACTTTGCAAGAACAGAATCTCACCTTTTTTAATGTGAAGGCTCATTTATTGCAGCAGCCAGTCTGGTTTTATTTTTAACAGCATCTCTTATGCACAGCAGAGGTCATGCAGAATAAATGTGGATCCATCACTTTGTGTTTAACCTCACACATGTGCGTTTTACATGGACTGAGGGTCTATTTATGCAAAAGTAAAGCAACAGAATCAAAAGTAAGTTTGAAGCTTTGCATGAGTTAACTTCACAGACTTGGCTGCTCCATGCGGTCTGATGGTGGATTTAACATCAGTATTACACATGCCTTTGACAGTTAATAACTGATTAGACAAGGGCTCCTCTGTGAAGTTTGTGATGTGTGTGTGTGACTGTGGTCGTGTGGGATTAAAGGGGTATTTCAGCATTTTTTGAGTGTGGTTATAGAGTTGCATGTCACTATAGGTGGGCTAGCCACAACGGTTGCTGGTCTGCTTAGTCCTTGTAATAGAGATGGGCACTGCAGTTTTTTTAGATGTACTGAATCACTAGAATCAGTTCACTAAAAAGATTTGTTCAAAAGATTCATTCGCCAAATCACTGAATCATGTAGTGCCTGGCAAGAGGCCTGCAACTCCGACCTCCTGAACTGATACACAGCTGAACGTTCAGGATTCCGCTTCTGAGACCGAGAGACGGGAGTTTTGGGCTGTCGCTTTGGCAAACAGGTTTGTAAAAGTGAATTTGTTTATAAGTCATGATTTTTTAAGTGTACTGTACTACGGTATGCTATTTATCAGGTCTGCTCGGTGAATTGGGCTCAGTGAGTGATTCGTTTGATTAATTGTATTTTCGATTTTATGTTTTTTCTAGTCATGTTTTTCTTCATTTTGATTATTGTGCTCAAGTGTTTTTTTTATGCTCCCTTTGTTGCAAAACCAATTGCCCCATTGGGGGACGAATAAAGTTATTGATCGATTCATTGGAAAAGAAGTCTGTCGCTTAATTTATTTTATTTTATCATTTTTAATCAAATTTTTGTTCTCTCTTTTGCTGAATTATTGTTATACATTGTCATATCTATGGCTTTGCTGCATTACTACTATGTATGAAATGTGAACTGGAAATGCTGAATTTTGTTGTTAATATCATTTTTAATTAAGTTGTGAAAAAACTAGAAAAAGATATCCTTGTCCCAAACGGCCAAACGAGCTCAGATTCTTTTTGTTAGTTGATAGTTTTTCTCCAGTTTTTGTTATTTACCGTTGTTGCACCCCGAGGAGGTAATCATTCTTTGTTATATAATCATCCTGTTTTTCTTTTTTGGTAAATAAATTACTCCTTTGTAAAAACTTAGAAAGCTTTTTACGTGGCTGTTTGGGAGGTGGGTGAAATGGGTCCACTTTCATTTTGTTTTCTTTGCTTCTTCTAGATGGGTCATAGTAACAGAAACCCATGCCAAAAATAGTGAAACACCCCTTTAAGTTCAGATGTGTGACCAAATATGATCATCTGCTTCAGCCCTGAGGAAAATGTGCCAGCTCATGCATCCAGCTGTCTGCCCCATTGCTTTTAACCTTAGTGCCGCCATGTCTAATATTCACTTTTAATGATAACAGGATATGAGGAGCAGGTGTCTGATGATTGATTGCAGTGATTTTCCAAGGACTTAACCTCACCTATTGTGAGGAAAACCAGACGTATTAAATCGTGGTTTGAATAAAGCTGTGTGGGGCCGATGACCATGACTACTGCGATTCAAAAGATATGTTGTGAATTAGAAGGATTTCAAAAATGCCATATCAAGCGGTGAGAGTTGACAGCTCGGAGAAAAGCAGGGTGGTTGAAATTCGAGACAAATTGGGTTCTTTTCACTTGCTATTGAGATAAGCAGGCAGCAGGATAGATTAAAATTAATAACTTCAGGGGAGAGAGCAAAGCGAGGGCAGAAATGTGGAAGTCAGAACAGATTTTTATGAGCTCATTTGTCACTGCGAAGTCAAAACTCAAGATCAGAGAAATGTGTGGAAATACAAATAAAGAGCTGATAGAAAAGGTGCAAGGCGATTGAAATCTAATACAGGATATCTAAAAGGCAACAACTAATACTTAAAATAAAAAAACCTCTCCTTAGTCAAAGGAAGGCTTATCTTCAGTCTGCAGGTATTCTCACAAATCTTCCTCTCCTTGTATCAAACCCACATCTCTCCAAATCTCCTACTCCTCTAACTGAAGGGTTGTGGTGCCTTTCTTCTGAATGCCTCTCTCTCAGATGGCCTCGTCTGTCTACCAGACGTTGTTAGTCAGCTCAGCTTTCATGGAGGTTTTTTTTTTCTTTCTGAGTTTTTGTACTGGATGAAAAGCTCATTTTGTGGCTTTGGATCAAATTTTGAGTCTCTATTTTATATGAATGACTCATTGACGGAGAATTCAAAGCACTGATTTGACGTCAATGCTAACCCCAGGACGCCATCAGACTCATTGTTTCTTCTTTAAAATGCGAGGAGGATTCATTGTCTTATTCTCTGTGGAATAATAAACATGTTTTCACTAATTGTTTGTCTACAGTAGCTGAATAAAACACCGTCTGTAGACTAAAATCACAAACGTATAACTTTTTATTGAGCAATAAAATTAATTTGCCACTTCTTAGACTTTTGGATTTAAAGTAAGAACTATTCATTACAACCTACTTATTATTCTTGCTTATTACCCGAGTGTGTTAAATACTTGATTCTGATTGGTCAACACCATAGACTCTGTATACTATGGACAACTTGGTTCCGCCTCCCGCCTGTATACGTATTTGAGGCCAAAAAGCTCTCGGTATTTTTCTTCACTTCCTGAAACCAGCGCTGCGCAGTAGCGTTGTGCGCATTCGGCTGGAGAGTCGCCAAGAGTCGCTGTGATGACGCTCGGCTCAAACAGCGTATCCCACGGTTGAGCTACGCAATCCCTGAACGCCAATAGACTGTATCAAAGAAAACATGAACCCCCTGATAACTTTTAAAAACAGAGCTGCACAGAAAAAAGAGGACTTGAGCACAAACGAGTCTTACAGTAACTAGTTTGTCCACAGCTCCATAAGCTTTGCTGGCGGAGGCGGGATTTATGACCTATACAGCAGCCCATCAACAGAGGGCGCTGTTCTCAGAGTGGCTTCACCCAGCGAGGAGGCAGACGCTGTCCATTCTATATACAGTCTATGGTCAACACTGGTTGACAGCGGTTATTAACAGCATAACAAGAGTAAAACCAGAGAGACAAACAGATCACACAAACACACGTCAACTCAGTCCCAGGAAAACAGACCTGGCATTTAACTCCTGCTTATTGACACTGTGACAAAAACATTCCTGTTAGCATGCTAAATTTGTAAGCTAAGCAACATCCTGTCCTGCAATCCAGGCAAGGGCAACAGTTCTAGTAAATGCATCTCTACCTTACGGATTGCTACGAGTCAAGGTCAAATCTCAGCCCACAAGAAAATTGATTTCCATGACTACTGGTTCGACAAGCATTATCCCTTACTCAGAGCCTCATTGTACCCACAGTGCATTTTCAAAAGCAACTGAGGTTCATTAAAAAGGTGATTTGTAAAGTTATGTGTCAGAATAAAAAGGAAAAAAACAGACAGACCAGAGGAGTGCGACCAGCAGTCTTTCCGAGGTCAATTCTGATTTGAATTAAAGTTAAAAAAAAAAAAAAAACACATAAAAGTTTATTTTTATTAAAATACAGAAGGCAAACTTTTATTTTTATTATTAATGTCGATTTTTCTTGTTGTTGAGGCTACTGTCTGTACAAAACAAATCTACTGTGACAGGAAAAATATGCCCTCATCATCTTCCTAAGGATAGACCTATCATTTATTCTGTTTATTTACCATCCCTGACTAGTTTGCTAAAATGCATTCAGTCTAGACTAGAGGTTCAGCTAGGTGAGCCTTGCAAAGTTAGATCTGTAGCACTGGCGCACTCTGCTGCACATCCTGTTGCCCTGGTGTTGCAAAGGTGCGAGGACCTGTCCAGGCCGCTTTCACTCTATCTGCACTTTTGAAACATTTCAGTAAAGTTAAGTTTTTAAACTCTAGATCAGAGTCCTTTTGTTTCCCTTAGTTATCATTCAAACAGCACTCACTGGTCCTTTTGGGTTTTAAAATATATAATACTTAAAAGCAAAAAATGGTAATGCTGCTGCTTCTTTTCCCCATGAACTCGGACTTAACAGCTGTGTCCATGTTTTTTTCAGTCATTAGGCCACATCAGTGAAATCCTACAGAAGCAGGAGGAAGTAGTAACACAGCCACTCTGACTAATATGCAATTCAATTAAAAATAAAGAGACAAAAGTTATAATAGTTCATCTCGAGGGCAAGAATGCCTCCTATAATTCATTCCACACCATCCAATTACTGTGGAGGTATGTCAATCAAAAGCATACGCTCATACCTCATTATCTTTCTCTATCATATGAAAATGAATATTTACATTGATGGAGATGCATCTTAATGATCCACCTTTGACTCCAGATCCTTTAAGGGTGCCTGTTGAGACGGCTGAGCTGCTCTGTTGTGGGAGAGGGAAACATAACTCACTTTTTGGTATGCAAAGTGGAAAGTCAAACTAAGGCAGGAATAAAAAGTTGGTAATAGAAAATGTCAGACGGCGGAGTTGTAGTTTCGCTTCTTTTAAAACAATACAAATCCTCTATGAATATATTTAAAGAGTTTTTTTCTGCTCGCTGTTATGAGGAAATGTGTTCCAGCCTCTACAAACTACAACAACTCGATCATTTCAATGTATTTGGACGCATTAATGACGGGATCAGAGAGGAATCAAACACACAAGTCTACATACTTTACCTGTTTCTTACAAAGTCGAAATTTCGAGATTAAAAAAATCGAATGTTTGTCAATTAAATCAAAATTTCGTGATTACAGTCGAAATTTCGAGATCACAAAATATTGAAGTGTCGTAAATAATGTCAAAATTTGAAGATTGAAAAATTTAAATTTTGAGATCAAAGTTGAAATTTTGAGATTAAAGTCGACATGAATAAAGTACAAATTTGGACTTTTTGAAATTCTGACTTTAATCTCAAAATTTCGACTTAAATCTTGAAACGGAAATGAAAAAAACCTCCCTGCTGTAATTACTTTTTTCTCTTCTTGTGGCCCTACTCCTCTTTTGCAGTTTCTGGATTACTCTAGTGGTTTTAATTATTTCATATTGTTCAAATTGCAGCCTCACTGTTTACAAAAGTCTAAAGAAAGACTGCAGCTGGATCGAGAGTGGAAAAATTGTTTATCGATAGTGTTGTGCTTACACAGAATATACACAGTGGCACAAGATCTATATGTGACTTGGATCAATAGGTTTGATTGAGGTTAGGCAGCAGATATTTGGGAATGCTCTTGAGGCAGCAGAATGTTTATTCCTCTCTCAGCGCTCGTGGATTGATTTATGGTAAATGTAGTAAATGCTGATGTTTACCATTTAGGCAGGAGGGAAGTTTGTACTCAGTGTCTCATATGTAACAGCAGCTGTGCCGAGGTTATTTCTCAGTGTGTAATTTTCTTTTACGCATTGATATCTTGTTATCTTTGAGTGGTTTAAATTGTCCCAGTTGGAAAAGTGGGTTTGAGAATAAACGCTTCACACCTCTCTTGGCCGTCGCTTGTCTTTTCTACTTGCAGGACACGTCAGTCAAAGTTATGGTGCAGCCTTTCTGCAGTTTTTTACTGATGCAACAAAAATGAGAACAGTTTTTCATTTGATTTATAATTTAATATTATTCTTTGAGACGTGCACTCCTGAAAATTTCAAGAGGTGCTACAGAAAAACAGAGAGATGTGCAGGACACTCTGTTTTTCATCTTGATAATGTCTTCCTCGATAACCTCAGGTGTTTACCTCACGTTTATACCTTTTTGCGCCTATTGTATTAGTCGTCAGCCCATTGCTCTATTGCCCTGAATTTTCCTGAACATTTCTCACTAGCCCTGTTTACATGGGTAGTTTTCCACAATCTGATTGAAATCGGTCGGATTAAGTGAATCTGATTCTATCTGTATACATGAACTTTAAGTAAAGAGATCCACGTTCAATCCGTGTTTGCATGGCCCCAGCTGAATCCGATTGTATTGTTTTTTTTACATGCGCAGAAGGTCACTCTGCCACTACCTGCAAATGTGTAAGAGAAGAAGAGGTGCACTTCCTGCTTCCTGTTTACCTGTAGAAAGACGCTTATTGTGTTGTGGTTACATTTATTTGCGGCTGTTAAGTCACAGCAGTTTGCCATGTTTGTTTTTGCTTGGGCGCGCTCTGCGTACGTCACTACGTGCCTCTTACGTACTACGGAGCGCCTGCGCAGACCGAACAAGCCTCTCTGTAAACCCAATCCGCTCCCCTCAGCCGTATATATAGAGCATGGAGCGGATTATCAATCGGCGTAGACTACCTCTTACAATCCGACCTGAAATTCAATCAGATCCGGGTGAATCAGATTGGCTAAGGTGTTTATATGAGACATTTTGAATCTGATTAACCTTTCAATCTGACTGTAAATAGGAATTTTGGACCCATGTAAACGGGGCCAGTGAGTCACTGATTTCATGCAAAAGGAAGAAGTTTGAGTAAAGACAGAACAGATGAAGATGTCATGCAGCAAAGGGTCATGGCTGAGAATCAAACCAGCAACCTCTGCGACAAGGACTAAAGACTTAAAACATGGGGTGCCTAGACTGTTAGGCAGAATTAACTCCCTTGCAGGCTGCAGATGGTCACACTTTTCACACCATATTTAACAAATATAACTCGAGAATCTTTGAATTTAATCCTGTTTTAGCTCCAACAGAAGTCTGTGTTCATTTTTTGAGGGTTTTGTGTTCGTGATGTGTCAAACACGCTCTCTGACAGCACAGAAAAGTGCAGAAGATGCTCTGAATAGAGCATTCATACTTGGGTTTGACTCTTAAAATCAGCCAAACAATGTGGTCGCCTCGACCTGTCTGCAGAGGCTGATAATTTTTCTTCCATTTGAGTTCTCCAGTTGGTCTCTCAACAAAAAGGTTGAGCCGTCTGGGATCTCCTCTGAGTAGTTCACTCACAGTTGAAGTATCTAATAAAACACTATTTCAAGAAAATCAGAACTGGCTCTATGATATTTTTCTTTATAGAGAAAAAGTTGACTTACCCTGGTTACAAAAGTCATACCATGATATGCACTTTTTATGGATTATGGGAAACACAACAAGTGTGCACTCATTGTTTGCATGATATTATGACTATTTTAACCAAGCTCGAAGCCGATTAGTTTTGTCACAGTAGAATTTGGGGTTTTAAGTCTTTTCTCTATTGTGAGAGTAAACTTCAGACTTAATAATACGTTTCAAACCTTATCAGACTACAATGAAAGGCAGTTTCCATTTTATCTTCTTAAAATAATCCCACTTTATATGCACTTCATTTTGCTACTGAGGAAATTACAGCTGCGCCCCTTGCTGTCAGGGACGATTCATGAGCGAATAACCAATTTACAGCGCACAACAGAGTCAATCGCTGAGTGTCTGTTCAGGAAGCCCAGCAGGAGATGAGGGAGCGGTTCTTAACACAGCACTCTGTCAATGTCTGAAGTCTGATGGAACATTGAATGAGCTTCAGCACATCCCAGGTCACATACGGATACAAAGGCAAGAGGTGTTGGTATGAAGAAAGAGGTCCATGTCTAACAACACAGACAGAACATGGTTATTACAGGCTTTATGTAATCCTTTAATTAAGTGACTGCGAATAACAGCAGGCCAGAGATAAAGGTCAGCGCCATTTAGGGCTTCTCCAAGGCTGGACTGAGACAATCCTTCAGGCTGGTGAATATAGCGCTGAATAAAACTCCAGCTAGGTCAGTTTTTAAGTAGAGACTGAAAGGGGTCACATAGGTCGTCTTTTGAAGAGAGACTTCATGTTCTACCTTCAGATGAATACTGCTGCACAGCATGTGAATCACAAACTAATGAGAAAGGACAGCTAGGTGCAGTGTTATGAACCTGAAATAAATCAGGTTTTTTCCTGTTTAAGAGGGAGACAACACAAGGACTAACATTGAATCTACTTATCTATATCTATCTATCCATCTATCTATGGTCAAATACAGCCCATGTAAATCAGGATTTATTCCTTTGATTCAATTCAGAGATCACATCTTTTCAGTGTGATTATTATAGAGGGACCAGTTTCATCTTAAACCTGGGTTAGCGGGGTGATGCAGCTCAAAGAAGAACATTTACGATCATTTCTTCATGGAAATCCAATCAGACAGAGACACTAAGGCAGAAGAACTACCGCGTCTGCAGTGCAAAATGATTAATATGGTGATTATTACTTCAAGGAAATAAAGTAATTATCATAAATGTTCTTTGAGCTGCATCCCCCCACAGTAGTCGGTAATGGACTGGCCTGAGGTCTAGCTACAAACAAGCAACTGCTGGAAGAGAGTAGGCGAGTTGTGTTTAGTCTCTTTGCTAAAGAAATAAGGCAAAGCTATAAACATATTTGGCGGCTAGGACCCTATATGTACTGTTGATGAAGTTAGGTGTTCTGAGCATTATTTGTGGCTATAGAGTGGCGTTTTGGTTGGTCACGTGGCTCTCTGTATTGCTATTTGTGGTCGTTACTAAAGTTGATATAACTAGAGAAGCAAGCGGTCGGCAACATTCATCTCTGGAGGGGCTGTCTAACTCATTGTTACCTAAATTAATTTTACGCTGGAATATCCCTTTAACTCTCTCTGGTTTCATACACGAACTTCAACATCTATCTGCAAACCTAGGGATGACTGTGTTACATAACTGAACATGATAAAACTTTGTCTGAAACACAGATTTGAAAGGGAACAGGAGTTTTCCTTTAGTTTGTTGCTAACTCACCTGCTGGTGTCTTACCTCAGTATATTAGCTTGACTTCTGAACACTTACCAGCATCTCCTGACCTGTTTCTCTCCCTCCATGCTCCATTCTTTATCATCTTCTGACCTCTGCTGTTTTCTCTGTCTTGTCTTCAATCCAACATCGAATGCAAACCATCACCAGAGTGAATGCAAAGCAGCTGCAGGTCCTCCATTACGCTCTTACTCCTTCAAAATAAGAGCATTTCCCTGAAACGATTACACAGCACAAACAAAAAGACACCAATTTGAGAGTTTTTTTCTTACAAAAACAAAGTCATGGTGATGTTATATTACCAGAATAAAGCAGTAAGATTATGGGATTAAAGTCATACTGTTACAAAATTAAAGTTGTAGCAATGCAACTTTGAGAGAATTAACATACCCCTACCTATGAAGCGCCATTTATTCTCCACACTTAGCTCATTCTCTGCAAATTTAAATCATTTTCAATATTTCAGACCCATAATTAACAGGAAAATTATAACTTACAGATAAGAAAATTGTAGGTAAAACTTAAATAAAATAAACCTGAATACTAAATCCAGCAGAAAAGCGACAAATTTAATGCCAGTCTAGACTCTAAATATAAATTTGCCATTTTCAGTACATTTCCAGCCTGCAGTTGAAGTTTAAATTGTGGACATATCTCCGAGCAGTCGGTGAAATGTTAAGTGGTGGTGTGTATAACATCCAAATGACTCTTAAAGGTTACTCTGGATGATTAAATTACCAGCTTCTTGGAGCTGATTATCCAAGACACTAATAAGGTACTTGTTTCAAAGAGTCTGAGGGTACGGTGGAGGAAGGAGAGGTGAAAGAGGAAAGAAGGAGACACCAGCAAGTATTCCAGAAAGAGATGCAAAATTCATTGAACACAAACACGATTTAAAGAAAAATGAAAAAAAGCTTTGGGTCATTTTTGACAAGTTTTTGTTGTGGCAGCAGAGGTACGAGTAACAATAGAGATCTTTTTCTTTTCTTTTTTTGGGACAAACACTGCTGACAAACCTGCATGCACATAGCAGACACACAGTTATTGACATTCTTCAAATGTAGCCCTTCACATTCAGCACAATGGTGGATTTATCAAAAATAAGAAAGTACATCATTTAAAGAGAAATCTATGGAGCAGCTGACGCGCCATAAAAATATTTCTTGCAGTAAACACAGAGTATGCACATCCACCGATATCAGCGGCTGAAGGCAATGAAAGCAAACATCAACAGGCTCCTCGAAAGGTCAAGAAAATCTTCATTTGAGCTGGAAATGCCGTAGACTTTAAGTGGTTTGACAGTACAGGCGAGCACACTTCACCATGACACTACATTTCCTGGTAAACAGATTTATAATGAGGACCGTTCACCTTTTGCGCTGGCTGAAGGGAAGACTTCAAATTCCTTCAACCAGGTAATTAAATCTTCTATGCAACTTTGAAACTGTGCAGAAAATGACTTATTGTGATCCTGTGTATTCTGTCAATGGATACAAATACAATAGATTTGTATGAACAATACAAGCGGAGCGGTTATTGTACATGTTGTGTCGGTCATTCAGAGCTCAGTGTCTCTATTCGCTTTGTGCTTTTTTCTGACTGCGGCTTCAATTATCTTCAGTTGCAGTCGCCTCATTATTTTCTCTCAAGTTGAACCACATCAGGAAAATGCACCGTGGCATTGCTTTCCCTGAGAAATATAAGCAGCCGTATCATTGTGTTTGAAAATCTACAGATGCCTGCAGATCGTTCTTCATCTTCATTTTCTGGTCCGTGTGAAAGCTTCTGTAGGTGATTCATGATTGTCTTCAGTGGGAGGGTCTGTGCAGCGGCTCTTTTGAAATATCAACATACTGTAATTGTGTTGAGTGTTTTTGCTGCATGGGATGGGATTCACCTTTGCCGCCCTGCAAATACAACATATGCAAACCATCTCCATTAGTGATCAACAACAAGCAGCGCAAAGGCTCAAAAGGGTCACAGAGGTCAACAGTAACTTTGCTGTTAGTGGTTCAGTTAACAGCATGAGTGCTGCTATCATACTGCATTAATGTTACATCTACAACCAGCAAAACCCACAGGGTCCAGAACGGCTCTGCCCCACTCCAGCACGGCCGGCGGATCAAATCCACAAGCATTATAGTCAATGTGTGTGAATCCACAGAATCCGTCCAGCGTCCGGCTCCGCTGCGGATCCGCTCTGGCGGCCGGATCAGATACACAAGGCTTCTATTTTTGCTGGATGCTGGAGCATGGCGCATCAATTTAGTGCAGCGCAGCACGAGAAGTTTTATGCGGTTACAGAGTAAAATACCCGGTTAATTTTCAAAATAAAATTAAGTCAATACGTTTAACTGTTCTTAACTTGATAATAGGAGAGGCCAGGGTTGTGGGATGTGGGTGTTTATATACACCGCCGTTTATATACGACGATCAGTGGATCTCATTCTATGACCTCGTCCAGTCTCGCAAGAAATATCGGTAATCTCGTAAACGCTTCTCCTCCGAGGGCGGCGGGGGATCAGATCTGGTGGGCGGTATATGCGGATATGATCCACCTGCTGGTCTGGAGCAGAGCAAAACCGTTCCAGATCCTGTGGGTTTAGCCAGTCAGACTCTCTTTTGACGACTGAAGCTCACTCTGAGAAGACCTTGAATTTGGTCAAGTTGTGGCTGACAAGAACAGATGATCTACAGCGCCACCTAGAGGAAACACGCTGAATATTTAAAAAAAAAACAACACATGCAATAGTCCAGAACATTCTGCAGAAGGCTGGAAAAACCATAGACTGTATATACTATGGACAACTGGCTTCCACCTTCAGCCAGTATACGGATTTGAAGCCGAAAAGCTCTCGGTAATTCCGCGTTTTTTTCTCCACTTCCTGAAACCAACATTGCGCAGTGGCGTTGTACGCATTCGGTGGGAGAGTCACTGAGAGTCGCTGTGAAGACACTCGGCTCAAACAGCGAATTCCCCGGGTGAGCTGCGCAATCTTTGTACGCCCATAGGCTGTATCAAGTGTCAATCAAAGAAAACATGAACCCCCCTTATAACTTTTAAAAACTGAGCTGTACAGATAAAAAAAGAGGACTTAACTACATGTCAACGTCGCAACCACGGGGGAGAAAAATTTATATTCTGTGTTATAAATTTCTAAAGTTTGTCCACAGCTCCATAAGCTTTGCTGGCGGAGGCGGGATTTATGACCTATACTGCAGCCCGTCACCAGAGGGTGCTGTTCTCGGAGTGGCTTCACCCAGCGAGGAGGCAGATACTGTCCATTCTATATACAGTCTATGGGGAAAAACACACTTTAAATACACAAACGAAGCAAAAGCTGTCTCTGAGCTGAAGGGTGTGTTGGTGTTCAATAGTCGGAGCTTCAGACTGCCAGAAAATAAAAGTTTTACAGCATGAGAAGTGTGATATTAAGGTTTCACAACAATTACTGGAGGAAGTTTAAGTTAGTTTGAGCTAACTGGAAGAAAAATGAAAGCCAGCTGACTGAAAATCAAAGAACGTTTATGCAAACTGCTGCCAAGAGAGCGAGTCTGTACTGGACTCTAACAGGAGAGTTAAAAAAAACACAGTGTAAGATTACTTACAAAGATGCCTTTGCACAGTAATCTAACTACCTCCATAAGTAAGCTGTGGCGATGCTCGGAGCCAAATCCTGCTAAGTTTCCACAGCACTGCTGGGTTAAGCTTCAGAGCCCTTTCCCAGATCTGCAGCTCATTCCCTGTTTCTTCATTTGCAGTATATTTCCACTGTTGCATTTGTTCTGAACTTTTGCATGTGTTTTAAAATCATCTCTTTTTAACCGCAGCATGTTTGACCCCAGTATAAACTGTTTGCAGATCGTCTATTCTTGTATGGCCACCATACAAAAAGAGACACAGTGGCATGAAAACTAAAACCTGCTAAAAACGATCAGTTTCACGGCCATCAAACAGTGATTTTGTGAAATTGCAGTTTAAATGCTTTTTTAAAGGTGAATTCATTCTTTTGCATTGTTTCTTTTTTTTACTATCAATACCCTGTTTAAAGTTTGAAGTTCATTAGACTGGTTTAGGTTGTCGCAGTTCAACAAGAAAACTCTGTCATTGGTTCGTAATGTTTGTCTCTCAGCTGCTGCTGCTACAACGTCTCCTCCTCATCCTCAGCTGTTGCACTGGCGTTAAGAGCGGGCAGGTTTTCTTTCAGGGAGATATCGTCCACCCTCTTGGGCCCGCTGTCCTCAGGCTCCTCAGGTATGGATGGGTCTGAGTTACTGATCACATATCCCGGGAGGGTGGCGTGCAGGCTGATCACAGGACCCGTGCTGTGATAAACACGGCTTGAAACAAGCGTGGTGGAGCGTGTGGAGGGTCCCGCCCCGGCCAGGTGGGACTGGCTGCTGGTGCTGTTGTTATTGAGGCCCACTACCACGTTGCTGTAACGGTAGCGGCCACAGACCACCGGGCCCTCCCACTCAAAGGCGAGGTTCCATCGTGTCCATGTTTTCTTTATCTCTGTCTGAACCTACGAGGATGCGGAGGAGAAAGGTTTAAGTACCAAGAATTAAAATTGAGATGAGAACACAAACACTGGCGCTAGCAATGAAGTGAGAGAAATTTTACCATCTGCAAAGATAAACTGGATGAACTAACTGTTCCTCTCGCAGATTACAAACTCCAGATGAGAGCCAATTTGTTCACAAAAGATCCTTTACACATTTTTATAACATTTTGTACCGTAGAGGATGAAATTAACAAATCCTTTGCACATTCATGGAGAGGAATATTGAATTATCTCCGCTCCCGGTCTCTCACAGAGCAGCAAACCTTTAAACATTACCCGTTTTAGACGAACAAAACCCTTTCAGCGTTTTGTTGAAACAATCCTCACCGTTATGAAATGTCCCGTCGGCATTAATTGAGCAAGTTTTTAGTCGTACTTAGAGCTTTTATGACTTTCACATCATGATAACATTATTATCACAATATTCAAATAAAACACTATCAGTCAGATTAAGGGAAGGTAAGACACTGCCTCGTGAAAAGTTATCATGCTTTTATTTTAATATTTTTCTAACTTGTGCAAAGGTTGCTCTAATTCTGAAATACACAACTGCTGGTAATAATGATAATAATAATGATGATGATAACAAATTGGATTTATAAGCGCCTTTTTGGACACTCGAGGACACTTTACAGAGTAAAAGCAGCAACATAAAACAAGATCAGAGCGATAGAGAAAATAAAATAACAGAAAAAATATATACTTATGTATAAATAAAATAAACAAAAACTGTAGATAGTAGTAGTAGTACATCGTAAGTTACGAAATGGCAAGAAAAGTTAAAAGAACGGTAAGAAAGTATAAATTATTTAATGATTAGTAAGCTAAAGAGGTACCAGCTTCAATAGATCTTGGTAAATCAGTTTGCATAAGTGTTGGCTGATTCAGCGAGCTCACTAGCAGTTTACTACTTCTTTAACATTTTTATTATAACATTTAATATATTGTCTTAATGCTATTTATCATTAAATATCAGTTTAGAAAACCAATAAATTCTGCTTTTGTCAGCATTTTAAACGCTACTAGAATTGGGATTGTATTTGAGCTGTCTTAATGTAAATAATTAAGTTATTCTTATATGATAAAATGAATTATTTCATTTGCAGGGTTGAGGTTTTATAAGCCTAGTTCAAGATTCTTACAGCTATTCTTATTTTTGTTCATTACAAAACTTTGTACCCTTTGTTCAGATTGATTTCCTGCAGATGAGAAGTTATAAACTTTCAAAATAAAAGTTCCTAAGTTGCTAATTTACTTCCAGAGAAAACATGGCACAAAACAAGCCTCAGGTCTTTGTCGCCGGCACATTGTGTAACAGGGTAAGAGATTATGTGAAACCATTATTGATAATTGAATTTAACACCTTGTCTAATTCAACCTTTCCCCGGTGAAGACTCACAATCTCATGACATTTCCCCCCGAACATTACCGAGAGATTGTGCTAAAAGTAGCTTCAATGAAACAAGCTTTTTATTATTGTTATCATGGTGCAGCAGCTCCGCTCTCCATAGGCAGGCTGAGGTAGAACAAGAGAGAGACAGAGACCAGCACCCGGGGTCTGGATGCAGAGCGCAGACGTTACCGGCTGCCAATTAGTTGAAATCTCATTGTGTGGGCTGCTCTGTGCCCTGTTATTTGTTGTCCACTTACAGCGATAAAGCTGTGCGAATTCCTCCATTTCAATGTTTTTTTAGACGCACAGAAAAGTCGTTAAAAGGACTGCGAGGAGATAACACATCCCTCTTAAATCACTGAGGCAAACAGAAAACTCGCTGTTCACTAACTGAAACAATCTCTGAAATAGTGAGATTAAGTCCCTCTCAATATGTGGAGCCAACAAATAACTGATTGAGAAACTGAATAGAGCTCTGACTCATTTGGTTCGGAGTCAATTTTCAGAAAACGCCAAATCTCGGAGGTTCAGATTCATCGCAAAAGAAAATAATCACCTGTTATTTTTCAGGTGTTTTAACCCCTGTGGCACTGAATGGCTTTCAGGATAAAAGAAGTGCTTTGCAGGATACAATGTGAAGAGAAGACAGGAGATTTTTATACAGATAAAGTGGTTTTTATTTGGATTTTCACCTGAAAGAGCTGAGTCCAAAGGCGGCGAGAGAGTGAATGGCTGGGATCGTTTCAGCGCTTTGGGGTCAGTTTGAGAGAGCAGAGGGAGGCGAATTATTATCTTTCATTCATGTGCTCTCATACACTCCCTTTGAATGGTTTCATTCACTTACAGCTGAACTGTAAGTTTTCTTTAGTGGTTTGTTTGCAAGTATTTGTGCATGTTTAGGGTTAGGGGTTAGGGTTAGGGTCGGTGCCTTACAGAGGAAAACAGGACTCACCTCTCCGTTGCAGTAGCAGTAGATGATCGACACGAAGAAACCCTGAAGGAGAGAAAAACCAACATTACATTTAGGAACACAGGCGAGAGCAGAGCTTACATGCTGCCTGTCAGACACAACAACTTACTGAGTATGAGTCTTATTAGACTTCACATGTTCTGCGTCTCTTTTCCTCAAATAGTGCTTCACAAGACAGGAATCAGATAGTGTTTGTTTGGCTATTGTTGCACCCCACTCTCCTGCTTCCTGCCAAGGTGCGGCATCATCAAACAATATTTTCTTTGTGAAACGCCGGGACTGTGCAAATTGGTTTTTACACTCATATGGGCGTGTGTGGGTCTTGCTTCACAAGGCAGCGAGGGAGAGACTCTTCCAGAAGAAGCCAAAAACAACACGGCGTTTAGACAAAGAGCCTCTGAAACAAATAATGCAGCTCCGCCATTATTAAATTGGTCTCCTTTTGAACTGATACATCTTTTTTGGAGATTACACAGCTTTATAGAAGTTTCACATAAATTGACCAAAATTGAAAGTCGCTCATAGGAGCTTAAAGTTTGCTGGAGAGAAGAGAAGCTAAATACAAAGAGAGTCCGAGGATGACAGGAAAATTAGATCTGACATTTGGCGTCAAAAAGGCCAGACTACCCAGCTGTTATGAGCTGGAGCTGAAAATACATATCAATGGATTCACAGCATGAGGCCATGGCATCTCAGACTGTCCCTCAAAAGTGTCTGGTTGAAGGCGAAAGAAATCTACGCCTGTGAGTGACGGAAAGATGGAGATGATTTCATTCTAGTGGAAGAGTTCACAAAGCTGCAGGGCTATCAAGAGACACAGAGAGATAAACCATGAGATTATATTTTTAGGTTTTGGCTGTAGATTTCATTAGAGAGTTATTTAAAGGTGGGGTAGGGAGGATCTGAGGAAGTGCCAGTTTTGGGGAGAAATCTTGAATGTAAACTCTACCCCTCCCAACCAGTTTTCCCCTCAGCTCCTCCTCTCCCCTCCCTCTCTGCTCCAGCAAGCCCCGCCCACAAACAGACGCTCCTGCTCGCTCATAACGTTCCAGTTAAATTCAGATATAATGCAGATAAATACTTCAGATAATTACAAATGGGGCCCAGTCAACGTGAAAGTAAAAAGCATTGGTGCTACTGTAGATGCCAACAGACGACCAGAAAACACAATGTTTGCAGGACTTCTACAACTAGGATAAAGTGACATAGTCCAGGATCCGAGGTCAACAGTTTAGCGGCGCTACAACACGCAGCAGGTCCCGTTTGACAAGAAACACTTCTGTTACACTCGGCTTACTTTGTTAAAGCGATTTATCTGTCCAGCAGAAAGGTTACAGCGTCCGTAAGATCCTGAATTGTCCCCCATCGTTTATGCTTCATTGACGTTGACCCGGCTTATTATCTCTTGTCTGGTCTACCTCCTTTTTAAGCGCACGTTAGTCCACCAGAGTCTCCGATATTTACTTCGTTTTCTTGCTTGTGTTGGCAGTCGTGGCCAAAAGAGGATTCAGACAATTTCCCATCATTTCTTGTTTGTTCCTACTGTCCGATATTGTAGCACGCTAACTTTGTTTGGGCTCCTTAATGTTATTCGAGGACATGGAGTGCACCTCACAACATGAGGGAGCAATGTCTGCCTCACAACCAATCAGGTCAGGGAGGTGGAGAACGGCTTCATTACAGTCAGAAAAAACTTAAAATGTTAACTTTACAGGCATAAGAAAACAGTGATATCATCATATTACCACATGTCATCAATAACTAATAGCTATTGACTGATACTGGAAGCTTTTTTTGTATATACACCACAAAAAAAAACACCTTTAATATGTCTCCACATTATTTTTTTAAATTTAACAACATTTTCAGTCAAATTGGGGAAAGATGAGACAAAGCAGGAGCCACACTTTACTTTATAAATCTTACGGATCGAAAACCAAAAGTCTCTCTGGTACCAGTTAAACAGAGAGACTGTGAACGGTGGACTGATCATGCTGATCGGTTAGTGATGCTCATCCAGAAACCTACACCTCACACTCACACATGAACCTCTCGTAATCTCTGTAGATGAGATAATGAGTCATTGTGGAGCGCTGGAACCCAAGGGCGACGAAGACCTGAAACCCAGGTCTCAGTTATTCCAATTAGACTCATGTGACCCTGGACTGGGATCATTCCTTCTCCAAACCCAACGGCTAAATCTTGATTTTCTCCCTGAGCCTTTTAGATTTAAACCCTGAGGACTGAACTGCCGTTACCAGGGGAGTGACTGAGAGGACGATGCTCCGAGAGCTCAATGTGGTATAAATAGGAACTGGGCAGCACTTATCACCTTCTCACGTTACCCTGACAACACAATGTAACGTTGCTAACAAGGCGCTTAACAGCCTGACCGACTCACTTCCGTGTGATCCAGGCTATTGACACGTAGACTAAAAGATAATTAGATGATTTATGCTCAGCCAGGATCTCGCCTAGTCTCTTTACACAGACGGTTTTCCAGTAAAAACACTTTAAATAAACTGATTTTTTTCCTGAACACATCAAAACAATCAACTACACTTATTTCTGGCTAAAAAAAGTTTGTTTTTGTGGTTTTTAATGAGTCTAAATATCCGATACAATCTTAGTTTCCGCTGAAATCACACATAGTATTGTTAAGAATCCAGAGATGCTCTGTGTGTAATTGTCACCCTATAGATAAACAGAGGAAATCACTGTGTATTATGTGAAATTATATATATTTATTCACCAATTAAGCCAATGCTCCCTTTCTTTCCTCAGTTGCAACAATAAGACAGCTTTTTTTGCTGCTATAATGGTTGTGCGGTTATCATTCTTGCCTCATTATTTCAGTCTGACTGAAGCAGACAGACATTATTTCTTTTGTAGAGTCAAACGATGCACCAAACGCCCTTTTCATGTGAGCCTGCACAGAGCCTGGAGCTGTAAGCCTCAGTTAACAGAGACCTGGTATGTCTAACCGAAGCTCTGAGCTTATTTAAAGGAAACCTGGGTATGTCCGGCTCGCTTCATGGTGTACCCCTCTGGGCTTTGTTGTTGTTAGGAAATAAATGCAGCTCATATGAAATTTTAATTTTGAATTTTGTGACATTTAAGTATAGGAGTGTTGTTAACTTAAGTGACACAAAGTTTGAAAGGACTTTGCTTTATCTCAGAGACACTGAAGAAGTCTTTGGCCTTGTCTCACAGAGTTGTGTTCCTCTGAAATCATCGGCTGTGAAACTTGAATTTTCTGATTGCTTATCAGTGACAGCAAAGCCGTAAATTTTTCACGGGTCCGTTGCAAATTAAATCCAGTTTCAAGGAAGCAAAACAACTTTGCTGTGAAGTTGGATGTGTGTTGTCAGGCTCTCATCTCTGATAACAGCTAAATCACCACGTTCGAGATTTCATCATCCCGTCGCAGCCTTCACAGATGAGTGGCCCAGATTGTGTGTGGTTCATAGTTTATAAGTGTTTGTATCTGTGTGTGTGTGTTCTGGAGGGTTCAGGGACTTTCACTCCGAAGGCTGGTTGTGGATGAAGAGCCGCTCGACACAGTTTAGAAAAACTCCCTCTACTCTGGACTCTTAAACATGTAGTAGGGATTCAGGTTTATCGCCTGTCCTTTGTGCTGCAGCTGTGAGGCTTCTTCAGTGTTCATCTGTGGCCTTGGACTGCACAACCATCAACCTCCTGTTCTGTGGGAATTGAGAAACTGCTGCCTGACAGAGGTCCTTGCTGTTTCTTAGTCCCACTTGGTGCCTTTTGATTGAACTTTGTGTTTCATTTATTTATAATTTGTGTGTTTTATTGATTCATTATTCAACTTTGACTTCTGTGACAGCAGCTTTAAAAATATATACAGGTGTAAGGTAGGAATACACCTTGTTTAAATATTCAGCGGTAATTAAAAAGTCTGTCTGATCTCAAATATGCATTTATGTGTGTGGGTGCACACTCTCAGCAGATTGCATGTTTAAGACAGAAGAAAAACAAACAGTGTCGGCAGCAGAGTATGGCTCTCTCTTTTGTCTTGTTTCTTTACTTTTCACTCAGTTTTTAATTTGTATCTTTTACAGGGAAAGAAGTTTCATTGAGTGAAAACCATAGACTGTATATAGCATGGAAAATGTGAATTTGAAGCCACATTGCTCTCTGTATTTCTGGGATTTTCTCCATTTCCTGAAACCAGCATTTGAAACCGGAAAACATGAACTCCGAATAACTTCTAAAAATGGAGCTGCACACAAAAAGAAGACTTGAGCACAAACCAGTCTGACAATAACTACATGTCAACAACCTAACCAGGGGGGAGAAAACTTTATATTACTTGTATTTAATTTTTTAAAGTTTGTTTACAACTCCATTAAGTTTGCTGGAGGAGGCGGGGTTTATGACCTATACTGCGGCCCGCCACCAGGGGGAGCTGTTTTCGTGATGGCTTCACCCAGCGAGGAGGCAGAAGACGTCCGTTATATATCCAGTCTATGGTGAAAACCCAGAGCATCTAATGAAGACCAGGTAATAACCCCCTATATGTACATACAGTAGGGAGGCCAGTATCTGCTTCATTTTATATTGTGTTAAGGATTTCTTCTTACCTGTTAAAAGTGTTTTTTAAACTTTGTTAATGTCATGAACTGCCCAGCTGTTCTCATCAGATGAGTTTGGTAAGAATCTGTGTTATGATTGGGCTCTAAACAGGCCCGCTCATGCTGGAGCTGGTTTAATGATTCAGCTGGTGTTTCACAGCACAAAAGACGGAGCTGAGCACTTTGGATTCTCTTTCTACGATGAAATCGTGCTTTTGTTGTGGCTCTGGCCATCTTCTCAAATACATGCATAAAGAGTTATTTTTTGAAGGCGCTCACAGGAACCAGTCAAAAGCCTAAGTATTCTTTTGCTTGTTTGATGTGCTTCTTTCACAATGGTGTAATTTCTACACCTGCTATTCATTTTGATGCCAAAATGGAATTGTGGGTATTTGAATGCTTAAGGAAACTGAAACTGACATTATAAACAGCTGTAGTTGATCAAAGTCTGATCAACACAACAGCTTTTTTGAGCGCTGAACACCTCAAAAACCCCGTGACATGATTTTATAATTCAATTGTTAACTCTGACATATGAATAAGGGCGTGTCCTTACATACATTTGGGCATAGCAGGAGATTTATCCTCAGTAGGGTTCTGAAGTCATCATTCAGACGGATACTGAGAGTACAAATATGAGAAAGACTGAAACAGAGCAATTTTAAGGTCTCGAATTGTCTTTAAAAAGTGTTATTGTCCCTGGATACTTCATCAAATGTACACTGTCCAGTAAAAATTATTATTTTCTTTAAATAATTCAGTTTTATTGATTTGCTTTCCAAGACGTTCAGTTACAACATTCTGCTCTCAGTTTTTAGCAGGCTTTTATTTTGAAAGTTTTACCTCGTTAAGTCAGTACTTGTAATGATTAAAGGCAACTTCATTAACTCTGACTAAAGTCAAATATTGAAAAATAATGATCTTATAGATCAGGTTTGATCACTCCCAGCTGGAGCTAATAACCAGCAGCAAACAACAACTGGGAGGTGACTGGACTCATATGACGAAGAGCTTTAAGACTTTGGATTAAGTCGCAGCTAAATCAACACCCTGCAGGTTTCAATACAGATAGTACAGATAATATCGAGCTACTTTAACCTTCCAGTAACCCTGATGAAAACACATTATTCTTGATTTACACTCCACTTTTCTTTGGTCTCTCATGACATTAAAAGTCAAGCTAAATAAAATGTGTTGAATGTTTATTTGGTTTGAGAATAAACTGCTCACCTTGCAATTTCGAGTATAAAGGAAAGAAATGAATTATTTATTCTTCATTATGTTCACGAATAATCAATCAGACTCTCCCTGAGCTCCCTGCGATATGTTTATAAATCATACCTGTCAAGTTTTGGTTTGGAAAATAAGGGAAATTTTCAACTCCCCACCCCCAACCCGGCCAAAACGGGATACTTGGCAGCTATACGCTACACGAGTACCTCCCCACACACCAAGAAAAACTGCCATCCATGAAATAACGCGACACAAAAACCTTAGCCGAGCAATAACCGAGGCAAAGGAACTATGAGAACGCACCTGCAAGATGGCACACCTAATTTGCATACAAGATAGGCGACAGCGACACACACACACACACACACCACACATACACCACACACAGCCAGGCCGGAAAAAACCACGAAATTCAATATACAACACTGGAAAATTACGACCCCTTTTTTGATGTTCATGTTGTAGGCAACTGGGACATCATAAAATGTACCAAAGATAAACAAATCAGCTTTTGTACAATTGTTCATTTTCTCCCAAGAAGGGCTGGTCAAAAACTCATTTATGGGAAACTCCATGTCAGTTTAACGCTGCACCGTGCCTGTCAAGTTTTGGTTTGGAAGATAAGGGAAATTTTCTGCTAGTGACAGAGTTCAGTTTGGAGAGGCAGAATAATGATTTTTTGTAATTCAGATTTTTTAACACGGGAGATTTACGCGACAATGCAAATACAGGAAGACAGCGGGAAAGAGGAGTAAAGTGTGGTCGTTTCCCGACCAAAGCTGGATACCTGGCAGCTTTGTTATAAATGTAATGAATATTACACATGGATGTAATTTTCTGCAGACAGAGCTTTTTAATCAGAAAGAAGAAACAGGTTTTAAAGGGATGATCCAGCGTGAAATTAGTTTAGGGTTAAACACACCGTAACACCGTAACACACCCCCTCCAGAGATGAATTCTGCCGACCGCTTACTTCTCTAGTTATACCAACGCTACAATCATTACTTTATCATTTCCTTGAATCATCATATAAATCATTTTGCACTGCAGATGCGGTCTGATTGCATTTCCATGAAGAAATGATCATAAATGTTCTTTCTTGAGCTGCGTCACCCCGCTGCAGTCTGTAATGAAATGGCCTGAGGTCTTGCTACAAACAAGCGGCTGCTGGAAGAGAGTAGGTGAGTTGTGTTTAGTCTCTTTAATAAAGAAATCAGGCAGAGTAAAAAAGATGTTTGGTGGCTAGTACTATGGCTGGGATCCTATATGTCCTGTTGATGAAGTTAGGTGCTGTTCTGAGCATTATTTGTGGCGATAGAGTGGCGTTTTGGTTGAGGTTTGTTTATGGCTCCTCAGACCGCTGTGTATTGCTATCGTGCGGTCGTTACTAAAGTTGGTATAACTAGAGAAGCAAGCAGTCAGCAACATTCATCTCTCGACGGGGTGTCTAACTCGATGTTACAGTGTGTTTGACCCTTAATTAATTTTACGCTGGAATATCCCTTTAAGGCTTTCAGTTGCTGCACCTCAGTCATGTCATCTTTTTTTCTCTTTTAACTTGTTTATTTTCACAACCTCAGAGCTTATTCATCCTTTCAGTTCTTGCTCTTTATTCTCTGCCTCATTTTTTTCTCATTATTTCAATTAACGCCTCTCTGAGGAGGTTCAAAACAGACAAGTTTCATGCGTAATCAATAAACAGCAATTAGTCTAATCCCAACAGAAAAGGGATTAGACTGAAACAATTACAACAACAATATGGCGAAAGAGTGAGCCAACCCTGCAGACCACCTAAGGAAATCCAGTTCGTACAGTATACGGGAAAGGTCACACAAACACTCCCAGTTTGGAAATTGCTCATTTAAACATGAGCAGAGCAGAGTTAGGATCCTGACGCAAACTCATTATCCAGCTGCTCCACTAAGTGATGTGCAGCCCTGACTCTGACACTGACAGAGTAATTTGGAGAAGATAATTATGGTTCCCACGGCATGAAACAGTAATGTGCAAGGTTACAATGAGTCATGCCACAATATGAGACCACAGGCTGTGATCTATGGACTTTTTTTCCCCCTGTGTTATTAAAAGAAAGACACGTTTCTCTCCTATTCTGACCCGAAGTTTGACTCGTATAATAACAAACCTTAATGAAACTCTAAACATCTGACAGAAATAGGGGTCGGGGAGTACCTGGAAAGAGTTGAAGAACAGTTCACAGTACATGCGGACTTCCCAGCTCATCCCCTGCAGCGTGTGAGGCATCCCAACAAAGACGATGTAGTGGATGCCGAACACCAGGACTAACACCAGGGTGGACTTAGCCAGTTTCCTGTGGAGACAAACACAAACACAAGAAGACACAAGAAGAGGAGGAGAAAAGTTAGACTCAGAAAGATAACTAGTTTTACTGAGACAGCTGGAGACAGAAATAAGTATTATTTTAGATTTATCCACGGTGTAAAAATCCTCAATTCTCTGGATTGCCCTCCTCAGTTTAGGTTCGAGTCTCTGCCTCTCCAGGAGTTCAAGTAGAGGCTGAGCTTAAAGTGGTTGAACTCAGCCTCAGAGATCCACCAGACACTCAAAGGGAGGTCAGAGTCGAGCTACTAATTGAAAGGATAGAGTCAGTGTGGATGGATGGATGCTCACTTTGGAGGTCTGTGTCCAACAGAGTGGAGACTAGTCAGACTTGGGTCAAACTGAGATCTTGCTGAAGGGAAAACAAAGCCCACCTGCCTCCAGGATCCTCCATGAGGAGAACATAGCTGAGTAGAAGACCTAACATGAGTGAAGAAACTCTCAGATCTTTGGTTTTGTGTAGCACAAATTTGATGTATCAGGATGAAAAGCCTTCAGGTAGATTTTCGGTGATATACTTGCAAAAACTGGCTCCTGGTGGAGCTGCTGTCAGCGCATTCTTGTTTAGTTCAAAGGAGCCATCGGTTGTGTGTGAGACTTGCAACCTCATTATCAAACGCGAAACGGTGCCGACTTTTTTACCGTCACATAAGTCGACAGCTCTTTCTTTTTCCGTTTCTTTAAATCCTCTGTAATCCCAGTCATTTAACCGTGCAGTCCAACCCCGGCTACCAGATAACGAGAGGATGTCAAGACCGAGTTCGCCCCGCTGTACTGCTCCACAGGGCTTCACAAAAGGAAGGGAATCTTTGACTCTGCTGTCATTCGTCCACAACACAAACTTTAAAATATTCCCAACACCAAAATCATTAAAAAGTTTGCCAAGAGGAGGAACAGACATGCCTCTTTCCTCCTCAGAATCAGAGTCAGACGTGTTGTTTGTCTCATTGTTACAGCGTGTTGTAAACTGAATCACGATGCGTTCACATGTGCACGGGCGGATGTGATGGCGAAGGCTTGGCAAAGGACACCCTGCTTCTGCCGCTCATTAAATCTGTAAATAATTACCCAGAGGCTCTATCCCTGCAAATCTGTGTGCTGTGAATCAGATCGAACCCTTTAATAAGTAGCTTCAACAGTGGATTATTTGCTAAACACATGCAAATCATGAAATAACGGATCCAGTGTGCTTGGAAAAAAATTCTACTCTTACGTGTCAAAAGAAGTTTTCAGAGAACTCCGCGGGGAAAAAGTTCTTCTTCAAAAAGCCCCACTGTTCGGTCCGAAAACATCTTCATCTTCCACATCGAGGCTGCTGAGGAACCGATCAATGGTGACGGGTGCATGGGGTTTAGTCTGTGTAAATTTTGTGAACATGTTACAGGAGTGATAGTCTTGAACAAACACTCATGCAGAGCTGCTTTAGAGTTTCAGCTGAACGCAGCCTTCAGTATTCAAGAAGAACAAACATAGGATGATTGTTTTGGCAGCTCATTTGATAGATCATAAAGTAATGTTGTGGTAGTGAGATGTTTGTGACAGGGTTCATAATTAAAGACGACTGTTTAGATGCATTTTAATCAAATTTATGCCTCTGATTAATTCATTAAAGAGTGATTAAAACTAATCTAAACTCATACAAGTACCTGACAGTCTTTGTGGTGTCCTGTAATGCACTTTCACTTTGCTTTTTATACTCATATGCAAACTTTCATGTGCTTCATCGTTATATAAAGACATTACAGACTCTAACTTCAGTTTGGAATGTGGCTGATCAAAACATGTTGCATTAAACTATGTGAGAAAAACAACACTTTAAATAAGTTTAATCTCAGAAAGAGTAGAAACAAGTCTTTTTAAATGGAGATGGATTAGCAGAAAATTAAAGTCTGCTCTTGGCTTCAACTCTTTCAACACTCAGTTAATTTCTTGTTTCCGAGCTTCCATATATTTCACAGATGACTGCAACTCTTCTGACTTCAAAACAAAAGAACAATTAAACTTTTTAAAATGCAAAATCGGAGCATATTCTTTTTAAAGACATAAGACAAATAAACTAAGGATTGCTCCGTTAAAGTGAAAGTTAGATTGACCATATTCTAAATCAGGACAAAAAGAGGACGAAACTACGCAGGGACGGAGCCACACAAAGTTAATTTTGAGAGTTTTTAGGGTTGGACCAAGTTTCTTTTACGCGCTTCTAACTCATTAAGTCCACGCAACAAAAACTCAAAAGTTTCATACAAAACCACGGACATTTGAAGGATTTTATAAACTTCCCCGGACAAAGACAGACAGTCTGGACAGCACCCCAAAAAGAGGACGTATGGTCATCCTTGTGAAAATACACCTTTTTTTGTTGTTTGAGAGCTTTAGTCAGAATATTGTCAACTTATCAAATTCAGAGAGTAACCAATATTTGAATTTCTTCCCCCCAAGGAACTATTTTCTGGTGGAAGCACACAACATTTTTTGTAAGGGTGTCTTGCATTCTCCAACATTTCCTAAAACTGTGTGCCTGAGTGTTTGGTCCCTGGATGTGAAATATCCTTATCAATAAGAAAGCATCCATTTTCATTTGAAAATACTTGCTATTGACTGGGTAATAACAGCTTTTAGACAGCAGGGAAAGGACAGGGATGCAGCCCTGATTACAGACCCTGAAACATCAAACCACAGAAAGGCGCCTGGTTAGTCAAACATCAGCCTGTTTTAAACGGCAACAAACTGAAAAGAGAAAATAAGAGTGGGGAAAGAGCACGAGAGGTAAGAAAACAGAGAGCGTGTGATGGAGGAGTCGACAAATTGCAGAGATGGCATGTCAAGATGAACGCCGAACGTCGCATGAGGTGAGCTGTGGCCAGTGTTGTTTTCGTCAGGCAGGACGAAAACTTAAATGACGACGTCAGACTCCTTTTTTCCTTGACGAAAATGAGACTAAGACGAACGTCACCAAAGCTCTGTAAAGACTAAAATGTGACGAAAATTGTATTCATCTTCGTCAGACGAGAACGAGACGAGACTAAATTGTTATTAGGTGGACGAACAAAGTTTCAAAACATGCTTTTTTTTTTGTCCTAACAGTCACGCCCCCATCACACACGCACCAAAAGCCTCGCTCGCGCACAGCTGCGCGCACACACTTATACACATACACAGAGCGGCAGGTGGACGAGGCGCGCACACACACACACCGTGGCGGCAGGCACAGCAGCGGTGCCCGGTGGCCGAAAAAAGAGGGATGCTTTGTGGTCCAGATACAGTCCAAGTGACAATAAAACACAATGTCTTGTACGGGGAGACGAGACAGACGACAGTTGTGGAGCCACAGCTTCCTCATGCTGCGGCTTCAAACTGTCGGGAAAGAACACCACGAACCTCAAAAGGCACCTTTTTGTCGACTAAAACTAGACTAAAACCGCTTGAGCTTTCGTCGGACTAAAACTAGACGAAAACTATCAAGGATAGAAATGACTAAAATGGGACTAAAACGAAGAAGCATTTCGTCAAAATGACTAAGACTAAAACTAAATCTAAAATGCCTGCCAAAAACAACACTGGCTGTGGCTCGCTTTTAAGGCTGATTAACGGAGCGGAGAAAAGCGCCACAAGAGTTTAACAGATGAGGCGGGAAACCTGCTGCAGAGAAACCTGCTGCAGTGACTCGCGCCAACCTTGTTCACCTTGTTTCACCATCGCTGGCCGTGCTCAGTTCGTCAAACAAGCGCCACTTCAGCTCATCTAGCTCTCCTGAGGAAAAAACTGAGCGGGCTTCATTTCCCTTTGTTTATTCATACAGACCATCTGCACTACATCAAACAACAGCCTGGAGCTTGTAATCAAGTCGCAGAGATGAAGAAACCTGAGGGCAGCTACAACTTTTTTTGTTTTCCCTCAGTCGGTCCGCGCTCTGAATGAAATATCAATACAACGGAGAAGTTCAGATGAGGACTCCAGCTAAGTGTCTTCATGTAATTACAAACCCTGGAAGAAAAGGAAGTAACAGTAGCTACTTCAACTCTGCTGGAAATGTAAGGACTCCTGTGTAGAGAAGAGGAAATAATTACATACAACAAGTCTGAGAAGAGAAAGACACAACAACAAAGACAAGATCAACCCCCCGTCTAACACAAGACTTCCACTGGTGCATGTTTGGTCCACCTCTGCCACCCCTGGGGTTTAGCTTTGTGCTTCATTACCTGTAAACACCCACCGGCTATGTTTTCAGAGAGCAGTACAAAGTAGCACCGCGGTGTTGGAGACCTGCAGTGATTAGAAGAATCATCGCTTTCCCATCTCCATGATGAGCTTCTCATCATCCATGAGAGCCTCTGAACTTTTGACTCCAGGCCTGGCTCTGCTCTGCTCGTTACGATAGTTTGCAGACGTAGTGAAGTGAGATATGATCAGGGATGATTTTCTCTGAAAACAAACGGCTTACATGAATCTTGTTTGACTCTCTGTCTTGCCTGATCTGAATTGATGGGCAGTGCTCAGACACATAGAAAAAAAAGGAAGTTTTGTGTATGAGCTGCAGAAAGCCGAAAACATACAGGATCCGTATTGAGCGCGTTCTGTATACTGCATTGGGTATCGCATACAGGGTGCGTATTTGGAGTGTAGCAGCAGCGTAGTGCAGCCCCAGTATAGAAGAAACAACATGCTCACAACAGGTTGTTTTTTCTTTCTGTGGTCTATTTCCTGCTAGTTTGAGCCTCTACTATATGTGGAAAAGCAACGTCCCGTCTGGAAGGATCTTCTCTGTGACGATTGATGCCCTTTGGAAGCAGTTGGAGCTGCACAGAGGAGGTGCATACACTGAGGGAAACCCCATCACCTGACAGGCTGATGGTGGAAGCTCCTCTTTATTTTTCAGCGCATTACTTTGACCTAGATGCAAGAATGTTGTGGCGTTCAGCAACAGTGTTATGAAGAAGACAATTAACTCCTCGCAGACTTTCATTGACTACTGCAGCCTATTTGTTGAGAGAGATGGCTGTGGATCCTGAGGTTACATAACAGAGGATTGTCTTCCACCTACAGACTGTATAAATAGAGTCTCAGTGTTATTGCCAATTGAATATGGGTCTAAATCTGAACGTTTGTAGTTTCCATATTAAAATCGTGACTCAATCTATCTCCTTTCTTTTCTTATCTTCAAAGAATTACATCAGAGACTCTACCTCAGTGTTTTTCTATATAGGGAAACTGTGGATCATATCTCTTACGCTCAGAATCCAGGATTGTTTCTAGTTTGCAGTGGATGACTAACATCTGTCCTGACTGCTCATGAAAAACACACTCTAGTTACTGCAATGTTTTTATCTGACACATAGACGTCATCTGCAGCAGGAGAAAATAACAGCAATGATAACAGGACTGGACATGTTTGAGCACGTATTTTTGTTTTGTGTTTGTGTGTGAGTGTGTTTGTAACTTACACACTCAGGATACTGTCACTGTTTACTTGGTTTTGTTTTGTCAGTATTATAATGACTGCACGTGTCTGTACCGACTCATTAACATAATAACTGCTGAACTGAAAGCAGTTTGCTTTGCACAGTTCACTTCTAAGGGAGGATTATTTTCTAAGACATAATCTCTGATTACAGATTCTGCACAAAAATGCACATCCTGTATGCAAATGACACGCATGACTGAGGATACGATGTAGTTCAAGTTTCTGATCTCCTTCAGGCTTTTCACTGAGCTTTGCATGTATGGCGGGAAAGCGTCCATGTAGGGGGGTCAAAAGCGGCAGAAGGAAGGCATCCATTTTCATCTCAGGACCCGTCAGCAGGAATAGAAGGATTATCCAGCTCTTATTGCACAGGCTTTACCCTTGGGTATCTCTGGAGCAGCTATGAGTGAAGACAAATTTTCAATGAGATCTACCTTTCACTGTTTTTGGTCATTAAATGTCAGCCTCATTAAAATTGTACCATTTCTGATCAAATGTCTTTTCGCATTTATGCAGGAATGTGACAAAGATTTGATATACATATACTCCACCTTCATTGGATCCTTTTATATATATATTTATATATATCACCACAAATAAATATTGATATCACAATTATCTAAAACCACCATCCAAGATTTACAAATGCATCAGATGCATTTATGCAACCTTAAGCTTCTTTCAAACTTGAAAAATACTCACTGTGCTTCTTACAAGACGTATTTTTATGGCTTTTTTTGCAAGCTCTTGGTCCGTATCTCGGAGACAGATTACCATTTTACCAACAGTGCCATTCACTCAAACTTCATTGTCATACCCATCTCAGTCGTGCAGAGGCACATTATAAAAAATAATTACAGGTGGTAGAAAAAACAACTTGAAGCCACACTTAGTACAAAATGAACTCCTCGTTTTCAAGTCAGAGCACATACCTGTACTGTTTCCTGGTGTCGTATCTGCCAGCGTTTGTCTCTCGAATTTTAGTCGCCAACACTCGAACAATGTTCACGAACAAAATGAAGTTCAGCTGGAAAAGAAAAAGAACAGAGATGGAGAACTGGTGGATTAAATGGATTAATATTTATACCTGCCATTATTGTTTGATAACGGCCTGCTTACAGTCAACCTACAATATCTCAAACTCTGTAAGCGTACTCAGGCGTTCGAGAGAGCTATTGTCGTGTTGTCGTGTCAATATTTTCTTTACCAAGGCTCTACAATTTCTCTCCAGGACTTCCTTTCAACTGAGGCGAAGTCTTTGAAAGAGGTTTATGAAATGCAAAGCTTGTTTTTAAAGCGCACATAGAATTCAGGCACCTCGATGAGACTTTTTTCAAAGCATTAAACATAAACGCCGGGCTCCTCTTTAGCTGCATGCATATGATGAGAGCTGAGTACATTTCCTTTCATTTTCACCCACTATCCATTTAATCTGCATCCCTAAATAGAAAAATGACTACTTTAGCTATGCTTGACAGCATCAATGCGAGTCTGTGTCACATATTCGAAATGTGTTTTTTATTCAAGTGGATACAGAAAATTGTATAAATGTGTTTAATGAGAAATAAGAGTCATTTCGATTTGAACCTGCATCCAAAGGTAAAATAATGATTTTTCCAAAGACGAGGATTGCTTCAGTATTTACAGAGTGAACATGTCTTTGATAATGAATTCAGACCATCTTCTTGACATGCAGAGCTAATCCGATGTTGACTCAAATCTCTTCTCATGTAACATTATTTGACAGGTTCTTGACATCTAATCATAGCAATAGTAATCTACTTTTAAATCATCTGTGTAACAGGCAATTTATTTCTAATAGATTCATGCTGAACTGGTGCAAACATCAAGCTGGATATTATTTTACAGCTGAGTTCTTCCATAAATGACCCGTCTTATCTCTGCATGCTTGTCGGATCAATTACACATAATTCTCCAGACCTTTAGCATCCATGATGTCAGTTTTTTGTTCATGCATGATAAGAAATCATTGAATCTCCAGAGTCACACGGGTTCATTCTCTGAGAGCTGTAGTGATGGACATGGCAGTTCTTTTAGATGTACTGAATCACTAGAATCAGTTCACTAAAAAGATTCGTTCAAAAGATTCAGTCACAGAATCACCAATTGATTCAGTGCTTGGTGGGAGGAGCCTGTGACTCCGACCTCCTGAACTGATCCACAGCTGAACGGTTCAGGATTCAGTTCAATTCATAGTTTCTAGGACCGGGAGACGAGAGTGTTTGTCTGTGTTACTTTGACAGACAGGTCTGTAAAAATGAACTTGTTTATAAGTCATGATGTTTTAAGTGTACTGTCCTATGGTATGCTATTTATCAGGTCTGCAGGTAAGTTGGGCTCAGCGAAAGATTCGTTGGATGATGATAGGATGCTGCGGGTTTTATGCACTACTTGTTACATCATGCTGTGGCGATTTAGCAGTAAAAAAAAAGTAGTTTTTTCCAATAGAAACGATTCCAGAGAGTGTAGTTCAATGCGTGACTCGTTTACCAAGTGATTCAGGCGTCGGCGAATGCCTCCCTCGTTCGCCGGCTGCTCGCCTGTCAAAGCTGCGTGCTATAGCAGCCGCACTGTTGACAGATCAACTGAAGTGAGAAACGAACAAATCACTTGAGAAAGTGATTCAGCTCAGTATGGTCACTTAAAAGATTTGGTTCTTTTGAACAAATCGTTCATGAATGACACAACACTAGAGAACTGGACGGGCTAAACTATCTGGCATAACTTCCCAGAGCTGTCTAGATGTTTCTTTGTGGACCAACGTCGTGGTCTGGTGAGGAAATAACAGATCAACAGTCCTGCTGACCAACAACACAACAGATCAATCTGAGACTGTCTTTATGTTTTCGAATTTGTTTGTTAGCACAACTTTTTCAGCCCTAAAAGGCAGATTTCAACAATTTCTGAAGAACCATGAAGCCATTTCTGTGTGTCCCTCACTCTAATGGAGAAGAGTTTGAACAAAGCAAGTGAATCTGCAGGACATATCTCCAATCATAACCTGAAAATGGCTTCACTCACACAGCAGATAGGCATAGACAGCTCGAGTCAGAACTTGCTCTTTGAGAAAATGTGAAGCTGTTTTGGTGAATTGGAAATTTATTTCAGCCTTTATTGTCTGTGAACAGAAGCCAACTTTTCCAGCGCAGTTCTGGTGCAAGCTAGCGGTTAGAAAAACAACTTTCATCTTCAAATATTGTGCTTATTTTGTGCTTTGTTACCTCCCTCGCAACTGGTTTCAAGAATCATTAAGCCTCGGTTCAATAGTAGACACACAGAGGTATCACTCTGGCTTGCTTTAGAGTTGTGAGCCTCAGAAGGTGAACTCTTTTCTTGTGATTTTCCCACATTTTAGAGATCATAAATATGCTTTAAGTAACAACCAGTTACAGCCGCCCTTAGAGTGCTTCAGGGTGCCGCTGTCCACCAGGAGAAAGGCAAACTATCACCGAAGATTGAATGTTGATTGAAAATATGTTCCTCATGTCAAGAGTGCTGCGTGGTAAAGTGTTTCCAGTCCAGTGCACAATCATTTATGCCTTCAGACCTCCACTGGTGCTTGTAATATGGTTGGTTCCTGCAAAAATGTACTTGCTCCTATTAATAGAAAATTCATAAAAGACCTCCAGGCAACAGGGTTCAATCAAAACACAAAAAGAGAGAGGTGTGCATCATCTATATGGAAGCCAAGAGACTGTGCCAAACCGTGCTCCATCATTCCAGTAACACAGAAAGAAGCTAATGATCAATTTTGCTTCCCTTGACTCCATTTTTTACACATCAGAAATACTCACAGCATAAATTCAGACAGGTACGACCAACACAAGGTACTTTTTACTGTGATATAGATCGCTTAGTCTCACTTGGTGTGTCATTCCACAGAATTTGTCCGGCGTCCGGCTCTGCTGCGGATTGGCTCCGGATCAGATACGCAAGGCCTCTATTTCGCCGGAGCACGGTGCATCAATTCAGTGCATCATGAGCGGCAGCGGAAGTTTTATGCGGTTACAGAGTAAAATATCTGGTTAATTTTCAAAATAAAATAAAGTCAATATGTTGAACTGTTCTTAACTTGATAATAGGAGAGGCCAGGGTTGTGGGATGTGGGTGTTTATATACACTGATGGGCGGGTCTTATTCTATGACTCCCGGGGAAACACGTGAGAGCAGGCATGAGCAATTTGGCCAAAAAGATGATCACGATATACTTTGTCATATTGTCCGATCTCGATTATTATCCCGATTTTTTTTTAAACTGCCAGTATTAAAGCATCTGTACTTAAAACTAAAAAAATAAACAATAACATCTTTGGAGGATGACTCAAAGTCATGGCTGACATCTATTTTACTGCCCTCAGCGCCACGTTCGGTTACTCCGTTTACTCGTCCAGCAACTTACAGAAGTGAGCAGGAAAAGCTCGACTCTGATTGGCTGTTGTGATGCGCATTTTCGCAATGTTTGCTCGAGTAAATAATCTCACAGCTGATCACCGTGATTGAACTGAAATTTGTCACGATCATTAATCACGATCATATAATCGCCCAGTCGTACGTGAGAGCTTGTGAGATCTTGTCCAGTCTCGTGAGAAATATCTGTAATCTCGCGAGCGCTTCTCCTCCGGTGATGGCGGCAGATTGGATCTGGTGGGCGCTGTATGCTGTATGCCGGTCCGGAGTGGAGCTGAGCCGTTCCAGATCCTGTGGGTTTAGCCAGATACTCTGTCCTTTGGCTTTTCAGACACACAAACGCACACCTGCTTCCTCCACTCCCTCTCCCCGCTCTCTTCTTTCCACCTGTGGCTGCATCAATCTTCCAATCTCTTCAGTCCCACATTAAACTTGAACTTTAGGGCTGAAAACTTGAACGACTGAGAGGAGGGTAGAACGCACAGTCTGCTTTAAAGACAGGGAGGGACGGTGCAACACAGCAGGCGGCAGAATAATCATTCAGCCTGTATAATAATATTTCACGACTCGAGGGGAAGTCATAATAGTGTTTGTATTTGAAAGATGATTGCTCACCCAACTCTAGAATAAATACAAAGAGATTTAAATTTGTGGTGCTTCAGCATGAGATTGAAGTACCAAGAACTCTCACTGAGTGTCCACTCACTCCTTTTGTTCTTTTGTGAAAACCTCTAAAGCTGAAAGAAATCGAATGCCAGTAAGAAGTCATCCACAGTCAGACGGAAATGCAGACAGACGGACCGTTTTTCCTGATTTGTTCTGTTAATCCATGTTGTAAAACTCATTAGAATTCATATAAGAGGGAAGAGAGGGGATCAGATACTGGATAATTGACGTCATACTTCTAATTTAGTGTGCTTTGATATGAATAGTCTTATATTTCTAATTAAAATTTAATGTTGTCATGGTAACATCTCGATGGGGTTGCATTCAGTTTTACATTTCCCCGAGCCTCATGTCTTAGACAGAGACAGAGAAAGTCAAAGAGTCTTTGATGGTTTTTCTTTTTTAATGATTTATTCTGTAAGGATGAAATATTTCATGTTCACCCACCAGCTCACTTCCTGCTGCTTTTCCACCATACAGACTAAAACTATGATAAAACTAGAAAAGCACTCGGAGAGCACGGACCTCCGCCAAGCAGCTCATGTCCCCCCTTATATTGTGATTCACACCAAAACTTTTACTGTTACGTGTCTTTTATTAACGTTTAAACTGGTATGTTCACTGTTCATAATGTTCCTAAAACAAGAAATGCCCTGATCGGGATTCAAACCCAGGACCTTCTGGTTGTGAGGCAACAGTGCTAACCACTACACCACTGTGCCGCCTATCTACACCACTCTGCCACCCATTGGTTATCTTTTAGCATTTAAAATTCCAACGACACCCTTATTTTTGTGTGTTCTGGGTCACAGTATCCAGAATTTTGTCCGGATCACCACCAAAATTTAATGGGATCCTCCTGGGGCTGAGACGCACCTCTGGTGAAAATTTCAGGTCAATCCATCTGTTACTTTCTCCTTAGAGTTGCTAACAGACAAACAAACAAACAAACCAACGCTACCGAAAACATAACCTCCTTGGCGGGGGTAACTACAACCTACAAGACAGAACCTATACAATTGTAAAATCTGCAGATAGAAATGACTGTAAAATGGTTAACGTATCACACCTGTCTATATGGAAAGAAAGCTTATCAGCAGAGACAGAAGGGCTTGAATTGCAGGGACGATCACTGTATTCAGCAACCTACAGTTTCCATGCTGCTGTGCAACTCTATCATTTACCATCTGTTTTTGTCATTCTGTTTTTTATTGCAGCTGAACTGAGCCTGCTATAGCACTGAAAGTTGTACAGCTAATACTCCACTCCTTTCTGCTGGTAACTTTCTATACTTTCAATCAAACCAGCACCTTATATTAGTGCGCCACCATTTTCTCTGAATGCATAGTTATGGCCTAACGAGGGAGAAAGCTGGTACACGTATCTAGACATATTGGTGGCACTGGTGAACGGGGTACAGCTTACTTTTAAAATGAGAAAAAAAAGTATCAAAAGTGCATCTTTTACACTAAATCTTGCAGCTGTATGCAAACATGATGCATGCAACAATCTTTGAATAACCCGTTTACTACCTGCATCAATTGTTCAAGACATAAAAGCTGTCTGTGCAGAAAATGAAAAGGAGAAGTAAGTGTATCAGCTGCTCTAATTGATTCTATTGTAGAAAAATGAAGTTTAATTTCCAACACTATTAAGTCTCTCAGGTGTCTTCATCTCCCTTTGTGCTGCCAGTGTTATCACAAGAAGACCTCAACAGTTTGCTCATCCTTCCTCAGCCCATCTCACTACTGGTGTCCCTCAGGGGTCAATTATAGGCCCCTTAATGTTTACCATATGTTTGCTTCCCTTGAGCCAAGCTGGCAGTTATCATGTTGCACAGTATATATACCGACAGCACCAATTACTATGTCCCCTGACAATCTGACAGTCACATCAGGCAAACCTGCTTTCTTTGCAAAAATCAAGTGCTGGACCTCTCATTACCCACTAAATAAAAAAACACCTGGGCTCTGACTATTAAGAACCTGGTTCTGGCTCTGTTCAGGACCTGGACTATGCAAGAGGCTGAAATCTGTCACTTAAATCACCATCTTTATCTGAAACAATTGCAAGGTTTATTCCCTCTGAAATCTGAAATCATTATTTTGTACTTGTTGTTAATCTTCTGAGTATCTTTTAACTCGTTCGGCTGTCTGTGATGCACTCTGTTAATTAGAGGCTGTGTTATACACACGAGTTACATTCATAATTCACAAGAGTAATTATAAAAGCAAACTGTTCGCGTCACACTCACACTCTCTTACCCCGATGGCTGTCAGAATAGGAACCTGGTAGATCCACTTTATATTACCGGCACTCAGCTCCCAACACCTGCAGGTGACAAATACAAAGGGAGGCAGATGAAAGGTAAGAAGGTAAGAAGAAGCCAAAATAGAGAGAAGAGCGGGGAAGATGGCAGGTGGCGTTATATAAACGTACATATATATATAAAAAAAAAACAGTCAGCGGTTCGGATAAACGTGTAAGCTCAGTCTGAAAAAGAAAAAGACAGTTTAAAAAAATAAATCGATATGAGTAAAGGATAAAACAGAATAAAGGAAGAACCTATTTATACACTGCAGTAACAATATCATTCAACACTAAAAGAAGGAAAAAGAAATGGAAAGATTCAAAAGAGCTTGATGTTTTTTTCAGCAAATGTTCATTTCCAGTTTTTTGTTTTTCCTCTAACATTTTCAATAATTGCTTTCCTCCCTTTTTCTAATACAAGTTCCCGACCTCATTTATTCCATTTTCCATCATTGCTCCACACTTTCGTCATGTTTATTTTTGCTTTTCGTTCCAGGCAGATATTCTCGTATCTGTACAATTTTCCATTATGATTTAAGTTTTCAACCCAGACTGCCCTCAATTCAACATTTATCCTCTTATATATGGACTGCCATGACTTTTAATTCCATTTTCAGCAGGTTACATTAAGGTTAATGTTATATGTACCGACATAGGTAAAAAATAACTTGAACCTATGGGGCAAGTTAATCTGTCACTCACACTCAAATGAAATTGGTTTGTCAATCTCTCCGTGAACAACCATGCATGCAAATGTGCATTTTTCTCCCTGAAAACCTCAAAGGGCACCATGCATAATTACACACACAGAGAGCTTTAAACATTGGGGATCAAGGGGATTATGCAAACACACTGTATGTTGTTGTGTTTGCAAAAAGAGCAGACTTCAAGCCGGTGAGGGGGAGTACTGTGCATTTTGCAGAAAGAGCATCCTTGAATTCACGTGGTGAAAAAAAAAGCAAAAGAAGAGTGTCAGCACACTATCCTGAATAAGTGAAAGGAGTTAAACGCCTGTGGTAGAGGATTTGGAGGAATTCAGATTAACCATTTCAGTCCTGAATCTTGTTTGAATGTTGAATGTGATGAATGAAATGTGGCAGCATCTTCTCCTAAACTTATAGACTTATCATCATCAAATATTTCATATGTTCAATCACTACAGTGAGACTATCAGCAACCAAAAGTAATTGATTAACACCTTTTTTTACATGACTCTGTTTTCTTTCTGTTTGTTCAGGTCAATAAATAAAGAAAACAGTACCTGATAACTGGAAGTATTTCATAATTTCATGATTTTACAAATGAAAAGACAAAGAAAGGCTCATGCTGCCCATGTCATGATGCAACATTAGTTTCAGGTGCTGGGATTTTCCTATCATATAGAGAAGAAATGTGGGTCTGTGGAGACATTCCTCCTGAAACCAAAAGAGGACTGGCTCAGTCAGTACAGCACTGCCAAATGCACACAGGTCTGCAGATTGTGTCAGAAAACTGACTCCAGACATCTTCCCAGATGTAGAAATCAGAATAAAAATCTTGCGTGGGCGTAAAAGCAGCAGCAGCTGTAGTTAGAAATGTTTCTGTATCTGCCTTTTTGTTGCGAGTTAGTGCTTCTTTGTTTTGTTCGCTGTGCAGTTAAACTTACCTTTAGTTTGAGAGATGATAAGGAAAAACATTTTAGCTTAAAAAAAGTCAAACATCGTAGACGCAAACAAGCCAATTATCCTCCGAGAGCTTCCTTTGGTAACTTTAGTTTGGATAAAAAGTTTGAAGATTCACACAAAACACTGCTGCTGTTTTCTTTCCAAGCAAATAAAGGCTACAGTGTGTATCTAAAGTAAGGCCCGAACGATATGGATTCGGGGGGGTCTGATTAACGATTAAGTGGACGATTTTTAACATTTTTTTTATGAAATTATAAAAAAATTTATAAATACTGTAGATATCTACAGTATATAGTAGATATACTGTAGGCTACTGCTCTTCACGCTGACAGGAAGACCGAGTGATCAAACTCGGACCAGAAAAGCGTTTTTAACTACCCCCCCTCCTCCCGCAGCCGCCGATCGGTGCCTCCACGTCTTAACTCACGTTACTCATTTCCGGTCCGGTCTCATCTGGAGACATGCAGCTGCCTCAGTAAGAGAAGTAGCTCGATCACTAATGTCTACTGTTGTTTATTCTACCGTTACTGGCTCGGCTAACAGTGTAGCAAGGCTAATAGCAGGTGGCTAACTCTAACTGTAGCTTTAGCTTGCATATTACATGGTGCTTCACCGTTTACTCTGCGTGACAGAGACCAGCACGGCGGGGAACATCGTGAAGTGGGTTGAACTGAAACTTGTTGACTTATTGTCTTCTTCACAAACTAGTTTATTTACCGTTGAGGCGGACCACTCTCCTCCGTGCGTCCCTGAGCTGCCTGCTTCAGATCAGTCACTCTGCTGTGCTGTGAGGTAGTTAGTGGATGAAGATTGTCATGAGGTCGCTGCGCCATCTACAGGATAAGTCGGGAAACTTTTCAAATGGCGGAACATTTTCGAAGTGAAACCGAATCTTATTCTCCGCATTTATTTCAAGTTTTTGGCCGATTACCGATTAGTCTCTGTAAGGATGCCTAGCCCAGGTTCACACTAGAAAGAATCGAAGGTCCACACGAATGGTCATTTTGACAAGCTTTACTGATTACATATCTGGGTTACAGCTTCAGCAGGCCACAAGTGTGACACAAGTGTGACCAACACAAGTGTAGCAAAGAGTGATCACCCCAAGTGTAGCCACCACAATTGTAGCAAAGACTGGTCCAAGACCATTCAAGTATATATAGCGGTTCACAATCCTAAACATACTGTTGGTATTTAGTTGACCCTAAGAGAAATCCATGTATGGTAAAAACAAAGGACAACATGTTTCAAAAGCCTTAGATGAACATGTGGAAGGTCCCAAGAAGGAAATATCATGGCAAACATATTTTGGGGACCTGTATGATGTAAATAATGTGTACAGGGTTCCTTGCTCAGGGATGGTTGTAGGAGGCCCCCGGCTCCAGCAATCTAACACCAAAGTGTCTGGGGTATTTGAGTGACACAGCTCCACCACTCTAAAGGCTGACATGACTGGCTAAAGAAACTCATCCTAACAGTCTCAAACGGGCCAAAATTGGCCAATTTAAGCGGCTATATAATGGTCTCAATAGGTTATACAGATTGGTGAGGCAACATAAAGTGCTTTACATGCACTAAATCGCTGTTCTCTAGGAACTTGATTTGTGTCCATTTAAAGGAAATAAGCATATCAGGGTAAAACAGCCTCAAATGACTTTTTACCAAATATAAAGGTTGAATCCCCAGCATGATATAATGAGTCAGCTGGTCTCTAGTTTTTACTTCGACTCAATTATCCAGATTCATAACTCTGCACTCAGCTGTGCTTTACAGTCACGCTTCAATCTGCACAACTCCGATTATCTCATGCTGAGCTGTCACAGTTGTGTTTACAGAGAAAGTACCTCGATTCAATGAAGCCATCTGGTGGATTTTTCTCTGGCAAACACAGAAAAGAAAGTTTTCTCCTGATTATCAGATACATGATGCTGCTTGAAAACTGACCAGGAAAGGCTTAGTATCAAGTTATCAAACAGGTGTAACTTTCCTGAAACTAAAACCGTACTTGAATTCTAAATCATCACACTCCCCATCATCCAGGCTGTCTGTAAACAGTCTGAACAGGATGCAAATGAGTTCAGTACCTCTTCACTGCTTTTTGGGAAAAGCCATTACCTAAACCTGCTCGCTGTGTTTCAGGCCACGAGAGAGTCAGAGCAGAGAAGCAACACACTCAGATAAACACCTGCACTGAAATACTGCCAAAGACAGAGGTGTGGAGTTTCCTGCTAACCTTTTGTACAGTTCTACGAATCCACACTATAGTAGAGATCACCTGTCATCGGCGTATTCCTCTCCTCCACACAGCCTTGAACTGTTAGGATGGCTCCTATAGCAACTGTCTCATTGTGCTACCTAGGAGACTGTATGGATGGCTTTGTTCAAGAGGCTGAAAGGTTAATATGACGAGAATGTGAAGACTGTAAAACCATTCATGAACCTGTTGCTTGACAACTGCTCCACACGTTTCTATGCTTTTCTGTTGATTCTGTGATTTAACTTTAGTAAGGTCTTAAACTCTCACCGTGATGTCAAGGGAATTATTTGGCAGAGCAAAAAACCATGATTCAATATCAATACTGAATATCAACTTCGTGGTCTGCTGATTTCTTTGTCTTTCAAGTGGATAATGGAGGTTGACTTTTATTATATTCTGTGTTTTTGCAGAAACCCTCATGCCTCTAAAATACACTTGAGCAAAAGTCTTTTGACTCTCATTTGGTTTGGGGTTAAAATAAATGGATTGGTAATGCCTGTTGGTTCAACCCAAGGAGGAATTTGCTTTTATATCATACATTTGGGGGTATCTTCCTGGGAACGTATGCGCTATTGGAGCTTAGGTGCTAACGCTTGACTGCAGTTAGCTATCAGGTTAAGAGGGCAATCACTTTTTTACAAAGTGCCAGGCTGGTTTGGATCGTTTTTTCCTCCTTAATAAAAGAAAATATCATTTAAAAACTGCATTTTGTCTTTACTTGGGTTATCTTTATCTGATATTCAAAATTATGTACGGTGACAAAAAAGCTAAAATCTGGAGGAGGGCAAAAACTTTTCACAGCACTGTCTGAATGAACCATCCCTCTTTATTTGAATGTAGGTTTTGACCATAGACTGTATATACTATGGACAACTTGGTTCCGCCTTCCGTCACTATACGGATTTGATGCTGAAAAGCTCTCGGTAATTCCATGTTTTTTCTCCATTTCCAGAAACCAACATTGCGCAGTAGCGTTGTACGCGTTCGGCAGAGAGTCGCTGTGATGATGCTCGGCTCATACAGCGCATCCCCCGGGTGAGCTACGCAATCTTTGTACGCCAATAGGTTGTATCAAGTGTCAATCGTAGAAAACATGAACCCTCCTAATAACTTTTAAAAATGGAGCTGTACAGAAAAAAGGAGGATGAGTACAAACCAGTCTTATAGTAACTATGTCAGCATCGCAACCAGGGGGGAGAAACATTTATATTCTGTGTAATTAGTTTCTAAAGTTTGTCCACAGCCCCATAAGGATGGCTGGCGGAGGTGGGATTTATGACCTATACTGCAGCCCATCACCAGGGGGTGCTGTTCTTGGGGTGGCTTCACCCAGCAAGGAGGCAGATGCTGTCCATTCTATATGCAGTCTATGGTTTTGACTAATTAGACTCCATTAGACTGGTCTCTTTTTATAGAGAGTTAACTATTCAGCACCTTATTCTGGTCAGACGGTTATTCTAATAACAGGGGGTCCATGTTAACAAGGCTGTTATGATGATTTAAGCCCATGCAGGGATTTCTACAACTGAGTCATGTCTGTTTTTAAGCAGTGAGGACCTGGGACCACATTTTCACCACATTTCAGACTGCCTCAAAACAAAAGTTTCAATTCTTTATTATGTTTTTTAAAATTACTACTTAACAAAATCATTGTACAGCCTGTCTGCAAACTGTGGGTCTCATTCAGGAAACCTGAGCAGAACAAAATTAACAGGCAAACTAGCATTCATCAATATTTAGTAGTTACAATTTGTTTTAATGATAATTAAAATACTGACCACTCATCACTGTGCCTTTCTGCATCACGCTTGTCAGGCCACAGGAAGTACGTGTCCACACCTCCTTATAAGGTGTTCATCGTCTATTCATGGACACTGATTTATTTGGCATTCATGAACTTTCATTAACTTACTCACGTGTTTTCAGACTCATTATTATTTTAAATGCTATTAATGAACCTGATTCACAGAACCAAGTTTTGTTTTTTTTTAACAACTTTTTACAAACATTTTATTCAAAAAAACAACCATCGATCTTCTGCACCCACTAAAAAGTTGTCTTGTGTGACAACAAAGGCAACATGCCAGCAGAAAACTGCGAGTATGATTCACCTGCCCGCTCTTTTTAACAACTGTGCGACAGCTCAGGGGGCTTCGGTGACTTTTTTTCTCCCACTTGCTGCAATTCTGTCATTACTCCTTTACAGGCGTCTCATAAGGGGGCCAGCCTCTCCTCAGCTTGAAACCTGAGTGTACCACATCCTGCAGAATTCCACTTCAGACTGGGTTTCTTCTTGTACTCGCATTCAGGAGCTGCTCTTGAGTTTTGTGTACTGAGAACTCCTTGTACCAGGACCTCATGTATTTAACCAAGAACAGCAGCTCTTAAATCATAGAGACCTCCTGGAAATAACCTTACTGAAAACATGTTGCAAGTTTTCACGTCTTTGTTTATTGAGCAGCCTCTCTCCAGTGTACCCTGGCCATGAGAAAGGAGAGGCAGCACAGAATAGAGGGATGTAGACAGACACACTGTCAGTACAGGAGAGCCAGGTTTCATTATTAGCCTGCTGCAGAATAAACCAAAAGACAAAATTAATAAAATAGTATCAACGTTAAATCTTGCGGGGACACTGTCTCAAAATTCATGAACCCGGCAGGTTCATGTAATGATGTGCTCTTTTAGGAAAGCCTTACAATTGCCAGGAGCCTCCATGAATTCTCAGTTGATTTCAGGATCTACCTGGTTTCCAGTCTCCACCCTTAGGAGACACCTCCTGACACCAGCTTAATTAGATTCCTCATGTTTCCCTGACACCAGTCTGGATAGGAGTACATATTTGCAGGTTCATAAAGGTGCATTATTTTGAGGGGCTTGTGGCCTGCTCTTTTTCCTTTAGAAGAAGGTAGACTTCCTTTAAAGGGATATTCCAGCGTAAAATTAAGTTAGGGTCAAACACAGCGTGACTCCGAGTTAGACACCCCCTCGAGAGATGAATGTTGTCGACTGCTTGCTTCTCTAGTTATACCAACTTTAGTGATGACTGCAGACGCGCGCAACCAAAACGTCACTCCATGGCCACAAATAATGCTCAGAACAGCACCTAACTTCATCAACAGTACAGTATTACTTCAAGAAAATGATAAAGAAATGATCATTAATGTTCTTCCTTGAGCTGCTAAAAAGATGTTTGGTGGCTAGTGCTATGGCTGGGACCCTATATGTACTCTTGATAAAGTTAGGTGCTGTTCTGAGCATTATTTGTGGCTATAGAGTGGCTTTTTGGTTGAGTGCGTGGCTCTCTATATTGCCATCTGCAGTCGTTACAAGAGAAGCAAACGCTTGGCAACATTCATCTCTCGATGGGGTGTCTAACTCGGTGTTACCGTGTTTGACCCTAACTTAATTTTATTCCAGAATATCCCTTTAATGCAGTCAATGATAAACATAAAGATGGCTAGGTTGCCTGTGTTTGTCTGTTATAAAAATTCATTTCAGATATAATGAGTTACTGCTTTTTCAATGCCCTGCACTAGTGCTGGGCGATAGGACGATAAATATCGTGGGCACGATAGAAAATGTCTATCCATAGGGCTTGTGCCATCAGATGATTCATAGTAACAACAACAATAATTGCACATTCAGTAAGTGTATTTGGTGTCGAACGGTAAAGAAAACAATATTTTCTTACAAAGAAAAGGATGCGTTGACATGTAGGCTCGCATTTCTCTTTCGATTTTGCGACATGACGCCGCTTTACGTGCCCTCTTTGTGTCCAGCGTCTCCCGCCGTTGCGGGTTACCTGAGTTAAAAACGTGAGGGGATCATTGTAAGCAGTGCTTAATTTGTGCTTAATTAATGTGTGTAATTTGAGCAAGTCGGAGCGCGCTCCGGGACCTCTTTTGATCGGATCCGGGACCTATTTCAGCCGCTCCGGCACCTGTTTCATCTGCTCCGGGACCTTCCCTGTAGAGGATGACATTTTTCGGGAATTCCCGTGGGTCACGTGATTCCTGCGGGAATCCCACGGGATGGGAATAATTTTTTAATGAATCCCTTGATCGGGACGGGACGGGAAAAAAGCAACGGGAGTGGGCAGGAGCGGGAACAACATTAAAAGATGATCATTTTCAGCCGTGTTTAACAACCAGATGAACAGGTGCGTCCATTTTTGTAGTCATCTCTCAGTGAGAGCCAACACTCTTGACCGCGCTAGCAACACAAAAGAACTACAACAGTGGTTTGACTTCCTGTCAGCTGGGAGCGCGGCTGCGCATTTGTACCCTTCAAGCCAGCAGCGAGGAAACGTAATTTTGTGACATTCTGTAGTTTTTCAATCATTTCTGGAGTCGTGGCGAATCAAATCACCTTACCTGTCTGCCCCTGATAGGCGAATAAAGCGCTCGGATTCATGCTCGGGTCTTGCTACGTGCTTCAAGAGTAAAGTAAACAATGATGGAGGCAGAGAGCAGCTTTGGAGGAGAAACATCTAGCAGTGTGAACAACCTCTTCAAAAGAGCCCTAAAGACCTACCTTTTTAATAAAGCCTTAGGTTAGCTTTCCTTTATGCTTTTACTACCTTGCCTCTTACATTGCAACTCTATATTTTTTATTTTTTTTTAATTCTTTTTTTATGCCAATCTGTGACTGTCATTCTATTGCTTTTTTATTGTTGCTGCTCTTTTTTTACTGTGTACTGTAGCACTTTGAGATTTTTTGTAAATGTGAAGTGCATTACAAATTAAATTTATTATTATTATTATTATTATGGAGTGCTTTGGCTCACACTATCGGCGTTTTCTGTGAGTGTTGCATAACTTTGGGTGAGCACAGACATGAACGCACTTCAGCCACGTATTTATTTATTCATTTTTCTAGTTTTAAGTGCTGGTCTTGTACTGGTACTGTACTAGTGCAGCTGTATACACTTAAATTTTTCATAGAACTGAAAGCATACCATAGCTATATCGTGATATATATATTGTTATCGTGATATCAAATGATCCATATCGTGATATACATTTTTTTCCATATCGCCCAGCACTACCCTGCACTGTCATAAAGATGTCAAAGACATACTCGTATTTTCAGGTTGGATTCGGCATCCAGGCCTGAATTAACCTCTAAAAGATGGACATTGTTCCTTAATTGCTACACCCCATTAAAGTGAAATGGTTTCAAGTAAAGAAGCAAAAGAAACTTTTAAAAGGGACTGATTTAACCCCCAAGTATTACAATGTCAGTATCAATTTCAGTTATTCTAATCGACTTGATGACTGGAAAAGTGGAGAAATACATCCTTCACATCTACTGAAAAGCAGCTCATGGTGAATTTCCCTCTGACTGTGCATGCCTGCCAGTGTCAGTGTTATCTGTGAATTGGTTCAGCGAGGTTAATTGAAGTGGCCAATTTTGCTCAGATTTTCTGTACGATGGTACCGGTGAACTGAGGTCTGCAGCACAGTCTGGGGTGCTTTTAACCTTTGTGAACCAAGAGCTTTGTGAATGAGGAAATGTCTTTGGCTCATTTGTGCTGGTTTGAAAGGCAGAAAAGCTGTACAATCATTTCCTGAATCAGGCTCCCAGTGTGCATAAAAGGACCTGAATCGAGTGCACAGTGTTAAAATGTCAAATTGCCGTGAATAGCATCTCGAACCCGACCTTTTTGAGTCCCGCTGAGATAAGACCAAAGGTTCTGGTAAAAATATAGTCGAAGTGTTTTGCTCGAATGAGGATTTTAATTTTCCTGCCTTGTGGACGTTAAAGGACAGTATACTAGTTATGTTGTTTGATTTGCATTTGTGCCAAAGGCCGCACCTCTGGAACTCAAGAAGGACAAAGATTATGGAGCCATGGCAGATTGAATGAGAAAATTATGTTTACTTAAAGGGATATTCCAGCGTAAAATTAAGTTACGGTCAAACACACCGTTACACCGAGTTAGACACCCCCTTGAGAGATAAATGTTGCAGACTACTTTATCATTTCCTTCAAGTAATAATCACCATATTAATCATTTTGCGCTGCAGACGCAGTAGTTCTTCTGCCTTAGCGTCTCGGTGTGATTGAATTTCCATGAAGAAATGATCGTAAATGTTCTTCTTTGGGCTGCGTTCCCCCGCTACAGTTGATTGACTCGCTTGAGGTGTCCGTACAAACAAGCGGCTGCTGGAAGAGAGTGGGTGAGTTGTGTTACGTCTCTTTGCTAAAGAAATTAGGCAAAGCTAAAAAGATGTTTGGTGGCTAGTGCTGTGCCTAGGACCCTATATGTACTGTTGATGAAGTTAGGTGCTGTTCTGAGCGTTATTTGTAGAGTGGCGTTTTGGTTGAGGTTTGTTTATGGCTCCTCAGACCGCTGTGTATTGCTATCGTGTCGTTGTTACTAAAGTTGGTTTAACTAGAGAAGCAAGCGGTCGGCAACATTCATCTCTCAAGGGGGTGTCTAACTCTGTGTTATGGTGTGTTTGACCCTAACTTAATTTTATGTCAGGATATCTTTTTAAGGTGCGAACCATGCAGCATCGAAACATGATCAGCTGAGCAACCCCTAGCTTGGTTTAGGAGAACATAAGTGGCCTGCACAAGCTCCAGAACAAAATCCCAACTAATTCCTTTCACAAGGGCGGACTCTGGTCCAGAACTTCCTGCAAGACCACCTCACAAAAAAAAAGGGTGAAATTTTGAAAAAGCTTCCCCAAAGAGTGGCAGAGACACAGCAAGTATCAGAAATACAACGTTAACAACGCCTGATGAACATGAATGGTGTAATGTTGAGGACAGATGTATCCATGACAACGCTGAATGAGACACCAAGATTGGTCACATATAAGAGTACACTGATGATTCACATGTCACCACAATTAAGAAACACACACACATTCCGTGTGTGTTCAACTTCTCCTGTGCAAAAACAAAGCCTGCATATAGACACAGTGAGACGTGTTCGCTCACCTTGCATCTGCCAGCGTTGCCCTGACGATCGCCCACACTGCCACGAAAACAGCTGGAACACCTGGAATCAAATGAGACAAACAATGAGCCGTGGGCCAGGTCACATTTCAATCTCATATTTCATTCATGCAGTTTGATTTATTTAAATGGCTTATTCTTTTTTTCCCAAGACCTTTAAACCTGGAGTTTGACTCTATAAGAAACCAGCTGATTGGAAAGAAAATAATCCTTGGCATGTTTTTAATGCACATCAACTTTTGTAGTTCCCGAAGACACTCATATCATCTTTCAAACACCCACATCTAGATTTACATTTCTCTCCCAAACTTATTTTGCAACTTAATAAAGAGTGTACACAAAATATTCAAGACACACAAACACAAATGCACGCTGTTTGCTTTGAACTCCCACACACATCTACAGACATCTGGCTTTTTATGACCTGAAAAATACACCATAACCTTTTTCTCTGTGTTTTAGATTTGTTTAGATTTTAACTGCACTTTGTTAACTTAGAGTGTGTTCGTTTCTTCTGCGTCTTAATGCCGTGTTTTTGCTCAGAAGTCATGGTCACTTCACTGCCCTGGGCCATATCTCCAGTTTAAAGATCATATTTTACAGCCTGTTTGCTACATCAGAAAACAGCTAAATCCTTTCGCATTTTCACACTTCCCAGTAGTGCTAAAAATCACAAGATAATGAAAGTGGAGAAACTTTTGCACAGGAAAAAAATATTTTAGAAGAGCTAATGTTTAAGCTGAAGTCCAGTTTACATCATATTAGCTGGCAAAGATCATGTTTAAGCTTTGTAAGGGAGTGTTTTTGATATCAGGGATATTACCTGCAATCCAGATGCTTTTTCCTGACTTTTTGCAAATTAATATGCTGTCACATAAGTATGACGGCTTAATAATAGAGGATAGAGTATAGCCTCGACCTGCTCTCATTTGCAAAGAGTCTAAAGTCTAAATTTGTGCTTTATAAATACCACTTTCAGTCAAATCGGCCTGTCATTGTGTCATTAAGAGGCTAAATGATGTGTAGATGGAAACAAACAGAGAATTCATCTATAAACGAATCATTTGAATATGTCATGGGTATGTGGTCTATTTGCTCCACTTGTTTTGTTTTCCAGGCTGTCTCTCACACCTCCACAAACAGACCACACCTGCAGCTTTCCTCTTTCCACACTCAAAGCTCACACCGCGCACAAGTGTCGTCTCCAGCCTCTTCCTGTTTCTGTTCTCTGTATGTTTCTTGTTTTCCGACGGTAATTAGCATCCCAAGAAAATGACATACGAGCAGTAAACGTGCTCCCCCTCTTAGTCTCAGTCCCTGTTTCATCAGCCTCTTTTATCTCCCTCAGCTCTTATACGGCCCTCTTTATGTTCATTTGATCTGACAAGCGTTCCCTGATCTGTCAAGGTATAATCAGAGCCATTTTGCATGAAAACTGCCTCTCATCTAGAAGAGGTAGTTAAGGTGAAGTGAAGAGAGTGGGAATGATAAGCATTGTGCGTCATGACAGTAAAGTGCAGGAATAACTATAATGATCATCAAGTTACTTTTTCAAAGTATAGAAAATGCTAGATAATAATCTTATAAAAGGGGTCATAGGTGCAGAGGGAGTACAGACATAAAGGGTAATGTCAGTCAACTTTAGTAGACGATGACTCAAAGCAACTTACCATGCCTGTCAGACCTTGTGATCATAAATTTATCATATCATATTCAACCTTTAAGTCTGTCTTCTATGCTAAAGTTGTGCCTCCTTACATAAAACTCCCAATAATGTGACTTTTGGCAGTCAAATTTATGATTTATTAAAGTGCTGTTTCTCACTCTGGCCTTGTAGAAAATAAATGCTGAATGTTTCTTTCAAGTGTCGCAACCTGAAAGCAGCTAAAGTTAAACTCTTTATTTGACGCCTATCAAATATAATTATAATGCGTTATAATCACGTTATAGCACTGTATAACTATAGTTATAAACACTCATAAATGATCATAATGCTGTATAGCAATAATCATAACACATTATAAAGCAGGTTATCATGACTTACAAGGTCAGGTATTATAATGTGTTATAACTGTTAACAACTCACTGACAATGCCCACATAGATAATGCAATGCAACAGCTGCGTTATAGTGATAGGCTTCAAATAAAGTGTTACCAAGTTGAATAATTGCAACCATAATCTTTAAAAACAGAGTCTCACATAACACTGGATTAATAAGACTCTAAACAAGACCTTAGTTACAAAACATACCGGCGCAGTGTAAGAGGAGACAACACTGATAATGACGGTTTCCTCAGTGATCCCCGCTGGGTTTCAGGAGCTGCACACAGCTTGATTTTCAGTAATCAGCATGTTTTCCGTTAAGGATTTGTTTTGGTGTTTATCAATCATGAGGCTTGTATAATCGTTTAAACTAACCAAAGAGCCCTAACCTCTTTTTGACGAATAAATCTGTCAATAAAACGAGTAAAACACGGATAACAGCTGGTGCACATTAAAAACAGGGGGGTGTGTGGGCCGAGCTGCTAAGAGTCAATTTGATTCCCTTAAAGGGATATTCTGGCATAAAATTATTTTAGGGTCAAACACACCACAACGAAAGTTACGCATGTAACTACGGTTCTATGAATCCCGAATGACCGCCAGAGGCGGTGCTTTAAGCACTGAATGACTCCCTTCGCGCATGCGCAGTTCGAGTGTTTATACCAACAACGTCACTTGTGACCCCGTGGTGACCTGGAAGAGGTTATTTCTTCCATCGGTCAACGAGGGTTCAGTCCCTGCAGAACTTTCTCGCGAAGACGCGAGGATTCTGAGTGACAGAGTGCTCTGGCGGTCATTCGGGATTCATAGAACCGTAGTTACATGCGTAACTTTCGTTCTATTTCATCCCTTCTGACCGCCAGAGGCGGTGCTTTAAGCACTGAATGACTTATACCAGCAAAGTCACGAGGAATCCTGATTGCAAACCTTGAATCAAGGGGACTCCGGGAAGAGGACCACACCCAACGGATGGGGAGTGGCAACGTTCACCCTGTAGAACTTGGAGAACGTGCTTGATGACGCCCACAAGGCAGCCGAGCAGATGTCCTCCAGGGGTACTCCTCTTAGGGCTGCCCATGAGGTGGAGACACTCCTGGTCGAGTGACACCGGACCCCGGGTGGCATGGGGCGGTTATTTGCCTTATAGGCGTGGTTGATTGTGTCCACCACCCAGTGGGACAACCTCTGCTTTGACAGGGCAAGGCCTATACTAGGGCCGCTGTGACACACAAAGAGGTGTTCAGCTCGTCTTACACGTGTGGTGGCTCGAATGTAGGCTCTCAAGGCCCGCACCGGGCACAACAGCCTCAGTTGGTCAGCCCTGTCTCCTGGCGGAGGATCGAACCGGGCCAGTGTGATAGGCCGGTTGATGTTTGCTGCCGATGGCACTTTTGGCAGGAAGTCCATATTGGGCCATAGGGTCATGCCTGACTGGTCTGGGTTCCACCGTAGGCAGGATTCGTTGATTGAGAGGGCGTGCAGCTCCCCTACCCGCTTGGCCGATGTAATGGCCAGGAGGAGGGCTGTCTTATAGGACAGCCATTTGAGCTCTGCCCGCTCCAGGGGCTCAAAGGGAGCCTTGCATAGGGTGTCTAAGACTAGATTTAGGTCCCATACTGGAGCTCTCGGGGCTCTCGGGGGGTGCAGCCTCTGGGCCCCCTTCAGAAAGCTGGAGATCAAGCGGTGGCTCCCTATCGTGCTGTTCTCAACCCTCACGTGGTTACAAGATATAGCTGCCACATACACTTTAAGTGTAGAAGGGGACAGGCCTCTAGTTACCAGGCTTTGGAGGAATTCAAGGACTACAGTCACTGGGCAGTGTACTGGGTCCTCAGCTCTGCTTTTGCACCAGCTGGAAAACAGCTTCCACCTGTTGGCGTACTGGAGCCTGGTGGACGGCGCCCTTGCGTTCAAGATCGTATGTTGTACTGCGTCCGAGCAGCTGCCTAGCAGCGGGTCGGGCCCTTCAGCAGCCAAACACACAGCTGAAGGCGTTGTGGGTTGGGATGCCAGATTCGTCCCCTCAGCTGTGAGAGCAGGTCCCTCCTGTCGGGGAGGCGCCACGGCGTCCCTTGACATAGTTGGTGGAGCAGTGGGAACCACACCCTGCCTGGCCAGAAAGGGGCCACGAGGAGAATGGTGTGACCCTCGTGAGCCACTCTCTGGAGCACCAGGGGAATCAGAGGAAGTGGGGGAAAGGCGTATAGGAGAACCCCTGGCCAGGGGTGGGACAGCGCGTCCTGGCCTAGGGGACTGGTTGGCTCCGCTAGGGAGAACCACTTCGGGCAGTGGGTCGACACTGCCGAAGCGAACAGATCCACTTCTGCCCTGCCAAAGCGGTTCCCGATCATGGTGACCACGTCTGGGTGGAGGCGCCACTCTCCTGACGGAGGCTTCCGCCGGGAGAGAAAGTCCGCGATGTAATTCTTCTCCCCTGGTATATATACTGCCCGCAGGCTCATCAGGCGGGGGGCGGCCCATGTCAGCAGGTTTGCGGAGACCTGCAGCAGCTGTGCTGACTTGGTCCCTCCCTGATGGTTTATATTGTAGATTGTTGAGGTATTGTCTGACCTGACCAACACATGCTTGCCTCTCAGGTGAGGCATGAAATGGATAAGAGCCATGTGCACCGCTTTTATTTCGAGCACATTGATATGATTTGCGCGGTCTGCTGGAGACCACTGCCCGCGAGCTGTCCTGCCCTGCCACACCGCACCCCAGCCCGAGAGGGAGGCGTCGGTGGTAACAGTTTCCCTGCGGAATGGAATACACCCCATCAGGACACCCCTCAGGATGTAAGTCCTGTCCCTCCACGGGACTAGGGTGAGGAGGCACTGTCTTGACACGGCAATCTGCCTGTGCCTGTGTCGCTCGGCATCTAGATGGAGGCCGTTTAGCCACCTCTGCAGGGGGCGTAGGGACAGCAAGCCCAGCGGCACAACAGCAGCAACAGATGTTAGCGTGCCCATGAGGCGGAGGAACCTCATGTATGGCAGGAGGCTTCCTCTCCTGAAATCGAACAGAAGCTTCATAATACCATCCACCCGACGGGTGGAAGGACGGGCCGTCATTGAAACCATGTCTAGGGCTAGACCAATGAATGTTATGCTCTGAGATGGCGTCAGGCAGCTTTTGTCTGTATTTACTTTGATTCCCAGGCGGGCCACGTGGCTAGAAGCTGTGATGTGTTGTCCGCTGACTGTGCCCGGGATGGTGCGCAGATCAGCCAATCGTCCAGGTAGGGAAGCACCTTCATGCCCTGGGCCTGGAGAGGTTGGAGTGCTGCAGCGGCAAACCTCGTGAAGACCCTCGGGGACAGGGAGAGCCCAAATGGGAGCACCCGGAACTGCCAGTGGCGGTCCTTGTAGGCAAACCGGAGGAACTGCCGGTGTTGCCTGGCAATGGGGACATGGAAATAGGCATCTCTCAAATCCACTGTCGTGAACCACTCGTTTGGGGCCACGGACTGGAGTACAGCTGCCGTGGTCAACATACGGAAGGGTAGGGTCTTTAAGTACCTGTTTAAGCCTCTCAGGTCCAAGATGGGGCGGAATCCGCCGGTCTTTTTCTCTACCAGAAAGTAGGTTGAGTAGAACCCCCTGGGGTGCTGCAGAGGGTCTACTGGTTCGATGGCACCCTTGGCCAGGAGGGTAGACAGCTCCTGGTCCAGGGCGAGGGCCTTTGCCGGGTCGCCAATGATGGTAGTTTTGACCCGGCTGGTTGCAGGGGGCCGGCGTCGGAACTGGAGTTTGTACCCGTGGGTCAAGGTGGTAAGCACCCACGGGTCCACAGCTCGAGCAGCCCAGTAGCTGAGCTGCTGGTGTGTGAAAGTTCCGACGGCCGGCCCCATTGTCTCAGTGTTTGGCCCCTCTGCCCCTAGGGGCCCTGTTGGGGGGTCCAACGGGGTCCGGGGTCCGAAATGGCCTAGACTGCGCACGACCAAAGCCCCGTCCACGGGCTTGCCCCTGCGCAAGGCGTGGGTCTCTAAAGTGGGCTGGTGGGGGGTTGCTTCCAGGGGCAGCTGAGTGGGCTCTGCCCCTGGCCCTGCCCCTGCTATGGGGAGGAGCACGGTGCAGGCTCATCAGCTGCTGTCTAGTCTGTCCAGCCTGGATGGTTTGGTCAAGTGCCTCCTGGGCAGCTGGACCAAAGACCGTTCCTGGCACCACCGGAAGGCCCTGGAGGGTCTTCCTCGCCTTGTCCGTCAGCCGTGACTGGGACAGCCAAACCTGGCGGCGGGCCTGGATTATGATGGACATCATCCTCCCTAACTCCCGAGCCATGAGGCCAAACGCCTCCAGTGACGCGTCACAGAGGGTGGTAGCATCTGCGATTGCATTGTCCTCCTGCAGGGATGATGAAAGCGCCAGCAGGAGGTGCGACAGGGAGTTGCCAATTCTCCCAGCTTTTGCTCCTGTGTTATAGCCCCTAATCAGCAGGTCGTCGGTCAGCCTGCACTGGGGGCGAGGGCACCTGGTGTCCCGGCTCAAGGCCTCATCTGGGGGAACCACCAGAGATGCGACGACTGGCTCAATTGATGGCATGCAGTCCAAGCCAACGTCTGCCGAACCATGCATCGCTGCCAGCGCACGACCGTCGCTGGTTAGACGGGAGCAGGCCTTCGAGTCTGCCCAGCAGACCTGTAGCTCCCTCAAATAGTCCTCTGCATGAGGGACAGAGAATGCATTGGAGGCTGGCTTCCGCCGGAAGAATCTGCTTGTTGGGGCCTGCCCTGCTTGGTCTGGTAAGGCCACCCTTAACTTCTCCAGGGCCATTCTCAGGATGGCCTGCATCGAGTTATCCCCGCTCTCGGACAGCTCAGTCTGGGCTGAGGAGTGGGAGCCTTGATCTGAGGCCTGAGAGGCCCCCTCATAGACCTCCCCTTCCTCGTACTCATGAAAATGGGAGGCTGATGCAGCTAAAGACAGCGCATCCTCCTCTGGCTCTTGGGACTCCTGGGTCAAGTGTGGCATTTCAGGAGTAGGCACCCGAGCTTCCTCTGAAGGACACTCCAGAGGTTGATGGACGAGGAGCATAGCCCTCATACGACCAAGCTCCGCAGACAACTGATCCACCCTAGATGACAGTCGAGAGCGGTTGGTCTTGGGCCTAGCCCTAGGCTTCTTTTTAGCAGGTGGGGCGCCTGCACTGGCAGGTGCGTCAGTGCCCCGCTTCGAGCGACCAGGTTTCACTGTGGGCGCCTGGCCTGATGGGGGAAGGTTGTCCTGCAGCGGATTCACCTCCGCTAGCCTGGCCAGCTTAGCTGCCATCGGCATGTAGCTGCAGTCCATACAGGGGCTGTTCACCAGGGCCTCCTTGAGGTGCTCAAGGCCCAGACATGATGGACATAAATCGTGTCCATCATCGGGTTGGAGGGGGGCCTGACAGGAAGTACAGCAGTGAGAGACATCCATTGTGACCCCGCCACTAGATGGAGAATTGATCGCTCTTGCTGGAGGGAGGAAGCAGAAACGCTCCTTTATCCGAAAATTAAGACAGCAAGAGTGACTGCCGCTTATGCTGGAGGAAGGAAGCGGAAACGCTCCTTTGCCAGCAATCAGAAATAGAAAGAATAAATCAAATAATAATCACAATAATAGGCTTGAAGCAACTCAGGTCACTGGCAGCGCGAGCTGGGGGGAGGGGGCGTGAGCACCGCCTGCACCAGCGTAGGCTATCGCCAACTATATAATAAAAAGAGCTATCCTTAAAACTTTTCTGCCCGCTTGGCCGCCGCTGAATGCTTTAGCCGCCGTCGGGGGGCCGTGGCCGCTGCGGCGTTAACAAAAAACGGGCTACCGTAGAGTCGTTTATTAACTGAAAATGCCGACGCGGAACGCGAGCGTTACCGTTCGTTGTATACAGTCGTTATGTCGGAGGGAGGCGGCGAGAGCGCAGCCTTTCACAACAGGTTAAGGTAAATATCTATATATATGTACACTAAATCAATAACCTACCTGTTCCGAAGGAGAGGGGAACGAGTCCCATCCTCACCGGTGAATGACGGACGCCGCGGCGTCCGATGAGATGAGAACTCCGTTCAGTAGGAGATCCCAATTAATATGGATTAGACAAGTTACAGCTCCTGGAGGGCGAGCATTCGCTACTCCGACCGAAACGGCCGCGGAACTACTGGTAACTTACTAATATTGTAGCTCGCTCTTTTGCATCCTGCGCGAGCGAGAAAGAATAAGGGGCTGAACCCTCGTTGACCGATGGAAGAAATAACCTCTTCCAGGTCACCACGGGGTCACAAGTGACGTTGTTGGTATAAACACTCGAACTGCGCATGCGCGAAGGGAGTCATTCAGTGCTTAAAGCACCGCCTCTGGCGGTCAGAAGGGATGAAATAGAACACTGAGTTAGACAACCCCCCAGGAGATGAATGTTGCCGACCGGTTGCTTCTCTAGTTATACCAACTTTAGTAATGACCACAGATAGCAATACACAGCGGTCTGAGGAGCCATAAAAAAACCTCAACCAAAACGCCACTCTATAACCACATGTAATGCTCGGAACAGCACCTAACTTCATCAACAGTACATATAGGGTCCTAGGCAAAGCACTAGCTATCAATCATCTTTGTAGCTTTGCCTTACTTCTTTATCAAAGAGACTAAACACAACTCACCCACTCTCTTCCAGCAGCCACTTGTTTGTAGCGAGACCCCAGGCCAGTCCATTACGGACTGCTGCGGGGTGACGCAGCTCAAGAAAGCACATTTATGATCATTACTTTATCATTTCCTTTCAGTAATAATCACCATATTAATCATTTCGCCCGCAGACGCGGTAGTTTTTCTGCTTTAGTGTCTCGGTCTGATTACATTTCCATGAAGAAATGATCATAAATGTTCTTCCTTGAGCTGCGTCACCCCGCTGAAGTCCATAATGGACTGGCCTGAGGTCTCACTCCAAACCATCGGCTGCCGGAAGAGAGTAGGTGAGTTGTGTTTAGTTTCTTCACAAAAGAAGTTAGGCAAAGCTACAAAGATGTTTGGTGGCTAATACTATGGCTGGGACCCTATATGTACTGTTGATGAAGTTAGGTGTTGTTCTGAGCATTATTTGTGGCTATAGAGTGGCGTTTTGGTTGACAGACTGCTGTGTATTGCTATCGTGCGGTTGTTACTTAAGTCGGTATAACTAGAGAAGCAAGCAATCGGCGACATTCATCTCTCAAAGGGGGTGTCTAACTTGGTGTTGCCGTGTGTTTGACCCTTAAATAGTTTTACGCCGGAATATCCCTTTAAAGCTCCTCATGCATACCACACACTTTTTAACGCTTAGGATTAATGTCCAGCTCTCTGTGCTGTTTTGCATTAAAGCATGAAACTCATCTTTGAAATACCTTACACAATTACTTTTCGACTCACAGTTTCATCCATATGTCTTCACTGTCCCTCGTTAAATGAATCTGTTTTCATTTATCACACAAGTCAGGATTGACTCACTCTGAGAGAACTGGCAGTAAAGTCGACTAAAGCCCTGATTTAATTGTTATCTAGTGAAGTTTTTGTGCAAATGTAACTCTTTCTATTTGACAATGAAAAACCAAAAGAAAATCCTGCTAAGCTGTTTCACTTTCCCGCATTAATCACTCACAGCACTCAGTTGCTTTGTCCTCTTTATAATCCACAATATTTCCCTCTTGGTGCTTCTGATTAACACAAATCTCTCTATAGCACAGCATGGAGTATCTACTGATTCATACTGTAACTATTGGGCCGAAATCAAAACCAATATTATGAGCCTCTATTCAGACAAACAAGATGAGACAGAGATGCGATGGGAGAGACTTTTCTTTTCTGCTTTTAACTTCAAAGAGACGAACTCAAAAGTTCTTCTGGGAGGAAAAAACCTTTCATCTGCTTTTCAGATTTGTCTTGCACACTAGAGAGGCTGAAAAGTACAAATTTAAAATAATACAGACAGTTTTTGTTCAATGAAATCCCCAAATGTTTGGTTTGAAATTCCTCTTTTTGTTCTTTTTCTTTTTAATAAAATGTTTGTACGATGAATGCTGTGTGATTAATCTTAAGCTAACAAGGAAATATTAGCAGGTTTGCAGGGTGGAGCTCAGTCGTGCAGCATCATTAAGGCGTTGTTTCATTATGTTGCAGATGGCGAATATTACAATATCAGAAATATGTATCTATTCAGCTCACCCCATCCAATAAGGATGAAGCCCCAGAAGTATTTGGAGTCTGATCTGAAGGCCATGAAGATGAGGCTGTGGAGGTAGAGGCCTTCCACCAGGATCCAGTAGTAGTTGGTGGTCAGAAAATAGATGAAGAGCAGCACCGCCACCTTGCAACCAATCTGAAAACAAATACAGCAACACGTTAATGACATCTTGTTTAAATGGAAGTGTCACACCACGGAAACATGAGCTGTCAACCACCCAGTCAAACGCATCAGAAAAGCTGTTCCCAATCATCTTTAGAATGATAGTCTGAGATGGACTAGTCAACCTCAGACCAAGTCTTCCCCCCTCAGCTCAAATTCCAGCTTGGTGATGTTTCCCTGTCTCTGCACAATCATGATCTGTCAGATTCACTTGAATGCATCACAGAAAAAAGCAATCAGACTTTAACACACCACAGTTTTCCCATTAACTGCTCGTCGCTGGGATGGCCGTCTGTGTTGCAGGGGGAATGTGAACAGTCAGATATGTCATGTCATCCTCGAGGGTGGTGGAGCTGTGCCACTCAAATACCTTGGACACTTTGGTGCTAGATTTCAGGGGCCATGGGCCTATTAAACCATCATAAAGCAAGGACCTTCTACACCTGTTGGACATCACTCAGGCTACATGGACTCTCCTTCAGGTCAACAAGATGCAAGTAGAGTGTTTGGAAATGTGGACGGCTAAAGCTCGTCAAAATGATCATTCCTGTGGACTAGGGCTGGGCGATAAAACGATAACGAAATATATCGAAAATTTATTTCCCTCGATATCAATATAAAACACGGTCAATATGCTTTTGGATAGTCGGCATTCTGCCACGTTTTGGGAGACTATATGAATAGCCAATGAAAAGGGGAGTTGCTTCAGGTCCGCTTTGGCTGAACCAATCATGTGCTGAATTAGAACCAAGTAGCAAACAACTGTGTAGTAGCAGGATGAAGCTACACACAAACACAGCACTTTAACATTGTGGAATGACTTACCTCTCCACATTAAACTAGCTCCCTCACTGTCCATTTTTAAAACCCGTCTAGAAACCCACTTTTATTCCTTGGCTTTCAACCCAGCATGAGATGGCATTTGTTTTATTGCTTTTTTATTGCTTTTTATCATACTTTAAAATAACTATTTATTGTTATTTTATGTTTTCTCAACAGATGATGAAATTGTCGACAAAACTGGCACAAAAATGTCAGGTATTTGGGTACATGTTCTCGCAAAGTTGGGGAATACCTAAAATCTTTTTTTCACCACATGAAGCAGTGCCATGCGGCAGAGCACACGCAATGCAAAAGGTTACAAACCCAGAGCGGAGCAAGGAGCCCATGGCGCCTGTGCAGCTGAAACAGCTGACCATTCAGTCCACATTCTCTAGCGCAACGCCTTACGACAAAACGTCAAAGAGACAGAAAGACCTCAAAGATGCTTATTGTACTGCAAAAGACATGCTACCAACAAACACTGTTAAATTTCATTTTTTTATATCATGATATATATTGTTGGACTGATATGAAAATAATATATCGTGATAAACTTTTTCCCATATCGCCTAACCGTAGTGTGGACCTTCCATTCTTTTAAGTGTGAACCTGGGCTAATGGTTTCAGTTCCACAGTTCCTGATGCTAAAATGTATGATTTGCACTCCAGTGGGATTTTCCTCTTTTATTTCAAGCACAAAGTTGAAGGTCCAGTTGTTCCAGTATCCCAGGTCCACTAAGGTAGAACCTTTTTTGAGTGACAGCACCTTATTTGACAAGTTTCCCACTCTAACATTTATTAATAACCACCTTTAGACTTTGAGTCACCTGCCCCAGAGCTGTCTTTTATAGGTTTTTCACTGTGGCTGATGATGGTGACACAATTTGACAGAGAACACATTAAATAATATAAGATATAATAGAAAAATATTTAAACTGTCCTGTTAATGAATCTAGCCTTGGAATACTAATGAAGATATAAACGAACCGCCTTTCACAGGCAACGTTATTAGAAAAATAAATTATATCTAGTTATGTGCAGTCACGACTAAAATTACCCTGCTGCTGCATGTACAGTATATCATTATGTATTGAGGGGCTAAGATGAGTCATATACGAACATGCTATGAGCTGAAATAGCAGCTTTTAATTTGCAAAGCTTCATTCCCATCACATCTTATTTACTTGGGTGTCCTAATATTTTGGTATGCTTTATATCGATATTAAATATTTGAACACAGAAGAGGAAATAGAAAATACTTTTTAACAAAGGAGGCATCTGCAGTTATTTCACAAACAGTTCCACCTTCAGCCTCATGAATGACTGGGATTTTATGAAGGCTGTGAGCGTTATCAAACAAAACAGGATGTGATCAAGGTCCCACAGGAACACACTGTTCTCTCTGTCTTGTGTGGTATTCGGTCACTCTCAGCAAACTGTACAGGGAGTTTGAGGGAGCGCCTAAGAGCTGAGCGTTTAGATGCAGCTTAACAGATCGGTGTTGAGAGGGTCATAACATCACAGAGAGCACGAGTAATTTAGAGAGTGAGTGTGTGAATCACCACAGAACTGTGAATGAAACTCGTTAACTTCTGAATGGGTGTCAGGAAGACTTCACTACAGTTATCCTGACTCTGGTAAACAAATGAGTGGAACTTAAACAAGTAAAAATGACATTAGGCGCATTTAACTGACGTTCAGGGATTCATTTTGATTTAAAAATTGATCGTTTGACAGCAGATAAAAAATGCAGACAAGGTTTGTCATATTTTAACCCTCAGTATCTCATGGATACATATGCAAGTAAATTACTCTATTTATTTTGGGAGTTGGGTCAATAATTCATCAATTCTGGTTTAGAAATTTCGTCTTCTTTTGGACATATTTGAGTGCTGTAAAAAAGAGGATTAGGGCCACAAGAAAAGAAAAAAAATTACAGAAGGGAGATTTTTTAAATTTCCATTTCGAGATTAAGTAGAAATTTTAAAAAGTTGAAATTTCCACTTTATTTATGTCGACTTTAAATCTCAAAATTTTGACTTTAATCTCAAAAATTTATTTATTTTTAATCCTAAAATTTAAACATTTTTATGTCGACTGTAAATCTCAAAATTCTGACTTTAATCTCAAAATTTTAATTTTTCTAAATCCTGGAATTTAAACATTTTTCATGACATTCCATAATCTCGAAATTTCAACTTTATTCACGACATTCCTTAATCTTGAAATTAAGACTTAAGATTTTTGTCGATGAGGATGGTTTATGGAAAACAAAGAGAAAAAAAAAAGATTTTAAAAAACTCACTGTGCTCCAGAAACTGGTTTTGGTTATAGGCACTGATAAGTGTATATACATACATATATATTGTATATATATACATATTTTTGCTCTGTTTATAGACATTTATTTTATAGACAGCTTAGTACATGGATGATGTGTAATGATGTGCTTTGTGACTTTGAAACAGGGTTTAGAGTGTGTTACTTTATATTTATGTCCTTGGTTCTGGTAATTGGTTTTGATTTTATTCATTGGTATACGTGTTTTCATGAAAATGTGTTAATATATATTCAAATAACCTGTATCGAAGTAATCTTTCTTTTATGATGAGAAACGAAATAAAACTGAATGAACATCCGTGTGGAATATTCAAGACCGAGGACAAAGTAGAGAGGCGGCGGATTTTTCCCTCATGAAAATCAAACAAAAACAATATTTCACCTTTTTAGTGGCACAAAATAAAAGGAAACAGTTAAATGCAATGATGAGTAATTTAGCGGTAGTGACTTCAGTATAAATGAAGGTTTTAGAAAAGGATTTTTGAAAAAATCTGAATGGAAGGGAAACTTCAATTTCAATTCAAACTCATGAGAGACTGAGTCACCAAACACAAAATATGTCTTTATTAATGAGAAGAGCAGAGAGTCCCTGTGGAGGATTTGTTGTAGAGTCATAGTTAAAAAATCCACACAGAGTTCAACTAAAGATTAAACAGCTCAAAGGTTTCCTTTGCAGAAAACTGCAGGATTGTTTCCTGGCTTTCTCAGCTGATTAGTGATGTAATTTTTATGTAATTATGTTCATTTGAAGATGACAAGTATATAAATTATATGCAAACTGAGGGTCTATTTATGAAGCTGTGTGAATATATCAGAACTTTGTATCAACATTTTTAAAGACCCACTACGATGAAAATCATGTTTTTCTTGTTGTCTATGTGTTCATTCGGGTTGGGTAACGTTTGATTTTGAATGATTCCGGTTCTGGTTCGGATTCCGATTCCTCGTTTCGATCCCTGTTCCTATCGATTCTCTATTCTGATTCTTTTAAAAGATATAACTGTGTTGCTAATGTTGCTCTGAGATAAGAGTTCATTCTTCCTGCTAAAGTTTGACAAACTTTTGACCGCAACTTGGAATCGAAATTTTAAAATTTGAACGATTCCGGGAGAATCTGAATGTTAGTCGCAGTCCCTATCGATGCTCGAGACTCGACGCCCAACCCTAGTGTTCAAATATCATTTTTCTGATGCTACAGGACATATCATGAGAAAACTAAGTGTAAAATTGCATTTCTGAGTATTTCTGCATTCAAATTGCTGTGAATCTCTGGCGGACCCAAACAGCAGGTTCAGAAACAGTGAGATTTCATACATAGCAAATCCAAGCTCCGCCCCCAGAGCCCCGCTATGCAGGCCAGACTCAGGGAAGTAGAGAGGACGATCGCACAACAAGTGTGTGCATTAGCGGGTTGCAATACTCATAAGAAAGCGAATTATTATATTAGCTTTCATCATGCTCCAAAAGACATTAGTGTCCGAGAGCTGAGTAGCTCCTATGTTACCTGCTACTTCTACTACGCCGGCAATGTTAGACTGCAAGCTAGTGTGAAGAGGAATTGCTAATGATCTACTGGAGCTCTGCAGAAGAAAAGCCCTTGAAAACGACACAGGTAAGGTGATTTTGGCTAAAAACTTCATAATCACAATTTAAAGACCACTGAGAACACTTTAAATCGTAAAAAAATTATCAGAGTGGGACTTTAAACACCTGGGAGTCTGCACATGTGTGACGGCAGAGGCATTAGCAGACAAGCCTCACAGTCTTGAGTTTTTAAAAGCCTCACAGGAAATAATAATCTTTCTTTCAGATCACTCATTCTAGTCACTTTCTCTTAGAAAGACAAAAACAAAGACAGTTTCCTGTCTAGTCTGCTCTTAAAAGCCTGCCAGCATTTGCCCTTCATTCTCAGTGGAAAACTGCACTCTGCTGTATCTGAAAATTATACGTGGATAAGTCCGCGCAAAGTGGCTGAAGGGCACACCTCCAGCTACAGAGCAGCTTTTAATCACAATAACCCCTGAGATCCTTCAGGCAGAAACGTTTCAGCCCCACTGAATCTGAGAACAGTCTGTGCTCACCAGCTATATTCCTACCAATATATTCTATATTCCTACACAGCTTTACTTGACATAACAACACAAATGCACGGTAATTCTGAATCTAGACCAAATATATCTGTTTGTATGTCAATGGTTCTTTTATCGTTTTTCCCTGTGGTATCAAACTTCAGTCATGCTGAGATAATATGCTGCAGCTTTCAGTCAATAGCTGGCAGCAAGAAAGGAGGAAAAACATTTCTGTCACAGTTAGTTTTCTCGCCCACAGCTCCTCTGAGATCTTTTCCAGGAGACATTGCTGAATGTTTTTAAAAAAGAAAAACAAAAGACCTGAAGGCTTTTCAGTCAAAGGGAGGATCATTAAGTAAAGAAATACTGATTCTAAGACTTTGGTTGACCCTGATGAGTTTTGGTTTTCTATTGACTTCATTTAAGGATGAATTAATGAAACACCAGGGAAGAGAGGTGAAAGTTTGATCATCTTAGTGATGTGTGAGCTCTTACTGCTCATTTTTTTCCATGTTTTGGTTTCAGGAGCCATTAATTAATCAGCGTTGGCTTTACCAAGAGATTTCTGAATGTGGTGATACTGTATGAATGGCGTTGTGATATATGAGGGGCAGTGAGAGCAGGTCTGGAGGTAACTGTAAAGCCTCCCTAAGGAGTCATAGGCCCATTAAAACACTGACACCTGACTGATAACCCTGGTTTAAGCCCTGGCTCTCACTGCCCATTTGTCTCCATCTGTTAAAGGTGGGGTAGGCAGGATTCTGTTAAAGAAGCATTTTTTTTTTGTGGTGTATACACAAAAAAGCTTTTAATATCAGTCAATAGCTATCAGTTATTGATGACATTTGGTAATATAACAATATCGCTGTGTTCAAAGCCGTTCTGCGCCTCCCCCAACCTGATTGGTTGTGAGGCAGATGCTGTTCCCTCAGGTTGTGAGGCATGCTCTACGTCCTCCAATAACATTCACGAGCCCAAACAAAGTTAGCATGTTACAATATCGGACAGTAGAAACCAACCAGAAAGTACAGAAAATTACCTGAATCCTCCTTTGGCCACGACTGCCAACACAAGCAAGAAAATGAAGTAAATACTGGAGACTCTGGCGGAATAACGGGCGCTTAGAAGGAGGTCGACCAGACAAGAGCTAAGAAGTGTTTACATTCAAGATTTCTCCCCAAAACTGGCACTTCCTCAGATCCCGCCTACCCCACCTTTAAAGGGTTGATGGGGACTGGGAACCATGTGGTAGGCTACATAACATATCAATACAAAATGTGGATATAAGAGGATGAAGGCGTGGTTTATTTATCCTCCTCATGAAAAAAGAGGGAATGAAATCACGTTATTAGTGATGTATTTCTTTTTTTGTACGACGTAAAGCCAAACTCTAGTTTGAGTTTGAGCCCCCTGCTTCAGTAAGTGTTGCTTTTCATTTTGCATTTGTTTGTTTTCACCCACAGACCGTGTAAAATATGAACCTAGTCTCTTTGCCTTTCCAAAAGCACACTCTATACTCTCTCTCCACACATTTCCACTCCATCTATGTCCTCTAATGGAGGGTCCACCACACGGTTATGCAACTCTCACTGCAGACTGGACACATCTTTAATCTTTCCTCTGGTCTGACATTAAAGAGCTGAAAATCTCTTCTCTTCCTCTTTTGTATTTGTTGCTGAAAGTAGCCAGAGTATCTAAATTTATCCTGCTACTGTTAACTTTTTCTTCAGCTTGTTAACTTCTGCTCACTTTCCATTTGTTGTCTTCATTAGTATCACTGAGAGCAGTCATTAAGTAGCGACAAAGACAGTCAGAATGACGGGAAACATATTTAAAGCACCTTGTTATTTCCTGTTAAATCTCTATATTTGGAAAAGTACGTCTATAATTGAGAGACAATGCATTGAGACAATGCATGTATGTCTTTGTCAGCTGTAAGCATCGGATAAGCAGCAAATTAACAAGATGACTGCGGAAAAAAGGAATGCCTCAGACAAAGACAGGGAGTAACTTTCACAAAAAGGAGATTTCTTTTTGATTCTCAGGTTGTTTCTCTTAACTTCTCATCATTTGTGTGACAAGTAACTATTGTTGCATGATCCCCAGTTTTGGCAGGAGTGAGAAGAGTCTGTCCTAAAGCTCGCAGCTGTATTGGATCTCTTCCACTTGACAACTGAAGCGTTTTTTGGCCGTGAGCTAAAAAAGTCTTCTCTCTGTACTGCTGCCACTCATTAAGGCGTAAAGTATGAAGTTCTACAGACAAGAGACTCATTAAAACTTACAGATAGAGCCTTCTGTGTTCATTTTGTTAATATTTCACCTCTGGTAACCGTGGGGACAGTTAAGCCAATAGGGCAAACCACAGACAGTGTAAAACACAAAATACAACATCGCACTTTGTTGAAATTCCCAGCCGACATGTCGAAAAATATTAGGAATCCACCACTATCTGCAGAGCTGCCTCTGATTTTTCCTCTTTTGTTTTAACAGGTTCATTATTAATACCTCCTCCACTGTTGCCATGGTTTTTGTTGGTTTTCATTGTTGTAATAAAATGTTCTCCTCCTCTTTTGGGATGTCTTTTAAAGTCTGGGTGGATATCTTGCGTGTACATCCACTCCAACACCAAGGACGCACAGAGGTGTGTGGGCACGGACAATTACACTGGTTTTATTTTCAACATTCAAGGTTTGTTTTGCTTTAAAGTTGTGACTCAGCTCTTAAGAAAGTGAAGTTTTTAACACTTCTGCGTTTCGTTCAACAACACCAGATTGGCCTTAACCTTTGCTTCTTGTGTGGATGTGTTTATGCAGATTTATCAGCTTTCTCCCTCGTGTTTTTCTATTTTTTTTATTGTTTGCTTTTGGGTGTTTTGTTGTTCGCTTCTATCAGACTCTGTCGCACAAATTAGTTTTTCTTTGTTGCAATTACTCCCTTTAAAATCTGGTGTTAAAACCCTTTTCTTTACTGGCCACTACAGTAGGTGTCAGAACTATTAAAAAACGAAGTGCTAAATTGCAAACCACTTTGTCCAGAGCTACATAATTGAGTGCACGGAGTAAAATGTTGCTTAAAGTACTCTGGGCTTTAGTAGAGGAAATCCAGCTGTATCTTAAAGATGTTTTTTTAATGAGCTAAAGACTCTCTAAATCACACTCAGTTACGCTTGAACCAAAAGCTTCGCTCATGGATGTCGTCCAAGTTGATCTCTGCAGTAAGAAAAACATTACTGCATTACTGATAACTCTCTTTGTGAGCGTTTTTTGGCGATTTCCAATCTGCATCATCATCATCAAGACACCAAAGTCGAGTCATTTGCAGAAATTTGTTACACTTTGATGCAAAAGATGTGTTTAATTATTGTCACGCAGGGCACCAAAAAGAGAGAGATTAGTATTCATTGATTGGGAGTTAACTGCATATTTGAAATCGTGTCTAAAAGCTTGTGACCGAACATTAAAGAGACATTTTTCATGGCTCTGAGTGAGGCTGATGATTTCAGCGGGACTGCTGTCACACGCGCTTTTTTTTTAATGAACTTCATGAAGCCAGCGAGTGCTCCGAGTCAGACACAAATGCTGACACTCAGGCGGCTTTTTGGTCTTTTAAGCTGAGATGAAAATGTCATGGTTGTCAGATGGCATTGTCAGAAGTTAGCCTTGTGCTTATATCCCACGTCGGGTGTTATAAAACCCTTTCACATTTCTAATCTAACCATCCCAGAGTGCTGTTGTCGGTGGGCAGAGACCTTCAGATGTCCGGGAATGAGGCGCTGAAAACTGGCAAACAAGCAGCGAGTCTGATTTAACGGAACAAACAGAGTAAGTCTCATGACACAGCACAGCCTGACCAAACATCTGTATCTGCTTGAACACATAAACAAACATGATTGTGAGTCAAAACACAAACTGCAGTACATTCACCTGCATGTTTATTAGTCTGGGCTCTGTCAACAGATTCCCTCTCTATCAAATATTAAAACTTGTTTGTTTGGTCAAGTTTGGCTGTACAGTTTCTCTAACACTGAGTAGAGATGGACTGAAACCATATAGAGGAACATTACTAACAATAGGGGGTCTAATCCAGGGGTCTGCCAATCGAGTCAAGGTCGGGAACATCACGATATTGAATTTACTGTATGAGTCAATGTCAAGTTTATTTGTATCGCACATTTAAACAGCCAGTGGCCTACCAAAGTGCTTTACAATAACAAAGCAGTAGCAATAAAAGCAAGTCAGCAACAACAAAAAACATGTAACATACAAATGTAAATAAAAAGAAATATATAACTGTCAGAATAATGTGTATAAATGTATATAGAAGTTATCATCTTACTCAAATTCTTATGTAAGTTTGTTACAAGTATGAACTGTTTTAACCTCTTGTTACACATCATATAAGAGTGTTTTCTAACTTCTCTCTCCAATAGCTTTTACACAGCACATGAGTTTTTCTTAACTTCTCTGTGACCTCGTTTCTCCTATCAGCAGGTGTGTGTGTGATGTATCCTCCACTGTGAATCGTGGAAGACAGAGGAGGATCCGCTCCTATCAGAAGGAGCTCGTTTAATGTCAACAATGTCGCCTTGACCCTCACATATTTTCTGTTGTTCATAATTATGTTTTATGAGAGTGCTTACGTTGCTGCACATATTTTTCCCCCATCCTTTAGTAACATTGTGTAACCAGGGACAACCCTAAAGAAAGAGACTGGGCGGAAATACCTTCAGAGTGGTTTCGAGATTGTACCTGATACTATCTCTGTCCATTCTCCTCGAGTATATACCATTGTCTTTCTCTTCTTTATATGTTATCAGGTATTTGGGCAGGTTTTAGACCCAACAATAACCAATACAAGTATCATACTCCGTCAAAAGCTAAGGTGCACAAGTGCGTCTTCAGTTGGGTTTTAAAAGTAGAGAGACTATTTGCAGTACGCACACTTAGGGGTAAGTGCATTCCACAAAGTGGGAGCTGCAACCGCAAACGCTCGCTCCCCTCTGGATTTTAAAAACGAACGAGGCAAGTCTAAGACGACTCGGTCAGCAGACCTAAGGGCTCTGGAGGGTTGGTGTAGCTTAACATAGTCAGCCAGGTACTCCGGGGCCAGCCCATTCAGAGATTTACAAACAAATAAAAGAATCTTAAAAAACGATCCTGTACCTAACTGGAAGCCAGTGTAGAGAAGAGAGCACTGGAGTTATGTGCTCACGCTTCTTGGTGCCAGAAAGGAGGCGAGCTGCCGCATTCTGCACGAGTCAATTCCACATAGCTCAAATCTGTCTGTTGATAATCATCAATTGATTGCTTTTGCCTTTGAGTGAGAGCAGCAAGTTTTAGTTTGGCTGGAGTCATCTCAGACATGATTTGACTCATACTGAAAGTTCACAGTGACACTTTTAATGTCTGAGTATCAAACACAAAAGGGAAAGCGGTTTAACCAGCCTGTGGGAATAATAACAACCCGTCTATTCTTGTTATGATGCACTGTGAATCATTTTAAAGGACACTCTTATTTGCTGCTGCTGTTTACAGTCCCTCTCAGCAGGCCTGATGATATAAAAAAATCTGTTTATCTGAGAAGCATCACATGCAGCCATCTGCAGCAATCACTCACTTTCTTGGGCTGCTGAAATGTCAACCACAAAGGCAAGGAAAGCAGCACGATTCTTGTTATAAAGGTTTGCTTATGAAAATGGAAAATTTAATGTTAGGGGGGCACTGGTTTTATGGTCTAAGTGCATTCCCAAAAATGCACCTAATCTCAAGTGGACAGCCCAGGTTTGTGTCAGTCCCTCTCTCTCACCTCCATCCCTGCTCTGTCGTTTTATAGCGCAGGGATTTTCGTTCTAAAAATAACACATACTGTAGGTTCTGACATATTTGAATATCTAGCTTACACAGCTTGCATATAACTTGATCTTGCTCTGCATTTTTACCGTCTGCCCAAAATCCAAAGAATTTCCAAACGGAGCTTCTAAAGTTCGTTGGAGTTCAGACCACTCTCACCAAGTTGGCTCAATTTCTCAAGATCAGAGAGTTCGATTTGGGACAGCATCTTGGTTTAGATCTGGATTAGAGTCTGTTGGTGACATCTGGTCTAGATTGTGCTTTTAGTAATTCTATTTACAACTATGAGATTGTCTTGTTCCTTATTGTTAAATATTTGGTTTTTTTACACAAATAAACAAAAGTAAATAAATTATTTATCTATATGTATTTTTTTCTTCCTTAATATTTCAATTTCATTTGTATTTCTCTTTCTGAACCCATTTATTTATTTATTTTTTTATTATTATTATTTTTTTTTTGCAATACCCTTTCTTTAAATTGTATGTTCAGGATAACTTGTGTGTAATCTATTATTTATTTATTATTTTCCTTTTGACTTTATACTGTTTTTAGAGGATCTGGGAACATGGGGTGGTGAGGGAGGGACTGGGGGGATTAATCATGTACATTTATTCAACATGTGATTTGTTTATGTTCAAACTGAAAATGCCAAAACAGAAAAAAAAGTAAATAAATACATAATTTTTCATCTTGGCTTTTCAAATAAAAGGGCGAGGAAACAAGGGGTGTATTCAAGAGTTATCTATGTGTATGGTAGGGGGTTAAATAACCGGTACTTACATACTGAGACTTGTCCAGTGGTGCCATGCTGACGGTTTTCAGGTTGTCCAACAAGGCTGAATCAAAGTCCTGCAGTCCGGCGCTGGAATGAACAACTTTGTCCTTCACGAAGATGCTGACCGCACGCAACATGAAGGAAACAAACAGATGCATGTGGATGTAGTTTCTGGTGCAGTGAAGACGCCTGCAGGAAACACAAAAAGCATTCACAAGAGCAAAGTCAAATGGAAATAACCAACCCCAGGAGACGTAGATGTAGAGAGTATAGATGTCACATTCACTCAAGCTGAGCCTGATTTAAAGGTGAGAAATTATTCCTCAGGGACATTGATGCTTCCACTGAAGCTCTGGAGATGCTCTCAGCATGCTGGTGCATCCAGCAGACAAAACTACAACAACTGTAGGTCAACCTTTGCTCTAATTGAATCCTTGGAGACCTTTTTATTCTTTCAAGAGAGGAACATCTATCAGCGTATCAGGAGGTTGGCGTTTTAAATCCCAGAGGACCGATCTCAGGTGTTCTTCAGTAAAATGCCTGCACTGCTTCTCTCTCCTGTTAACCGATAATCTGGGAGACTTCAACTTCCACTTTATAATAACTATTGGATTATGAAAGGACAAACCGCTCTGAACCTTTTTAACACACAAAAGTGTTTTCTCTCATCAACAAAAAGAAATAATCATCACTTCAGACACACAAGGTTACTGTTTGGCTGTTATAAGAAATTTGACAACCAACCAGTGAGACAAGCGACCCCCTAAAGTCTCATACGTACGTAAGTTACTTATGTATTAGTCATATTTATTTCAAAAATAATAAAGTATAATAATGTGAAATGAACAAATATTCATCTATTTCCAAACACTTTTGAGTTTCTGATGCTTGATAAGATATCCAGAATAATTTCACACTTCAGTAACTTTCACTAAGGTGGAGTTTAATGAGATTTATCAACCATAAACATATGAAAACTTTTTACTGGGAGCTTCACGACTGATTGCTTTTCTTTGTCCGTGTGATCAATTATCAATTATCCACCTTAAAATCTCTCCTTATCCGAAACACCCGCTCCAGTAATCTGCAACAAGCGCAGGTGTTTTTACTAACCGCCTTGCTCTGATAATGACACACAGGGTTAAATATCTGCAATCCCTTAACACCGACACAATATTCCCCTAAAGAATCACTTCACAAAGAAATATCCATCTTTTTGTACCTCAATTACGATTGAAATGGCTTTTAATAAATTTGTATTGATTCCATATTTCTTCAATAATCCTCTCACAGCTGAACACTCGACTTTGTGTCTAATCAACGAACAACACTTGCTCCTCGGGCTGCAGAAGGAGTCGCTCAAAGAGGTTTTAGAAATGTGTAATTATGCTGAGTATTATGATTAGTGATTAAATGTGTAACCCAGCTGTGGGGATGCAGAGAACTCTGGCTGATTTCGACTGAAGCGCCCGTTGGCTCCTCTCCCCTCCCTTAAGTCATTTTCTCTGTATGCTCTAGATAACAACATGGGTCACTGCATTAAAATCAGCTTTTCATGCTCAAGTCTATCAACTTTTAGAAACTCCGAGGGGAAAAAGGAAAAAGCTGTAGCCAAGGTAGCATAACTAAATCTATTCTCAAATATTTCCTTTCAAATATTTTCGTAACTCTTTTTGGCATTCCGCCACCTGTTCCTGTTCCCACACACAGCCCTGAAAACGATTGCGCTGAGAAGAAAACAACCTTGCTTTTACGTCTGACTGATTTCTGAATGATTGGTTTTAACATCTTAGGAACTAAAAAGTTATGAGGAACTAAAAAGTTAGGGAGAAACTTTTGGAGAACTAGAAAAACTTTGTTGTATATGTGCTTGGGTTGACCTTTTGCTACACGTAAAATAGCTTTGACCCTGAAAGTGGGAAACACAGAAACAGACATTAATGCAGCGTTCCAGTTGTACTCAGAAGTCAGAATTTCTGAGCTCTGAGTCGGAAATTCATCTGGAACGCCCCCCTGAAGTCGGACTTCTGACTCGGAAAGTCGGCCGATCCTCACCAACCCCGACTTGACGACAACGTCATAATCCAAGATGGCAGCGCAGAGCATCAAAGAGTAACAGTAAAAGTTCTCGTAATGTATTATTTATCAGCACTTCTGTTTCGTTTTTGTAAAATTAAATAAATGGTTTATGTTAGTGTTGTGTCGTTCGTGAATGATTCGTTCAAAAGAACCGAATCTTTAAAGTGAACATACTGAACCGAATCACTTTGTTAAGTGATTCATTCATTTCTCACTTCAGTTGAGCTGTCGGCAACGCAGCTGCCACAGCACGCAGCTTCGCCAGGTGAGCAGCCGGCGAGCGAGAGACCGCACACACCAAGGCCTGAGTCACTTGGTGAACAAATCATGCAGTGAACGACACTCTCTGGAATCATTTTTGTTTGAGGGATACACTTATATGGCCACTGTTCCCCGTTGTTCTAACAGATTTAGTGGGCCACAGGATGTAACAAGTTGTGTATAAACCTGCAGTTTGAGAAATGCGTGACTGATCCTGTCATTGCGGCGATTTGCAAGGGAACTGTGCATGTTCAGTGTGAACTCTTTACTGAATGTACTGTGGGGCAAACGTTCAGTGAACGAATCACTCACTCAATTTACCGAGTAATCAACAAGCGTACCATTGGGCAGTACACTTAAAACCTCATGATTTATAAACAAGTTCATTTTTACAAACCAGTTTGTCAAAACAACACAGCCTCAACACTCTTGTCTACCGGTCCCAGACGCCATGAATTGAACTGAATCCTGAACCGTTTAGCTGTGTATCAGTTCAGGAAGTTGGAGTTGCAGGTTCCTGAATGAATCTTTTTAATGAACTGATTCTAGCCATTCAGTACATCTAAAAGAACTGCTGTGTCCATCACTAGTTTATGTAGTACTGCCCAACGTCTAACTGTGAACACGGTGCTATGGTGTTTGTAAGAGTAAAAAACTGTGTTGTGCATTGTTTACCACTGGTATAGCTAACAACTGCTGGCAACCGCTAACAACAACTGACAGCAGCTAACGATAGCTGACAATTGTAAACGACAGCTAACAACGGCTAACAGTAGGTGTCCATCTTGGTTTTCCAACTTGTTAACTGGAACGCCATCAACTACGGTTTAGCATCATTCCCAGCTCTGACATCCGACCTCCGAGGTGACTGAAACGCAGCATAAGCTCAGCTTTTATTTCCTCACTGGGGTCTGAATTGATCCAACAATGACCGACAAGTAGGGATGATGAGCACACAATCATTATTCCTCGTTACAAATCATTATATTTCAGGTTTTTGTTGCACATAACCGTGTTTACCAGGATACGAATTATTAATGTGGTATCTTTCACATTTCCTCTTTTTCTTTCAGGCCTTCACCAGCTGCTTTTGATTTTGCGTCCTTTGTTCCCACTCAGCGCTCACTACACCGCAAGTTTCATATTTACAGCTGCCCATTATTTGTAAATCTGCACAATGAATCCTTGAGCTTCCTCAATTTTGTCATTTTAAACACAGCGAGGTGCAGGGTTTGGAAGTAGCATAAAATTGGTATATCAGCGGATACAAAAACACAGCTGAGAGAGACGCAGACAACACAGAATGAGCCACCTGGTATTTCAGAAATCGCCGGATAGCATAAAAATTGTATCATTTCAGCTTCAAAACACTGATATAATTGCAGGAAGTGACAATAACCTGGTCTGAATACAAAGACACAATGGAGGACGTATTTCTGCTGTGTGACTCAATTTGTTAGGCTACACTTAAAATGTTTTACAAAAATCACCCAAAATCAGAGGTGGGGGCTTGACGACTCGACTTGAGACTCGACTTTTTTTTTTTTTTTACTTGCTTGATGATCAAGAAATAACTTGGACTTGCTTGGGACTTGATTGCTAAAGACTTGAGACTTGACTTGACTTGAGCCCAGTGACTTGAAAAGTCTTTTCAAGTCTTTTCAAGTCCCTTAATACCTTACAGCAAGCCCAAACCGTTTAAAAAGTGTTGCATCAACTAATAGTCAGAAATTACGGCCGTTTGTAACAACGTGTTGTGTTGCCAAGTCTGCTTATTTCCCGCAAAAAAAATCACTTGTTTTTGTCTTGTTTCTGGAGGTCTGTTTCCTTATTTCTCTCACGAAACTTGGCAACACTGTCTCAAACTCTAGCCTCCCTCATAACGACAACACCGGGAGGACTGAACATAAATCGCTCGCTAGTATTGCCCGCCTGTTTCCACGTGTTTCCTTGTGTCTCTCTTTTGTTTTGTTTTGGAACAGTGAATTAAAGTATCAGTTTAATGTTTACTTGTATTTGAGTCTTCCTTATTTTTGTGCACATTGTCTAAGTTTCCAATCATTAAAGTTTATCTGATTATTTTCTGTATGACATGTAAAATAGTTTGGTTAAAGCTGCACTATGTAACTTAACACAAACAAAAACCCTTGTTTAATAATAAATGCAGATAGTGAAAAATGCTCATGATTTATGTAAATCTTTACATATAACAAATGGTTTATGGCTTTGATATGACTTGACTTGACTTAAAAAGAAACGGTAAGGACTTGGACTTGACTTGAGACTTGAGAGCAAAGGACTTGGACTTGCCTCGGACTCGAGAGCCAAGACTTGAGACTCGACTTGCACTTGCAACATAAGGACTTTCCCCCACCTCCGCCCAAAATACAAGAATGAGCAATCCCTCTCTTACCTGAAGTATCCGATGATGAAGATCGCCACCAGCAGAGAGCTAAAAGACACGGCGTAGCCTGTGGTGTACATGATGTACAGCCGCTCAAAGAAGTCTTGCTGTGAAAGACAGAGAGAAAAACTGTTTAATGCGGTTTGTATGTGAAACACACATGACTCAGGGTTTGTTTACTCTGAACTTTGTGAAAAACAAACTTTGGATCACGAAGTCTGAGCATGTCTGTCTGTGGCCGTCTTAAACCCTTGATCTGCGACAGATGAAGGGCTTTGCAAAGGCTTTCAAACTAGAGACCACATAAAGGATGTTAAAGGACAACCTTTTAGATCACAGATAACGCCGTCTGAAAAAGTCAGAGGGTTTACCTGATACCTTTAACGAAAAGCGGCTGCAGCTTTGAGAATATCTAATTACTTTTTGCCTGTTTTTCATTACAATGTTATCAACGGCCAGAGAAGTGTTTGGATGAAAGCTTGTTTTGCCTTTTGTCATATTTGTCTCAGAGCTGTCAAACAAAGTAATTATGATTTATCTCTGAATTTCAATAATCAGTCATTATTATTCACAAACATTATCTCTTGTCAAATGTTCCATTATTTTGCTCTTCAAAGCCGTCCATATTAAAAATCTGAAACAAGTCGTGTTTTGGTTTGGGAATCAAACGTGTGAAATAATCTTGACTTTGATTTTTATCCTCGAAATAAAAGATGAATCATGTTTTAGGAGGATGGAGTCTGATGAATTACCGTGGATGTTTTCAGAGGAACATTTTTAGACTCATTTTGAGCAGTGTGATAGAAATAAAAGAATAAACTACATTTATGGACATGAGTGATGCATGTGCAGCTGATTATATTTGGGGCACAGCGTCACAGAAGCCTATACAAAGTCTGTAAGTAAATGTAAATGTTCTTTATTTATACAGCCCTTTACAACGACCCTTTCGGTGAACCAAAGTACTTTACAATACATAGAAAATAAAAATGAATAAATAAAAACAATAAAAGCAATAACAAAAGAATAAGACCCAGGTCGGAAATAAGTCTCATTTCGGAGGGGAGCTTCTTCCAGAGCCTGGGACCAGCGACTGAAAAGGTTCGGTCACTCCAGTGTTTGTGTTTTGACCTGGGCACCTCCAGCAGAAGTCAGTTTGACGATCTCAGAGCTCTAAACGCCTCCCGAACGGTTAAAAGCTCAGTTAAATAGATGGGGGTGAGGTCGTTAAGAGCTTTAAAAACAAACATTAAAAGTTTAAAATCAATCCTAAAAGAGACGGGAAGCCACTGAAGGGAGCTAAGGACAGGAGTGATGTGCTCACGTCTGTTCGAGTTAGTTAAAAGACCATTTTGGACAAGTTGAAGGCGACTAAGAGATGATTAGGAGAAGCCAACATAAAGCGCGTTACAATAGTCTAATCTTGAATTTGAGCATGGATGGCTATCTCAAGGTCGTGACCGCTCAAAATAGTTTAACAAAGGTCTGATTTCAAAGTTAGGGGTAACTTCAGAGTCATATCTTCAGGGCGATCACATCAGGGTACGCCTCCTCCTGTGGGTTTCTCGGCGATAATAACCCATTCACTGTGTATTCATTCATGCATTTTCTCCTGTTTATCCAGGGCTGAGTCATGGCGCCAGCAGGCTAGGTGAGCAAAAGTTTCACAGACCAAAGAGAAAATGTCATCCCTCTATCAGACTTTGGGTCGACCTTGAGGTCTCTTCAAGTTGGACACAAGGAATCCTTATAGATGCCCAAACCAGCCATGGGGTCCACCTCAAATGTCTCTATCACTCTATTTGTGAGGCTGTACTTCAGACTACACTTATTTTAACCACTTGTATTCCTTCAGCCTGGTGAGGTGAGCCAAGGATGATGTTGTTATTCAGCTAATGAGCTAATGAATCAATGTTCTGCTAAGGTAGTCTCTCACACTCGGGGGGCCTTAATTAAACTATCTAAAACGTCTGGCCAAAGGCGATATCTTAGCACACAGCGGCACTGAGAATAATGTTTAAGGATACCAAACAACCCAAAAAAAAAGGGATTTCTGTGTGAGAGTGTGCATGCATGCGAGGCTGCACAGATGCTTGGCGGTGTCTCAGGCTGTTGTTTTGGACCCTGCTGAGCTGAAATAAAGGGGGTTACACACCTTCTGTACCTCAGAGACAACAGTGACTTTAGTCCTTGTCCTCTAACATCACTGGATATCATGATGTAGGGAGATGAGGCGAACCGTATCACTAAATCTTAACCGCCGTGAGACTGTGGGAGGCCAAAATGGTGATTAAATTAGAATTTAATTAATTGCCCAGTCTTATCTTTCAGTCCATAATGAACTTTTAATTTTGTAGGACAATGAATGACATCCAACCTCTTTTCACCCCACAAGACAAACCAACTTTCCAAATTATAAAGAAAAAAAATCTCTTTCTGTGACTCCTGACCACATCTTAGCTAGTTAAAAAGTACTTGAAAACATTCAGAGCTAATCTTATCCTGTTTTCAACCGAGTTTCAAAGTTAAAATCCCAGTTAGTGCCCAATAGGAAAGGTGAACTCTACAGCCATCTTGAGCCAGGCTGATCTTGAGCTAAGGTCTTTGCTGATATTACAATTAAACTGAGTTTCCAGTCACTGTTAATACTGTCAGAGTCCGTATCACTGAATCTCAATTATCTTATTCTCACAACTATGATTGGCCAAAATTGTGATTAAATTAGAATTTAATTCATTGCCCAGTCTTATCTTCCTGATAACATCACACAGTCCAAAATGAACTTTTAATTTTTGTAGGACAATGAAAAATGACAAGACAAACCAACTTTCCAAATTATAAAGAAAAAAAAAACTTTTTCCGTGACTCGTGACCACATCTTAGCTAGTTAAAAAGTACTTTCAGAGCTAATCTTATCCTGTTTTCAACCGAGTTTCAAAGTTAAAATCCCAGTTAGTGCCCACTAAAAAAGGTGAACTCTACAGCCGTCTTGAGCTAAGGTCTTCGCTGATACTTCAATTAAACTGAGTTTCCAGTCACTATTGATACTGTCAGAGTCCTGGAGATTTTTCGACTTCATTGATCACCCCTTAATCACCTCTGTATCCAGTACCCTGATCTGTGAAGTGCTTGCTTCATTCATCATCGACTTGATGGATTTCTCTGTGTCTCAAACTTGCGTCAGCGCTCTTTTCGTCTTATGTCTTGTGTCGAACCGGAGGGTCAAATTAACCAGACTTCAACTTGTTGTTATGAACTGTGGCTATGTAATGACCAATCAGAATCAAGCACTGACCACAGCCGTGTAATAGATCAGACAGAAAAGCCTGACACTTGGTTGTTATCGCTCTCTCTGAAGCTTTGAAGTCCCACAAAATGTTTTCCTAATGGGTCTGCTGCAGGTAACGAGTTCGCTTATGCTGAGACTGATTCATCGTGAAAAATAGAGTTTTTATAGGACGGTGGCAGCTGTTGATTTATATGCAAGCAAGAGGTGAGTGGGGTGAGTTTGAACTCTAACATCTTACCAACTTTGCTATAGGTGTTCGTACACAACATTCTGCAGAACATCTGGTGTTTTTCAATTCGGCTCCTCAGACTCCTCATCAGCCAGTATTTGGGATTCGAGACTTTGACAGTAACATATGCTAACAATCTGTGGTAACATATCTACGCATATAAGTGCTTCTGATCCAGTACTTCACAGACACACTCACTTTTCCCTCCTCGTCGGTGGGCTGAAGGAAACGCAGACACTCCGAGTAGTTAGTCCACGTTTTGTTCCAGCGATCCACAAACACCCAGGAGCCGTTGACGTCACATTTCCTGTAAGCATGACCTGCAAACACATCCCCACATATATACACAGGGAGGTCATGTAGGTGCATGTGTTCGGTTATTTTAACACACGCAAACTACAGGTATTGACTCAGAAACACATGAACGAGACTGAACCAGCAGATGTGGGGTTCATTATCTCTAATTGGTTAATCGAGCGAGAGGGTGTGACACCTGCACGCGCTTTGACTGCACCAGAGTGATACATCAGCGACCATTAGGGTGGTTTTTTGTTTTTTTATCTCATAGTTGGCAGACATGAAAGTCTGTTTTCAACTCTTTCTACACAGACTGATCATGACTAACAAGAACTGACTCCCCGCAGTCATTTGTCGCATTTTTAACACTGAAAATCTCAGTTTCATTATCCTTATAGAGCTTTCTAACAGACGAGGGAGTCAGACAAGAAAAGATGTACAACTGTAAATAATCAATGAGATATGGCTGGACTTAATTAAGCTGTTTTGGTTCGGTTATCCTACTCTGCATGCTGGTTCCTATTTGGTCTCTTGAATATTCGCCAATTATGTTATCTGCATCACAGATCTGTCGTTCAGTGGAGAGAAACAGGTGGTTTGGTTCAGTTTGTTTCCATTGCTGTAACCCTAAAACTGAAAATGCATGCAAAGAGTATAAACTTTAAGTAAAACACGCTACAAATAGAGGTAATGTTGTAATTTCATAGTTAGTTTTGATCATTGGACATGTAAAGAGGAAACTCCCAGCCTCTAACCTTTGTGATTGAAGTCATAGATGTAAGACGGGCAGGGGACCTTGGTGACCTGTCCAGGGGAGCCGTGGGGCCAACATATAAGGCCGTCCCAGTCAGGTGGACACACCTCATCTACTTAGAGAAGAAGAAGAAGAGTGAGAAGAAGTCAGTTTACACTCTGAAAATTCAGCTTCAAGAAATAAACCTGTAATGTCTTCATTTATCAGAGTTCTGCTTTCTCTTTTTTTTTTTTTTTGCAGTAAATGGAAATTAAATTGGCTTTCACTTAAGCTTCGGTTTATCACAGATAAAAGGAAATGTCATAATGAGAGTCAAACATAGTTGTCTTCAACAAGCAGAATCCAATTATTATGTTTATGTTGAATATGCTTGTTTTGTTTTTTAATCACATCTTTTCCCGCCTCCACTCGACAACCGTGTAAGTGACTTCTCTTTAGAAAGTCATCTGTAAGTTTTAATGAACTGAACTATCAGTGAAGTGAAACTACCTGCCTCAACAGAACTGAAGTAAAACCATTTTATAGACCCGGGTCTGACCTGGAGAGACCTTCAGGATGTAGGAGGTTGACTTTATTTATTCTATTTTATTAATTTTATTTACTGTTTTAGTTTTTATTTGATTTTACTGTGTTTTATTTTATTTCACCCTGTCTATTGTGCTACCGTTGTGTTATTTATTGTATTTTCATCTTGCTGTGCCGCACTTTGGAAATCTTGCGTTTGCTATCTAAATAAAATGAATTGGATTTTTAGGATGTGCTGTCATTCATAACGTTAAACCTCACAGTTCAAAGCAAAGTGAGAGAGATTGTCTTGTTGTAAGAGTTTGAACCCGCTGACTTTCTCACCTCCACACAGCGGCCTAATTAGAGCGCGGCTGTAAATGTCAGAGAGTATTTCTATGAAGCTTTAGACGTTGCCAGGGGCAACCAGAGTGCACCGGCCCCCTAACTGCTCAGACGTGGCTCAGTCATCAGATGTGATTTGATGGGTTTGTTACTTTTCATTGGATGTGTTTTTTTCTTTAAAAAGGCAAAATTCGTTGTAAATGTGGTGAATGTATTTGCCTTCTCTCTAAGAAATAACCAGCACAGCGAGATGTCAGGGTCGACTGCAACAGTTCGAATGATCTTCATAAGGAGGAACGTGTCGAAAATGCAGAAACGACACAACTTCAAAAGCAAATGCAATCTTCAGAAGGGAAGACCGTCTCAAGTCAGATCGGCCTGACTGATGTACACAGGCCTCCACAGTCCCCCGCAGGGTAGCCCCTGGGCTGGGACACATCCTTTGTTATCCTCTTATAAATTCAGTAATTGTTTTTTATGCTTGAGGGCTTAAATACACACGAACAAAAAGATTCTGATAGTGATTTATTGTGAAACTCTTACCTGCAATTTGATATTTAGCAGTGAATATTACTGAAATAAAAGATATAATCATGTATTTATAAAAGCATTTTCATCACATAAAGGTTGTAAAATAAGGGAAACAACATCCAGTCAATCACACTACACTTGTTGACCTTTACTTTTATTCATCATAATTACATTTTAATGTTGAAATAGAGATTTTAAATTCGTCTCAAATGTTCAGGGAAGTGCTCTGGGAATCTGTGATTACCTTTTTCTAGGTGCTTTTATCGCCATGCTTCCATGGCAACAACTCAATGTCACTAATAAACTTCTGAATAAAACAATAAAAAGAGAAAAGCACAAATTTTTGGATAGAGATTAGTTGGTGTTTTTGTTTCTCCTGTAGCTCTTTTATTAACTACATTTTGTTCCGAAGGGCAGAATCCTTTGAATAGTTACCGGTGGTCAGCTCCAGTAATTACAGCTCTGCACCAGCGCTTTTATTTCAGCCATTTAAAGAATGAATTTGAACATTTTCCAAATGGAATTGATGAACATGTTCATAATGCAGCAGATTATAGCAGGAGGCAAAAGGACAAAGCATGTGGTTAAGGTTGCGTCAGTACCTCTCCTGAACTCCTTCATTGAACTCCTCTTCATTATGCAAACATGAAGCAGGGGAAAATCACCTTTTTTCAGCCACAAGTTCTTAATGAACTCTGGGCCAGTCTTAGGGTCAAGTCTGCAAAATACAGACTTATGCAAAGTGTGAAAACCTGGTGTTTTAGAGTCTGTATGCGAGCCATTGGCACTAGAGATGAGTGAATTTAATCGGCACTCGAATTACAAGAGTCAGTTAAGCAATTATTCACAATTTTATCTCAAAATACTGATCATATATCATGTAAAAGCTGCAGCACAGTCACCCACAACCAGCCAGAACTGTAACCCAGCTTCTGCATCAATGCTGTAATATAAACAAGCTCACATGGCAGATGACATCTCACAGTATATTTGAAGTAGAAATTGAGATTAAGAGTATGTAGAGCTGTGTCTGGTTAAACTGGCATACAACTCATGAGTAGTCACCAAAGCCATGTGGACATTAACCTGCAATTCAATTCAATTTCTGTTGAATGAGGAGGAAATTAGTCAGTGCATCTCATCCAGAAACACACACCACCTGATTAGAAATTGAAGCAACAAGAAATCAAGGAAACAGCTGCTGCAAACTGATGGATATCTGTGGATATACAAAAAGAAAAAAAATCAAGATCTAAGGGGAAATGACTCATGACTCGAGTGAAACAGAAACTCCAAAAAACTAATTTTTACTTCTACAGCCTCGTCCTCGAACAACAAAATAACTCCACCAGTATGTGAAGTAGTGCTGGACGATAGATACCGTGGGCACGATAGAAAATGTCTATCGTGCCATTTTTATTTTTATCGTTTCGGGCGATAGGCTGTATTTTATCCATAGGGCTTGTGCCATCAGATGATTCATAGTAACAACAACAATATTTGCACATTCAGTAAGTGTATTTGGTGTCGAACGGTAAAGAAAACAATATTTTCTTACAAAGAAAAGGATGCGTTGACATGTAGGCTCGCATTTCTCTTTCGATTTTGCGACATGACGCCGCTTTACGTGCCCTCTTTGTGTCCAGCGTCTCCCGCCGTTCGGGGATCGTTGTAAGCAGTGCTTAATTTGTGCCGGAGCAAGTCGGAGCGCGCTCCGGGACCTATTTCAGCCTGTTTATCTGCTCCGGGACCTTCCCTGTAGAGCATGACATTTTTCGGGAATTCCCGTGGGTCACGTGATTCCCGCGGGAATCCCACGGCATGGGAGTCATTTTTTAATTAATCCCTTGATCGGGACGGGACGGGAAAAAAAGCAACGGGAGTGGGCAGGAGCGGGAACAACATTAAAAGATGATCATTTTCAGCCGTGTTAAATATCCAGATGAACAGGTGCGTCCATTTTTGTAGTCATCTCTCAGTGAGAGCCAACACTCTTGACCGCGCTAGCAACACAAAAGAACTACAACAGTGGTTTGACTTCCTGTCAGCTGGGAGCGCGGCTGCGCATTTGTGCTCTTCAAGCCAGGAGCGAGGAAACGTAATTTTGTGACATTCTGTAGTTTTTCAATTGTTTCTGGAGTCGTGGTGAATCAAATCACCTTACCTGTCTGCCCCTGATAGACGAATAAAGCGCTCGGATTCATGCTCTGATCTTCCTACGTGCTTGAAGAGTAAAGTAAACAATGATGGAGGCAGAGAGCAGCTCTGGAGGAGAAACATCTAGCAGTGTGAACAACCTCTTCAAAAGAGCCCTAAAGACCTACCTTTTTAATAAAGCCTTAGGTTAGCTTTCCTCTATGCTATATGCTTTTACTACCTTGCCTCTTACATTGCAACTCTATATTCTTTATTTTTTTTATGCTTTTTTTATGCCAATCTGTGACTGTCATTCTATTGCTTTTTTATTGTTGCTGCTCTTTTTTGACTGTGTACTGTAGCACTTTGAGATTTTTTGTAAATGTAAAGTGCATTACAAATTAAATTTATTACTATTATTATTATTATTATTATTATTATTATTATTATTATTATTATTATTATTATTATGGAGTGCTTTGGCTCACACTATCGGCGTTTTCTGTGAGTGTTGCATAACTTTGGGTGAACACAGACATGAACGCACTTCAGCCACGTATTTCTTTATTCATTTTTCTAGTTTTAAGTGCTGGTCTTGTACTGGCACTGTACTAGGGCAGCTGTATACACTTTAATTTTTCATAGAACTGAAAGCATACCATAGCTATATCGTGGTATATCGTTATCGTGATATAAAATTATCCATATCGTGATATACATTTTTTTCCATATCGCCCAGCACTAATGTGAAGTGTTTTGTACGTTAACATGCGAAGTTAAGTCAAGATCAGGCGACTTCACTGTCCATGTAAATACAAACAGGGTGTCATTTTTACAGTTTTTTACAGCGGTGCAGATTGTTTAAAAAGAATTGTCTTTTTTTTTTCATCTGATGAGATTTTGTTTACTACCTGGTTTCCTAGCAACGCATCTATGCTGTTCAACCACCGCCTCAGACCGTGGCGTGCAAACACTGGAGCGCTTTGACCAGTTTAAGTTCGATTCAACTGTAAAAACATTTTCAAGGTATATCAGTCCGACACATCTACATACGTGCATACGATGTTCGTTTTTGTTGTATGTGTCAACACCAACCTGCTAATGGGACTGGAATTGGAAATAAGCCACTCTAACCCTAATCTCATGTATTTACATGTAAATGTTCACGAATGCATATTGTCCCATTTTTCTAAATAAATCTCTTAAACCTCAATGAGAAGTTCAATTTTAGTCGGACTAATGTGTTTGCAGGCATTTTCAGTCAGACTGTTGCAATAAATCAATGTTTTTTTCAAAGTGCACGTACAAGCACTGAGTGTTGAGAGCATCTTTCAATAGCAGTGCTCAGTGGATTTCACATTAACACAGAGCATTCTCGGGTAAATGATAATCACACACACAAAAAAACTGCTTTTTAAAGTGTGTCTGAATGTCTTTTTCCACCATTAAGGACTGAAATCTGAAATAGTTTGAGGTCCATTGTGTTCCTCTGATGGCGGGTAATTGCTGGACTGATTTGCACAGGCTCTTGCATTTTGGATTGGCTCTACGAAGACTTAATCCACTCTTTGAAAGAACTCACAAATGTTGAAACCAACTTACACTTGCTGCCCTTTCTTACGCAACATATGTCCCAAGAGAAACCATACCATATGAAGACTTTACAAATGAATTAACACACAAGTATTATTTTTCTATCAGGCTCTACAGTGGGACTTAATGAGTTTATTTCTAACGTAAAATGAGACAGATCTTCTCTGTTAGCGCTGAGAGTCTCATGAACTGACGCATCAGTGAACCACTTTCCTCGAGTCTTACTCTTAACCTGCTCCCTGTTGATAAAACTAGAACAGAAAAGTGAGTCACTTTTCTACGATGAATACAGGAGCAGAATTTTCTTCGTCAATGACATCCCATTTCTTATTGTTTAGCAATGAAAAAGGAGAAGCGAGAGGAAACAAAGGAGAGCAGCTTGTGGGCTGCAAGTAGATCTGCACTTTAAAAAGACTGCTGCTCTTTATCAAAGGGAAGAAAAAAAGGTATTCACATGCAAAAAACCAAACCTGAAGGTCTTGGAGTTAAAACGACTGCTTCACCTTTATTCAACCTATATTTAAGGAAGCACAAAAGAGCTCCTGAATGCAGAAAAGAGAGCGCAGGTATTAGAAAGAGGAAGCAGCTGAGTCACATATTAGAAAATGATGATGTGGCAGCTGACTAAGGAGAAAGAGCTGCCACGCACGTCATTATTGACTAGAATGACACATGCGTGAGCAGGTGGATGATAGAGTTAGAGTGTGTGAGTGAATGAATGATGTATCCAATGTAAAGCTCTTTGAAGGTCTCTGATAAAGCGCTATATGGAATCTGATGCATTATTATTTCTTATTATTTCGTAGCTCAGCTGAAAAAGTGTGAGGGCATGGAGAGGTGGAAAGAAGGACGATGACTCTGAAGTGTCAGAGAGAGAGAGAGAGAGAGGGGTTTCAGGGAAGTTAGAGGTGGACAAGGACAAAGAGACCCTACTAAACAACCCTAAATGGTAGGGATGCACCGATCCGATATTTGGATCAGATATTGGCTCCGATATTGACAAATTAACTGGATCGGATATCTAATGAATGACACCGATCCAGCGTTCTGATCCAGCCTTTTTTTTTTCTTCTTTTAATCAATTAATACACAGCAACACAGCGATTCACAGTGTCTTTTTATCCTTTTGCACTCAATGTTTACATGGAAGTCTTACTTCTTTTTGCTGTTTGCTAATATGTAATTTGTTGTTTGTTTGTAAAAATATGAAGTAAAGTTACATATGTGTTCATTTGTCACCTTTTTTTAACAAGGCTAATGTCAAGCCTGATGTCTTCACTCACAGGGAAAGGTCAACAGTTCATTCATTCAACAGTAGTATTGGATCGGTCTCGGATATCGGCCGATACGCTCAGCCCAGGTATCAGAATCGGATTGGATCGGGAAAAAAATGGATCGGTGCATCTCTACCAGATAGTACAAAGAAATGTCAAATTAAAGTTTTATTTTCCTTGTTCTATCTACTCTGCTTTAGCCCATTTCTCTGAAACTGCTTTGCGATTGGCCTCCACCCCAGCCCTTTTTTTTGAGCTGTGTCTAATCTGACCATAATGGCTGTATAGTTTGCTTAAACCTGAAAGGTTAGTGCTCTTTTTCTACACACAAGGCTGTGTACACACACACACACACACACACACACACACACACACACACACACACACACACACACACACACACACACACACACACACACACACACACACACACTCCCCACTCGGACTCCTCTGGACTCTTAGTTTTGAGAAGGGAATGACTGATTAAAGTTCAATCAACCTTGAGGACATTCACTCACATTCACAGAGTCAAGGGCGTACACGCTGAATGGAAAAATAGTTTCAATGATGGAATTTCAACAGAATGATTCATCATGAATTTGAGTGAATAAGAATCAGTCTCAGCTCAAACACAGTAGAGTTATTAAATTGAGTTCAGTCTGTGTCAAACTAATATTGCAACCCCTATTATTTGGCTTATAGATAAAGAATAAACTTACTCAAGATGGACAATGAAGCAGACATAAAATGACAGGAAGTAATTACCCAGTTCAGATTTATGTAATCTTCAAGCATTCAAATGCAAAAGTTTGTGAACTTTCTATTGTTTTCTTTTTGACAAAAATGACAAGGAGGCACCTGTTAGCCATACAAAGTCAGTGGAGCAGGCTGAATTGTTTTCCCCTCTAGTAGCGCGAGTGGGACGTAATTGCACTCTGGAGGTTTGAGCAGCTTGAACTGTCTGTCACATTGCATAACACTGGGTCGACTGAAAATACTTTATTTTTTCTTTAGATAAGAAGAAGCAGAAAAGTTTCAACTTCAGATTTCCAATAAATCTTTAGCGAAATACAACTGTACTGAGAGTTACAGCTCGTTTACTGAGGATACTCTGTGAACCCCCCAGCCAAACCAGGGCTCACTCACAAACATGCCCCCGACTTGGAGCGCTGCAGATGCTGCAACCTTCTTTTCAGAGAGATAGTCAATGTCATTATTGTGGCTGCAAGAATAAAAGACCAGTTAGTCTGGCTTCATCATGGATGCTGTTTAAAACTAAAATTAGCAGACTGCCAGTGTCTGAAATCAAGCTGCCATTATTCAAAAGGTTATCGAAAACCAAAATATCTACAGGGGTGTGTCCAGAAGAGTGGCCAGAGGGGCCCCACACTGAAATTGAATTGGCCACCCCAGGTGATATGATTAATAATTTGGCGTGTAAGAGTCAAGACAAAGTCCAAAATTTTGTTTTCTAACTTTTTATTCTTAATATGCCATATTTTTTATCTGTTTGTGCCTTTAATGCTGACTTTAGCCTAACTACTTTTTCTTAAAGGCAGGAATCTGTTAAAGAAGCATCTTTTTTGTGGTGTATATACAAAAAAGTTTTCAATATCAGTCAATAACTATTAGTTATTGATGACATTTGGTAATATAACGATATCACTGTGTTTTGTTATGTCTGTGTAGTCAACATTTTACATTATGAGTGGCCCGCTCATTGTGACTGTAAACAAAGCCATTCTCCGCCTCCCCCAACCTGATTGGTTGTGAGGCGGACGCTGCTCCCTCTTGTTGTGAGGCACGTTCCACATCCTTCAATAACGTGCACGAGCCCAAACAAAGTTAGCGTGCTACAATATCGGACAGTAGAAACCAACAAGAAAGTACGTAAAACACAAGCAATTAAACAATTAATTGCTAGACTCTGGCGCTTAAAACGGAGGTAGACCAGACAAGAGCTAAGAAACTGGGTCAACATCAGCGTAAGCGATGGGGACGCTTCAGGATCTTCTGGACCCTGTAACCTTTCCGCTGAACAGGTAAACTGCTTTAACAAAGTAAGACAAGTGTCTGTAACAGAAGTGTTTCCTGTCAAACGGACCTGCTGCATGTTGTAGCGCCGCTAAACTCTTAACCTCGGGTCCTGGACTATGTCACTTCTTTATCGTAGTTGTAGAAGTCCTGCAAACATTGTGTTTGCTGGTAGTCTGTTGGCATCTACAGTAGCACCAATGCTTTTTACTTTCACGTTGACTGGACCCCATTTGTAATTATCTGAAGTATTTATCTGCATTATATCTGAATTTAATGGTTGAGAGGTGTAGAGTTTACATTCAAGATTTCTCCCAAAAACTGTCACTTCCTCAGATCCTGCCTACCTGACCTTCAAGTCCCTCAAGATTTAAGGCTACTATATGCTGCCATGCTGATGGATTTTTTTCTCAATCAAAAGCACTTCATTTTGAGTGTGCACTTATAACCCTTGGTACCTCTGCTCATCGTGGTGCAGTAGCTATGCAACACCCATCAAAAAAGTTCAGACATGCTCTTGTAACATGCCCAAAGCTACATTGGAAAACTTGCAGACACATAATAAGTTAGTAGAGGTCATAGAGTGATAAATTGTCAACACGTATTTTCTGTCCATACACTTTTTGAAGGTTATTCTGAGGTCATTTAATCAATCCTGTAGCTCACATTTCCTGCTTTTTGACCTTACATGAAAACGGGGACATCTATCCAAACAAGCACTGTGCAAGCATTTCAGCTCCTTTGCAAGTTTTTACCTGTGGACCCTTGGTCAATATTGGAGAGGTTCTGGTGGCACTGCAGTTTTATTTCATAGAGGATGTACATCTGCTCCTGTGCAGAGAGAGGACCATCAAACCCCATCTGTAAATAACAACAAACAAGAACAGGGATGTCAGATAACAGCGCATGGAGAGACGCAGGAGCAATAACAATGCAGTCAACTGGTTCACCCCAGTAACAAATGTCAATAAATAACATCAGAGGGTGTTAGAGAGGGTGGGTGGGCTGCTAAACATGGGTCAACACTAGTCCAACTAGCTCTCACTGTAGTTTGAAAAAACACTAAATTATGCAAACGATGAAACAGCAGCCTTTTCCACGATGACTGACCCTTAGCTGCAGAACAAGAGATAAGTACGTGGTAGGCAGGGGTTTAAAACTGGATTGCACAGAGCGGGATACAACGAGCTGATGCTTTCACAAATAGAAAAAAGGCATATGAGTCCAAAGCTCCATATCTATGCAAATAAGCCTCAATGTAGAGAAGTCTTTCTGCTATCTGCAGAAAGTTACAAATGCAACTCTAATGCGATGCTACTGTGGTGACAAATCCCATTTTTGTGTGACCTTAAATTGTATGCAAATGCGACAGGGGGCAAAAGAAGCAGTTTGAGACGTGATCCTGGTACATAAGGGGACAATCTTTGCGGATGTGTTGAGAAAAGACACTCACGATGGGAAACAGGGACTTAAATTACCCGTACATTGTGCTCCTGCTCACTTCAAAGAACAAGCCATGTTCACATATCACATCTGACAAGCCTGGACCTCCAATCAAGTGGAAAGTAAGCTGTATGGAGACATAATTGAATTCAGCCGAGACATGAGCATGACCTCAGCGAGGGAGAGTACAGACAGGCCCTCGCTGTAATCAGAAATACATGCTTCTAGTGCGACTGAGCTACAAAACTTTATAGGCAGTGTGAGCAGTAATATCATTAGAAAATCATGTCCTGAGATCTTAGGAAATAGAGCCTGCGAGAAATCCAATCTCTATTAAATCTGGTCCTGGTACTTTTTCTTTTAATAAGACCAATTACAGACTATTATGGGAGAAGTGGTACATCCACCAATTAGACAGAAAACTTCACAATTTATCCCAGAATAATCCATTTTCTCTTTCATAACCTGAAAATCTGTATTTTTATACTTTCAAGCATTTCTTTTTCATTCCTTGTTCATCTTGTAGAAGTCTTCTTTCTTCACTAGTATTTGTAATAGTTTGTCATATTCACACTTTTATTGATTAAGTATTCTGTGCATGGCTTCACTGACAAAACACTTGAGATCATATTGATTTTGTTCTTTGTAGCCTCAAATATCCGATGAAAAAATGACTTCAGACTTTGTTATCAGGAGTACAAAGATTACACCTCCTCCTCTTATGAGTCTGACTACAGTATTTACATTTAATAGTAGAACTCAAGTGGTATAGTGTATCATTTAAAGACACATATATGAACAACTTGGTCCTCCGTTTCTGACATCAACTTCACAATAAAGTGCCCACAAGTTGATTTCTGACAAAATATGTTGTTCTTAGTGTTTTCACTACAGACTTGGCATCTTTGACACATTTGTTTATAGAGGCTGGATTTGAAGCAGATTAAATAAAGGAGGATGTCTTCATTTGTCCTGGATTGTGGCTTCTGAGAGTGTTTTCAAAATCTGTGCAATCATTTCTCAAAGTTTCACAACAATTGTAGTGCACTGACACCAATTCGATGTCCAAATGTCAAAGGTAATTTACGCCGTTTACAACATCTCCTTGTTGTCGCTTAAGGGTTACAGGTTTGTTGCAAAAACATCAAACTCCTGCCTATGTGGAGGATCTGAATCCTCTCAGTTTCTAACCTTGTTTCGTCACACCTGCCGTGGGCTGATAACTTTCCTACCTCATATTTCTTATCTTGTGATTTCTCTTTAATTCGGAAACTCTTGTCTCTCCCTTCAGCTCTGTGTTGCACTTGTGTTTTGATCTCCCCTTAAACTCAACTCCCCTTTCCATCTTATTCCCGTGTGACAACGTTCCAGCGCTCCCTCGTAGTTGGGACTCATCTCAGGTGTACTGAACCCTAAATAATCAGACCCTGAACTTTGTTTCTACCTGTGAGTCCTGTATTTGAGTCCTCCTCTTCGGTTCAGTTATTGATTATCACTGCATCCCCTCCGCTTCAAATCCCTGAAGCTACAGCTGAGAGATTACATCTCACACATAAAGACGCCACTGGAATAAATCAGAGTAATGCATTAGTTAAAGGGGAAAAATTTGAGTTATTATAGTCATTACACATTTACTGCTCAATGATGGTAAAGTGGTTTTAAAAAAAGCCTAAAATTATATTGACTTTCAGCATTTTCTCCCTGTTTGCACATGCTGCGTTGAGTTTACCTTTAACTTGCTCATTTCTGTGGTAATAAGAAAAGTCAAAGCTGTCATTAGAGGAGCATGTGCTTTGGTAAAGCCTTTAACCTGTCACTTTATGTGGTTAGCTTTTGTCGTCTGAGGTGATGTGATTAACACAAACAAACAAATTAGCACCACCTGTAGCTGCCGCATTGCTGTCGATATAAAAGCTCCTGCTGCTTTCCTTTGGTCCTCAGACGCTCATTAGTTTAAACAGGATATTCAATCTTTAAACTGATGGACTTTACTGTTTTCTTATACCTGCAACATGCTCATAAAAAGATGTTACAGGGTCCTGTTTACTGCTGTGTTACGTCACTTTTCCTTTTAACAACACTCAATAAGTATTTGGGAAATCAGGACACAAATTATAGAAGCTTTAGAGTGGAACTGTGAGATATTATGGACTGTAGATGATCAAATCTCTAAATTCCTGCAGTTGGTTGTTGAGAAACATTGATCTTAAACTGTTCGTCTATTTGCTCACGCTGTTGTTGACAAAGTGGTGACCCTTGCCTCATCCTTGCTTGTGGACGACATACGTAGGGCTGGGCGATAGAATGATAATGATAGATACTGAAGATTAATTTCCCTCAATATCAACATAAAACATTGCTCTGAGTTGCGCTGAGCTGAACCAATCATGTGCTGAATTAGAACCAAGTAGCAAAGAACTGCGTCGTAGCAGGCTGCAGCTACACGCAACTATAGCACCTAAACAGGTGAAGCCGACAGCACTGTCAGTGGAAAAAAAAATGAGTGCTACTCCCGGCAGAAATGCAGATGAAGGCTCAACAGATGACAACATCGTTGACAACACTGGCATGAAAACATGGTGTGGAGGTATTTTGGTTTTTTGAGGTCGGACATGAAGCAGAGTAGTGTGCAATTATGTTGAGTACAAGTTCTCGCAAAGTTGGGGAATCAAATCTTTTTCACCACCTGAAGCAGCGCAACGCCATAGAGCACGCTCAATGCAAAAGGCTACAAACCCTGAGTGGAGCAAGGAGCCCCTGTGCGACCAAAACAACCGACCATTCAGTCTGCTTTCTCTAGCGCAACGCCTTATGACAAAACGTCAAAGAGACACAAAGACCTCACAGATGCAGTAGATTATTGTATTGCAAAAGACATGCCACCAATAAGCACTGTTACATTTCATTTCTTACATTGTGATATATATCGATATCGACTGATATAAAAATAATATATCGTGATCAGCTTTTTCCCAAATCACCCAGCCCTATGTATATGTTTTCTTATTATATGTTTATGAGGAATTACAAACACAAGTCAGGGATTCTTGAGAGTCGGGACAAAACACTTCCTAAACAACTTTTTTTGAGAATGCACACTATATTGATTAGAGTTATTTATTACTGTAGAGAACGGTCTTAGCTATTTAACCCCGTAAAGGAACAGGCTCCAAATAAAAACAATTTTTCTATAAATTAAAATGTTTCCCTTAGACAGTGGGTTTGTGTCAACTCCATCAGACACACTAAAAAGAATATAATTTTAATAATTCTAGTCCAACAAGAATCTAGAGTTCTGATGTATGTTGTAATAGTGTTTAGTTACTCTGATGTGCCATGAAATATAATATATAAACCTAATGTGTGATTTTACACTATTTTGAAAACCAAGATTTCTAAATAGTTGCATTTTCAAACTTTGTTTTTAATTTTTGTATTATAAAAACAATTTCCGTAAGTAAATAAGAGACAAGAGGAAGTAGAGCCAATGCTCCTTTATTACTTAAACAATATAAACTGAAGAAACAATTTGTTTTTTCTCCAAAAATTAAGAAAAACATACATCTGACGGCGTTGAGGAACATCTGACGGAGTTGACGAGAAACTGACGGAGTTGATGACGTTGCATATGTTATTGAACAAATGTGTTTTTAAACCGATTGACAATAGGTCAATAGGTGAAAATAGATTAAGAACTAATAACTCCTTGTTTTCATACTGAACATATCGTTAATGCAATTAACCGCCACGCCGACAAGGCGTTCCCAAGCACATTTTCGTATTTTGGTGAGTTGTGCAGCCCGGCATAAGTATCCCCCCTCCCTAACTCAGCTCCTCCCAGCGGCGTAAGTCATAGGGAGGAAGGAGAGAGGGCGTGGAGTGGGTTTAACACAGCCGAGACCTGTATTGACCAATAACATCAGCTCTTATTCTCGCCTGTGAATCTGCCACTGGCAAGGCGTATTACAATTTTCGTGAAGTAGTCAAAGAGATCAAGGGATGTCTGAAGCAATGCCACACGATGGTGACAGAAGGCAGCCCCTCAACAAGTGTCGCTGTAAGCACTGCAGAGGGCGCCCTGCACACTGTCTCGTATAAGCACAGATGGATTTGGTGTTTGTAATGTTGGACCCACTGGTAAGACAAACATCCTTTTCCACAAATAAAGACAATCACATTAAATTGCACATATTCAAACCTCACATGACAAAGGTGGGTTGTGCGCACAGATCACATCATAAATTCCAATAATGGCATTAAAATCAAAACCATCTGTGCGTAAATTGCGCTCCGTGGCCTGGCTCTTTCTTTCATAGATGTTGGCATATAAAATAAATTTGGCTCACAAAACTGAATATTATAATATCCGTATGTCCGCTTAAAGTAAAAAACTCATCTGATCACTGAAACAAATCATCTGTTCAGCCACCCCATCAGCAGCTGCAGCAGGACGGAGAGAGGACACGGAGACATGTCCAGGTCGAGCTGCGCGAGAAATAAGAGAAAGAGGAAGATAAAAATGGGGGGAGACAAATTAAATATCTTGTTAACTTCATCATGTGTGTCTATTTACTAGATATTTAATTTAATGTGGTTTCAGCTGTGTTGATTCGGTCAGGTTGTGTGTGCAAACGCATGCCAAATGCGTTTGGACACACAACCATCAGATCAGATATAGATCAGAATATATCTATATAGATCTAAATGTATGTGCTAACTCAGATTATTAGTTGTTATTGATTATTTATTGCACGGAAATGTTCCTGACACTGTGGAAACCTACTGGTGAGGCCGATATGCCGCTGGTCTCCCAAAATACCACTAGCCCATCCGGCTCCACCTGCGCTGAAAGCTGACCAGGTTTGAATCGGCGAGCTTTCAGCGCCCTTTACACGCCGGCAGCGAGCACGAAAATGTCACTGCGCCAGCTGATTCTGTGGACACCTCCCCCTGCCACACATCTACACCCAGCTTGGCGGACCTCGGTGCACCTCAGTCCACGAAAATACCAAACTGGCTGTACGCCAAGCTCTGACAGACAAAAAATGCCACTGCGCGGGGTTCGCCACCCTCCGCCATGTCGCCGGCGGACACGAAAATAGAGCCCAAGGTCTGATGGTCCAAGTTAACAATATAAAAACAATAACCTTTTTCTTCTGTCTGGTATCCCACCTACACTGGGGTTTAAAAGAGCAACATAGAACTTCTTGCGCACTCTATAAGAAGCCAGTGTGTAGATTTTCGGTAGTGAAAACTACACACTGCACCTTTAGGAATGTACATTAATCAATCAATCAATGATATAAGGTGTGTGTGTGTGTGTGTGTGTGTGTGTGTGTGTGTGTGTGTGTGTGTGTGTGTGTGTGTTTGTGTGTGTGTTGGGAAAGTTTGAAAGTTATAATTAAGCAGACAGCCTGCCCATGGTCTACTCTACAAGTCAGAAGTATATGGTAAAATAACGTAATATATGCTATATATGTACTTTTATGTGCAGATAAGACCCTGGAATAACATTGTTTTCCTTAACCATGTTCAATAATAGCATAATGTCAGCACATTAAGAGGTTACAGGTGGATTTGTCAACTCCATCAGCTTACACGTCAACTCCGTCAGACACAAAATCTGACGGAGTTGACGTCTGACGGAGTTGACATAAGGGCATGTATTTTCCCTCCAAAACATATATTGTACAGTGCAGCTAGGTACTTTTTTGGCAGTTGCTAGCTGTCCTGATAATCTCACTATAATACTTTAATTGAACTCACTATGGTTTAAAAAAAAGTATAATAACGGAGAGACGGTGTTGACATGGTCCAGCTGTGACCATACAAATATTGACATTGTTTGTCTAAAATATCAAAAACTGTAAAACTTACCAGACCATGTGTGGTGGTGTTACATTCACCAGAAGCAGGAAATGAAAAGGGGTGCTCAGGGATATAGCTGACCATGATATTGCATGATTTAATGAGGTTTATAGAATAATCTGATGGAGTTGACAGAAACTGAGGACACAACTTTGATAGGCAGATTTTTAGGCAAAAAGTTATTTGATGTTCAGGCCATGCATTGTTTAATATATTTATAGCCCTGAATTTTTATTTGATGTATATGTTTTCACAATTGTAGAGTTTTTTAAAGTTTTTTGGGGCTGGTCAATGTTGTTACCTCTTGCTGAGGACACAAGCAATAACATGGACCTTCTAACCACAGACGATTCATTTAAACAAATATCCCCCAGAAAAGTAAATATCTGTGCTAAAAAATAGGATTGGGATGCACAAATCTGTTAGATTTAACTTTTTGAGTATGTCAAACATTTGGAATTTCTTAATTGTTTTGAATAAATTAGACTTTTCTATGTAGGACATGTTTTGTCCCGACTCTCAAGAATGGGTGAAGTATATACACAAGTACGGACTGCATTACAAACAGAGAGTTTATCTACAGCATCTACATCTGTGCGTTACAATGTAGTGATATAGAAACAGAAGAAGACAGTAAGTTTTTGTGTTGTTAGAAGTTACCAGATAAAACTCAATTCTTAACATGGACTATGTGATTAAATTGGGACCTCTTTAGTCCTCAAGGCAAGTATAACAATGAAAAGGTTTACGGTCCTGAAGCAGACGACAGAATCTTGTTTCTTCTTCAAAAGTTTGAAAGAAAACTTCAGTCTCAAGAATCACAATCTGTTCCCTTTCAAACCCACAAAAAAATCTTCCTGTGTCTAACCAAAATTAATAACCTCTAAACTTATTTGACAGAGAGCATAATCTTAAGAGCATCAGGGACAAACATATAGCACAAGCTTCTTTATTAGGAGACAGGCCTGCAAAATGAGATTAGAGCAGAGGCGGAGGGCGGGATTGAAGTGACAAGTTTTAATTACGCAGATAAAAAGGAAGTTACTGTTTGTTCAAAGTAATCCTTTGTGAGACGTACACACACAAAGTTTGCATTTTTAATTTAAAGTTGGGGCTTCTGAACGCGGAAATGGAAAGATATTAAAAAGACGTTAGAAAGGATCAACACTGACAAGCAGTTTTGTCTTATTAAAGATGAGGATGAAGCCGTTTACCCCCATTATACAACACTTTCTTGAAGTTTTAGTTCAGATCAGTGTCTTACAGGGGTACTTAACAACAGTGAGTGTATTATAAACAGGGATACTGGTAAAGTTGGACCAGAACCAGAACAGTAGCTCGGCTATCCATGTTCAGAGGTTAGCCGAGAGCCTGTTGACTTTAAGGAGCATAATTTTGCCCCCACTCCTGCTGCGATGATTAAGACTCTGCCTTTAGGAAGCCTGAGGAGCTGTAGTTATCCCGAACACATCACAGCAGAGGGGTAAAAGGAGGACGGTAAGGATTACATAAGCACAATCACTGCAGGAATACAGATTCTCATTGGCTGAGAGACGTACACAGAGCTGCAGCCACTGAAAGACACAAAAACTGCTTTTCTGATTTGACGGCCTGATGTTCCCAAACATAATGGGACAAGATCAGTTTGGATGTCTTACTATTACACAATCCATTATGAATTACATCATGTGTCCAGTCTTAGAGTGTTGTGTAACCAAAGCTAAAACCTCTTTTTGCCCCATGGTACACCTGACTAAAAGCCTCTTGTCCTCATTATTTTCTACCAAAAGCTTTTCTCACTTTAACACCCAGCGCCCACATCATACAATGAGCTCCTCAGATTAGCACTCATGTAAGATGGTCTTTAATTGAGGAGTGGTTATGATTTAAAAGACGATTACATCTTCTTAGTTATCTAAAGGAGCAAAGATAAGTAGTCCCTCTGATTCTGCTGTTCCCCATGGCAACAGATTCTCATCAGGCTCCTTCTCAACATTAAACTGAACATTATAATTCACAGTCAAGGTAAAAATCAGCTCTCTTCATCAAAATGACATTGAGCTGAAAACTTCCTGATGGTAATATTAAACTAGCTGAGCTTTACACTGACATTTCTGTCCTCATTCAGCTCCTCTTCTTCTTCTTCTCTGGGCTTTGCAGTTGAAACACATCCAAACGCAGACAGGCCACGACTTTCACCAGAGCAGCTGTGATCTCTCCCGCCTGTGGTTTGAGCAGCGAATGTTCAATCTTGGAGATGCTCTGACCGGCTTTCTGCCAGTGTCGCCTGGAGGATTTTAAGCCAGTCGACATCCCACTTTCCCCCTCTGAGGTTGGGGAGGTCAGTGGGTGGCTGTTTTGTGCCCAGAAACTCTTATTATGTCCCAGACTCCTGCGACCAGTCTTAGATAGAAACCGTCCCAGAATGGAAACTTCATCATTTCTGTCCCAGTCGTGACTGGCAGAGACAAAAAATGCTGGATCGAGTTGACCCTGGCATCTGTTTTGCTGTTAAAATTTACTTCCTATTGCTGTGGGGTTTGGACCAATCAGAATCAAGTATATGACATAGTTCGGTAATCGTCATAAAACCTTAAAGATGGGTTAGGCAGGATTCCATTAAAGAAGTGTCTTTTTTTGTGGTGTATATACAAAAAAGCTTTTAATATCAGTCAATAGCTATTAGTTATTGATGACAAAGCCATTCTCCGCCTCCCCCAACCTGATTGGTTGTGAGGCGGACGCTGCTCCCTCTTGTTGTGAGGCACACTCCACGTCCTTGAATAATGTGCATGAGCCCAAACAAAGTTAGCGTGCTACGATATCGGACGGTAGGAACCAACCAGAAAGTACGGAAAATTGTCTGAATCCTCCTTTGGCCTGGACTGCCAACACAAGCAAGAAAATGAAGTAAATACAGGAGACTCTGGCGGAACAATGGGTGTTTAAAAAGGAGGTCGACCGGACAAGAGCTAAAAAGCCAGGTCAACAATGATGGGGGACGCCTCAGGATCTAACAGACCCTTTAACCTTTCTGCTGGACAGGTAAACCCCTTAAACAAAGTAAGCCAAGTGTCTGTAACAGAAGTGTTTCTTGTCAAATGGGACCTGCTGCGTGTTGTAGCGCCGCTAAACTGTTTCACTCGGGTCCTGGACTATGTCACTTTATCCTAGTTGTAGAAGTCCTGCAAACATTGTGTTTGCTGGTCGTCTGTTGGTATTTACAGTAGCACCAATGCTGTTTACTTTCACATTGACTGGGCCCCATTTGTAATTATCTGAAGTATTTATCTGCATTATATCTGAATTTAATTGAAACTATATGAGCGAGCAGGAGCGTCTGTTTGTGGGCGGGGCTTGCTGGAGCAGAGAGGGAGGGGAGAGGAGGAGCTGAGGGGAAAACTGGTTGGAAAGGGTAGTGTTTACATTCAAGATTTCTCCCAAAAAAACTGGCACTTTTTCAGATCCTGCCTACCCCAACTTTAAAGTTATTGTGATTTGTGTTGCTTTTGGAGCTAAACAGTTTTCACTGATCTAAACCTGCTGTTTTTTTTTTTTACACCTATCCCCAAATTACAATTTAAAAACCTTCCATCTTGCCAGCCATGGTCTTGCTTGCTTTTGCATTTCATTAATTTCAGTGTATTATGATAAAACTTTCCTCAGGAGCTTAAACTTTCCATTTTACTCTCCATATATTTCAACACTTCAGGTGATAAGTTTATACCAAGTTAGATTCCAGTCTCAAAGTTTTGATAGAGTTTATATAACTCGGCTCCAAAAGTTTGCATTACACCACATTTCAGTTTACACAGAGATTTCGAGTGTTACGTCGTGTTTTCCCGCTGAGCCACAGTTGGGGAAATAAATCCCCAAACAGAGCCTGGTAGGTGGGAAATAAAAGAAGACGCATTATCCCCTGATAGCTGCTCTTGAAAAGAACAAGTATACAACTGCACACCAAACAAAACCAATTTTTTTTTTCCAATCTGAGAAACCTCAACTGAGAAAGGAGATGAGCGGTAATTTGGACAGATTGGAGGAAAACAACCGACAAGAATGAGAAAGCGGTGACAAAGAGACAATAGCTCAAGCTAAGATAAAGACACCTTAACAGAATAACTCTTTCTTCCCCCCACAAATGAGTCATGGATGAATGTATGAGTGCGCTGACATCGTGTCACAATCTGCCAACAAACATACCAGGTAACAACAATGGAGAAGACCATGGTTGAAGTTATTAAAGTAAACATCTTCTATTCAAAACTAAGGATGAATTTTAACCAGAACTTCAAACATTTCAGCGACATTAAGGCAGGCAACAAATGTCACAGTTGATTCACACAATAAAAAGCATGAAAATAAGATCTGATAAAGGTGACTATTGACAACCACACTTTTATGACAGTAAACATTCAACCAAACTCGAGGTTATATCCTTCAGGGTAAAGGACAGAAACACAAAGCAAAGACAAAGCTTACAGATATCCACCGGAGGTACAAACTGGGAAATAGGACCACTATTACCTTGAGCGCAGCTATAGGATGCAGAAGTCCATTTAGGGAGCTCTTCAGTGTGGTGGAAAAATAAAAAAATAAACGTAAACTCACAAGAGAGCATCATGGGTTCAAGGAAAGCTGTGGGCAAAATAACCTCAGTGTTCAGAGAGGTGATTGTACTCTGAGAGAGGGGATGTTGTTGACATCAGGATGCGGTCTTGAAAAATAATGTTCCAAACACAAACTATCAAATGCTAATCGGCATCCTCATAGCCTTTTTGAACGAGCATGCGAACATAAACAGCTCAGTGAAGAATATTTCTTTATTATCAAGGAGCTGAGAGTGTACTTACCAGCATGCATATTACCCGCATTTGTGATGGGATGATGGGATGCTAACAATTCTTTTTTTTTATGATTATTTTACATTTCAAAGACAGTTTTTAGCTCAAAAAGCAAAGCAACCTGAGGACATCCGTCAGACCCGAGTCCCTCACAATGTGGAGTGGCCTGAAGTAGCGGTTTCTTTGACAAGCCCTGTTGTTAGTTTTTAGATTTTACAGTTTATCCTCATTTCAAATAATCATGACCAGGTAAGAATATAAAATAAGATGTTTTATCAAATTCTGTTTGTCATTTCAAATGAACCAGAATGAAACAGCAGTCATATTTAAACCAACAAGGACCATGAACTGCATTATTACTTCACTTCAGGACCACTGACCTTATTTTTAAGATAATACTGGCTAAACTGAGTATAAACCTTGTACTTGTCAAAGAATATTTTTACAATACACCCCTAGAAAGTACTGAATATGAGTTGTCTGTTTTACCACAGACTGGAGATTTCATTCAACCTTTTTGAGCTAATCTTTAAGATAGGGCTGGGCGATAAATCGAAAATTTACTGATACTGAAATCTACCACAAAAAATGACGTCATTTTGCCCATATCGGTATATTCAGTGTCAAAAAATTAATAAAATTTGGTATTGGATGTGTCTAGTAAGGCTATGGTCTCATGTCCCTTTAAGACACTGTCCTACATCAAAGACGTGACTCCACCCCATCCAGTTTTTAACAAAGAGGGAAAGACAGGTGAGGAGATGAAGGACGGTTCAAAAGTTGTAGCTGCTGAAGTAGACAAAGTTAATGTGGGAGGGGGTGAGCAGCTTGTGGAGTAGTTATCGTCCATTTATCGTTATCGAGGCTCAATATATCGTGATATTGATTTGAGGCCATATCACCCAGCCCTACTTTACAATGACAGGATTTAGGACTATATTCAATCTCAGTGCAGAATTATCACCAACTGTTCACCCTAATTATTCTTTTGTTAACACTTTGATTTAAGGTCCTTGTAATAAACATTGGGTTTAGAGTTAATAAGATGCTTATCAACATTTAAAGGCATCAGTAAGTGTTTATACAGCAGGGTGACTTTAAACATGAATCTATATTGGGACTTAGACATTGGGACCTTGCCACCATGAAAAAAGCAGCAACCCTAATCCCTGCCCTACTTCCTGACACCAGAAAGACTCAACTCACCGAGCCAAGACCTTCCACTCTGCTCCATCCTCATCCACTGAAACTCTCAGAAACCAAATCCCAAAGTAAAACCGCCCACTAGCTTCCCACCGCCCCAGCCTGAGCCGCTTTCATCTGCCAGCCGTCAACCCATTATCTGCCAAATTCGAGGGTTCTCATGCGGCCCAATGACACCACCAAAATATATCCAGATTTTTCCCTGCATAGTTGATGTCAACGCAGCCACCTCCATCAAATTTATGCATTTCTCTGTCTTGGGCATCAGCTACCAGACCGTATCACACCACTGCCATGGCTTGAATGTGAAGTTTAAGACTAGTGCCAGAAGAAAGCAGACCATTATTGACCTTAGCGCAAACTTTTCAACTCTTTTTTCTAGAGTTGTACCGGCCTTTCTTTCCTCTGCCGACAAACAACACTGCAGACCCTGAGCCACGGTAAGGTTGAGAGTGGATTAAAAGATTTGAGATGCTCACTTGTGCAAACTCAGCGTGTAGATGGAGGTGATGTCGAGCAGGAGGGAATAAGCTCTGCTCCTATTCATTAAAAAACAAGGGTAAGAGTTTCTCATCCTTCAAGCCCGGTACAGACCTCATTCACTGATGCGACTGCCGGGCAAATAGACATTTTAGAGTTCTCAATTCAATAATGAATGTCATAGAAAGACAGATTCAATAAAAGGCATCTTAGCTGAAAAAAGGGACACTTCAAAAACTTGGTTGAGTTTCCTGTTTGCTTGTATCTGCCTCATCTTCCATTCTGAGCTTCAATGCAATGTCAAGTGTGGTTAAGGGGTTTGTTTACAAAGATGCTTATTCAACAGAAAATGGTAAACAGCTGATGCATTTGTTTTTTTTCTTTTAGATGAAATGTCACTGTGGGGAATAGTAAAGGGCTTCCAGTTAGGTATGGTGCTTTTCTGGGACATTTAACCTTTATTTTCACGTTGTTTTGTTTACTTCAAAGTCAAGGCGCACTTCTTTATCATAGAGAATACTAAATGTAATCAACACTTGAGGTACATCCACCCATAAAGTTATGACAGCATCTTTTCTGCTGTTACTGGCTGCTGCTGCTGCCCTCTCTCTGCCGTCTACCTCTTTCAATTAAACTCTGGTATTCATATCTCTCTCTATATGTATTAATATACCGCTCTCTCATCTGCTGCCAGCTGTCTGATGATATGCTGTTTATGCACCACCAACCAAACCCCTTCTAGGTTTTCTTATACACCTCATTATCACATTTATTTTTATCTTAGTGCGTGTTAATGTCTATCTTTTTGTATCAGTATAAACTGTCCATATGACTGTACGTACATTTGAGTTTCAGTTTCTTCAAGGTCTATCTTTGTTTTTCCGAATGACATTTTTTTAAACAGTCAGGGAACAGAGGATGGGTTGCTTTACATTCCATATGGGTGTGAATGATGCAAAAATCCTCATTTCATCCTGCTGTGATTTATCTCAGAGGACCAAACGGAGGGCAGCAAAAAGACTTTAAATGTAACGCAGCAGAGCATAGGAAGATAACCTGTGGGAAGTGGCAATCAGCTGATAGATGTGCCAGGAGCAGCTGCCAACTCTGCCTGGGAGTGCAACCAGGAGGGGCAAAAAGCATCCGTCTCTGATACTGCATTCGGGAAACACTTTGCTCTTTGAAATTTTCACCAAGCCATTAATTTTGGGGATGACAGCGGAGGGGAAAGAGCACTTTTCAAGGCTGGAAGGAAAAACTACTGCCCGAAAACTTTTTCTGGACCAAACTTTTCCTGAAAGCCCACTGGCTTTACTGACCATAACTCTGTCTCGGAGCAGATGAGACCAACTCCATCTCTGTTAAAGCCTTGGTCTGTAACAACAGGTTTACAGAGGTCCTGCTGTAGCTAACAAGCCTTACTACTACAAGTCACGAATTCTATCACTGGGTAACAACAGAGGAAAGGAGTATAGCTAGAGATTTAAGGTCCTGCTTAAAGGGGGGGTAGACAGGATTCTGTTAAAGAAGAATCTTTTTTGTGGTGTATATACAAAAAATCTTATGATATCAGTCAGTAGCTTTTAGTTATTGATGGCATTTGGTAATATAACGATATCGCTGTGTTTTGTTTATGTCTGTGTAGTCAACGTTTAGAATTTTTAAAAAGCCGCTCTTTCTGACTGTAAACAAAGCTGTTCTCCGCCTCTCTCAACCTTATTGGTTGTGAGACAGACTTTGCTCCTTCGTGTTGCAAGGCATGCTACACGTCTTCCAATAATGTTCACGAGCCCAAACAAAGTTAGCGTGCTACAATATCGGACAGCAGAAACCAACCAGAAACTACGGAAAACACAAGCAAGAAAACGGAGTAAATACCAGAGACTCTGGCGGAATAATTGGCATTTAAAAAGGAGGTAGACCGGACAAGAGCTAAAAAGCTGGGTCAACATTAGTGAACGCTTCAGGATGTTACGGACCCTGTAACCTTTCTGCTGGACAGGTAAACCGCTTTAACAAAGTAAGTCAAGTGTCTGTAACAGAAGTGTTTCTTGTCAAACGGGACCTGCTGCATGTTGTAGCGCCGCTAAACTGTTGACCTCGGGTCCTGGACTATGTCACTTTATCCTAGTTTTAGAAGTCCTGCAAACATTTTGTTTGGTGGTAATCTGTTGGCATCTACAGTAGCACCAATGAATTTTACTTTCAGGTTGCCTGGGCCACATTTGTAAGTATTTGAAGTACTTATCTGCATTACATCTAACGATACGAGCGAGCAGGAGCGTCTGTTTGTGGGCGGGGCTTGCTGGAGCAGAGATGGAGGGGAGAGGAGGAGCTGAGGGGAAAACTGGTTGGGAGGGGTAGAGTTTACATTCAAGATTTCTCCCAAAAACAGGCACTTCCTCAGATCCTGCCTATCCCACCTTTAATGCATATCAAATGATAGTAAGTGTCGATCTGGGGGAGTAAAGATCGAGAAGAGCTGATTTTGTTGGTAAGAAGTACGGTTTTATACATTGATGCATGCTGCAACAGGAAGCCAGTAAAGGAAAAGTAGACAGCGAGGTCATATGTGGCATTTTGGGTTAATTGATGTAGCAGTAAGGGGTTGCGGTAGTCTAATCGTAAGATTACTTGTAGTCTAATCATGATATTACTAGACTCTGTACCAGGTTAATCTGGTTTGATATAATCTGGTGGGAATGACGAGGGGAGCAGGATATTACCAACATAGCAGTGATAAGTAAAGAAGAGTAATTTCACCAGAGCTCCTGTGAGGAAATCTCTATTGGTGTGGATTTTGGCGCCCCCTGCAGACAGAGTAGTAACTGTCACATCAGTCAGGAGTGTCAGTAGCGTAAGTCAGTAGAGCAGGTCCCCTGTGCCTGAAGGCTACAGCACATATTCGACTGAAATTCCCCTCTCATTCTTCCTGTCACTCTCTCTCAGACTATCCTGTCAAATTCAGACACCCCCCCCAAACTCCCAAGACTCCCAGAGCTCCTGGGATCTCCTGAATACTGAGCAACAACTGGCAAGAAGAAGAAAACAGCCAGGAGCGAAACAGAAGCCAGGGAACTTTGAGATTTCCTCTGCAATTACAGAGAATTGCAAACAGTTGCACTACATGAAGCTGTGCTTGCACCAAACAGCATATCTTTGCCTGATGCCAATGTTCTGATTTCAAGTGCTGTACTCATCAAGCTCTTCGCTTTGCTGTTTGTTGTATTGTAAATGCATGTACGAGTATCAGGAAATAAAAGTCTGAAAAGTTATCAATATCAGCAGGAATGAAGATTTCCGGTGATATATATGACAGGGAAGGTGAAGCAATGGTCATGTGCAAACAATGACCGACAAAGAATTCCAATGTGTGTCAGAAATAGCACAACAGCTGATTGCAAAGCATGTGGAGCACAAGTGAAGTAATGAAGAGTGAAACAGAGTGATTGTGCATCTCAAGATCTGTCATTCTGAGCAGCACAGAGTTTCTGAAAAGCAAGAATGAAAATGCACAAGGCTGTCAGCATCCTTCACTTCTGTCATTCAACAAAGTGAAGAAATATAGTTGATGCCATCTGAGGGAAAAGAGCTCAACAAGAAAAGAAGAGGATGCAGGATGAAGATGTACCTGGATTGATGTATCTACCCCAGTTTATTCAAACATATCATCATATTTTATCATGAATGCATTACTGCACAAGGATGAATAAGTAGTTTGATTTGAGCAGACCCTAAAAACCAATTAGGACACACAGATTCTTGCCGTGTTATAGTTGAAGTATTATATCCTCCCCCAAACAGCCTTGTCAAAACATTATTCTATTATAGTCACTTGAAAAGACGCTCACTGCGAGCCAAACATTGCCTTCACCGTACCTCTCGTACCCTTTTAGTGCTCCTGCTGCTGAAAGAGCTGTCCATGGTTCTGATAATACAGGAAAGCTGCTACTGGAAATAATGACACAACAGCAGCCATTCAGATGCTCTTTTTCTCACAAATCTCAGCTCACACATTTGTGACGAACAACCTTGATAGACTGAGGATTTCACGCGTCACAGTTTTGCTCAGCAGAGGGTTGTGTTAAACATGGGCAGCTTAACACGCCAACAAACATTCAAAGCAAATCAGAAATCTGTAAGAAAGTAAGAAAAAAAAAAAAAAGAGTACTTTTTTATATTTAGAGGAACTGCTCACCACTCTAGCGTCTGTTACAGGATAACCTTCACTTTCTACTTCTTACAGCCACTTCTCAGGTGTCAGCAGGTGATGGGAAAAGCAGTGATGAAGCATGCAATCTCAAGATGTCTGATTAATTTGCAGACACCAAGGGTGAAGGTGTTCAGTTGTAATGAATGCATAGAGGCTTTCAGATGCTCAGACACTAGATACATCAAAATGGAATTTGTAGAGATATCATCAAGTACAGGCATTGCAGAGATCTGAACTACATGCAGGCAGAAACACTCCATCCTGCAGAATGTATGACTCATGTAATGTAAGTGGTTTATAGCTACTCTTCAATGCCTTTTGATTAGGCCTATATTTTCACCTCAGCACACTGTGAAACTGAGTAATAAGGTACACGGAGAATGGAAAAAAACACTATATCACACAGAGGCGAAATATCTGCACTCCTTAACTACACTGTGCAGTTTTACGCGTCTTTTTCCATCATGTCCGCACATGCAGCACAGCTTTTAACGCAACATTGCACATTTATTATGAGGAGATAATGACTGATCTGCGGCAAATAACAAGAGTTAACTGTATTATGTTTCCCTACCTGTGCGTCAACCAAACTCCACCACGAGAAAAAGTTTAACACTGCTATCCACACGGAAAAGTTCAAAGTGTGTCGATCTGTCTTCATCTCCATTAGCGTTAAAAATCCACTTTCCGTTCATTTAAATACAAACAACCTGAAAATGGAGATAAACATCCTTTCCGCTCCTAGTAGCTTCACATCGCACGAAAAGTTTCATCCTAACTTTTAATCCAAAAACGAGACTCCGAGCGCACCGGGAAGGAGACGACCGCGCGCTTCATAACACATATTCCACGTGGTTGAGCCACCGAGGTCCTGCTCCTGAATCAGCTGTGAGAAAGGTCCTTGGGAATAAGTGCCATCGTGCCATCGCTGCCTCTACAGAGAATAAGCTCTGGAGATGTGTGTGAAGTGGTGGGCGAGGAGGGAAACCCACTTTACGCGCTGATCCCAAAGAGGTTCTCTTGACTGCTGTGGGTTCAGGAGCGATTGGAGGAAAAGTGAGCCTCACCCTCAAGTGTTAAGGCTGGAACATCCCCTCCTCCGCGTGTGCGCACTTTCAACGCAGCTGTGGATGGTGCGGAAATGCTGCTCCTCTCTGCTCTGAAAACACCACCACACTCACCTCGCGCAGTTATTCCTGACACGCGCGCACTTCGTGGATGAGAATGGAAGCTCACTGCTTTTCTTCTCAGGGTTGTTGTTGTTGGGCTTTTTCTTGCAGGTTATAAAGGAGAAGACTGCGTGAAACTCTCTTTTACCATTATGTATCATCAGTCTGTTTAACTCTTGGCACGAAATACTCGAAATCTGCTTCAAATGCAGACTGCAGAAAGTGTAAAGTAACTCATTTAACATGTAACAACCAGTGTTTAATTACTGCCCAACTTCTGCAGTACCGAATAGTGCCACAAGGTGGTGCCACTTTTGTGTTCTGGTTTATATTCGGAATAACCCCAAATTTCCACCGCATCCAGAACGACTCCGATCTGGAACGGCAGCGGTTTTCGCCATCCACCAATTCCAACTAGATCCGTTTGTGAGGTGAATTTCGTGGCGGATTACGGACAGCGGGAATCGCAAGAACACACAGATTTACGTGCAATAACAAGTTATTTTTATAGAATTGGATTGTCTCCTTCCAGAGGAGGAAATCTACTCTAGACTTTTGGAATCAGCATCTCCTCATCCATGGTAACATCGAGGTGAAATGCTGTCTATAAACCTTTCACTTTTTCGTCCCCGCCCATTTGTATGGTGTGAAATACGATCCACCTGAAACACAGAGTTTTTGAAAAATAACCAGATATATCATTTTGTGTCTGTGCCCGACTACCTTTCCAGAACAGGTTAATCCGTGCTAAATTTATCTGGCATGCTCCAGTATCTGGAAAAAATAGAACTCTTGCGATCGGCTGCAAAGTCCGGCAATCTACAGCGTAATGGAAAGAAGTCGGTGAAAATTGATACATTAACTTGAATGGTTACGATCAGCTGCGATCGGCGGATACAACCTTTTCATAGCCGTTCTGGATGCAGTGGAAATGAGGGGTAAGTTGTTACAGTTCTGGGGGCCTAAACTATTAGTTTCTGAAGTGGAGCTTTAAAGCCTGTTGGTAATAGCTCAGATGTTGGTAATGCTAACTCAAACTAACTTTCTACAAACTTTCTAAAGGCGGACCTTAACTAGGGTTACCATATTCTGAATCCATATAAAGAGGACACGACTATGGAGGGGGGGCAGAGTCACTGAGTCACGCTTTGTAAATTTTGAGAGTTTTTCGGGTCAGGTTGAGTGTCGTTTATGCGCATCCAACTCAGTAAGTCCATGCGACACAGACTTAAAACTTTCAAACAAAACCACGGACATTTGAAGGATTTTATAAACTCCCCTGGACAAGGCCGGACAGCCCCCCAAAAAAGAGGACATGTCCTGGTAAAAGAGGACGTATGGTCACCCTACCTAAGCTTCTTCGCAATTGACTCTTGTGTCCACCTGCCTTTACCATGTTGATTCAAAGTTGTGTTACTGCAGTGGGCAGTCTATTGAGTGTTGTTATACAGTACATTTTTTGTACAGTGATTTCCTTCCAATTAATTATGAAAACCTTGATGCTGAGGAGACATTTCATTCCTCCAAAATAACAGTGAGTTGTCAGAATGCGACTATGGCAAGACTTTGTAATATCGAAGCCCACCTTGTGTGTTTTTCACAGCCGCATGCTTGTGCTTCAGTTGGTAGTGATTTAAGCAGAGGTTAGTTAACAGTACCTCGTCATTTGGCACAACCTGATTGAGTAAAATACAGCTTGGATAAATTGAAAAAACACACCCATTAACCTCTGTTTACCTTCCCAATTGTGTTGCCTCACTTGTACCAAAGCACAGTGCGTCTGCGAGCAGAGCCTGTCTGGTGGTGACTCACAAAAGAGCTGATGCATCTAACACATACCTCACGAACATCACACTGACTACAGATCCGGATGGTAGAAATTGGTTGCAAGCAGCTGTCAAATTGTAATGTGTAAGCCAACATTACCACAGCTTGTAATGGCTGTGAAATTTGCCACTCCGGAACCTCTATGTCATCTAGGTAATGACATAGACGAGGGGGCACAAGAGACAGCAAACAATTGAGAAAATTTTTTTTATAAATTCATAGTAACGGTTTCTATGAATGCATTAATGCAGATGTAGGAAGAGTTCCTCGGAGCGTGCAACATTTCACTTGAAACACAGTTTGAATAGACGGTGATTAGTGTATAATTTTACACCCGAGCACCTCTTTTCCCTCCGCTCAATTAGCAGCTAAAGGTCATCCACTTATATTTTCATGAGTTCTTTTCAGCAGAGCACTAATACACTCTTAAAAAGCTGATACAATGGCTGGGGCGGGTTTCATCACCTACTAAAAAAACAGATTTAGGGCCCCGGTGTGATCTCCTCCTAAGTAAACCTGCAGCTGCTCTGACGCTCATACAGCACAGACCTGTAGATGTAAAGCAGAAATGTAACACGCTTTCTGCACGTATCTGCTCAAGCACATGGTTTCTGCATAGCTGTATTCTAATATTATAGCAGGGTTTCAAATGGAAGGTGGTTTTCAGATTGGTAATTTAGTTTTTCATTATGTTTCCATGGCTGCCTTTCATTCCCCACCAGCCATTAGCTATGAAACTACCCGCCAGTCAAAGAAAAGGCTGTGACTTTTCAAAAGCCTCTTCCTTAGCTCATTATAGGATGTCCACACTGCCTTTGCATTCATCTCTGAGTATGCCGCCGTCAGTTCTTTAATTTCATACATTTATTAGCTTTGCCTTTCTCAAAGAGGGCTAATGTGTGTAAGTCTCGACTCTGTAAACCCAGACATGTGATTCAGTATGAGTTTTTCAGAACAAGGAGGAAACATAACGATGCCTCTGAAGGCTGATTGATTTCTGTCAGAGCTTAATGGCTTCAAACTAAGTGACGATTTCTCAAAGGTGCCACTTCTTGTTCCTGTGAACTTCTTTCAAAGTTGATGTTTTTCTTTTTGTGGGCTCACACTGAGACTTTTTTTTTTTATTCTACTTGTTTTTCTTCTTTGGCTTCAGGACCTGAAAAAAACATCTGTAATTTTTGTTTTTGTTGTTTTTTTGTTCATGTGAAGCTGAACAAAATGAAGAAAGAGAGTGAATCTCAAAACTTTTTAGAGGTACAAAAAATCCTAATTCAATTTTGCTTGACAGCCAAAGTTCAATTTACTGCAAAAGTTGATATCAACAAACAGAAAAACCCACCATCTTAAAAATTCGTACATTGTGGTAACACAATTTTGGCTTCCAGCAGCTCCACTGACACTAGTGTTGTGTCGTTCGTGAGTGATTTGTTCAAAAGAACCGTATCTTTTAAATGAACATACTGAACCGAATCACTTCCTCAAGTGATTCGTTTGTTGCTCACTTCAGTTGAGCTTTTAGCAGTGCTGCTGCCATAGCGCACAGCATTGCCGGGCGAGCAAGGGACTGCACGTACCGGCGCCTGAATCACTTGGTGAACGAATCACGCAGTGAACTACACTCTCTGGAATCGTTTTTGTCTGAGGGATACACTTTCATGGCAACCATTGTTCCCCAACAGATTTAGTTCCCAATTAAAAAAACTTAAACCGTTAGGCCCGCAGTAATGAGAAGAGAGTGGGACTCACCAGCTGTAGCAAGCTCTCGACAGTAGTGACGGAGGGAGATAGGTATGTGGTGTGTTCAGATGTACCTTAGAGAAAACAAACTTTGCTAAATTGCCACCACGACAACTTGAATACAGTAGGACACAGCATGTGACAAGTAGTGTATAAAACCCACAGTTTGAGAAATGCGTGACTGTCTGATCCTATCATTGCGGCGATTTGCGAGGGAACTGTACATGTTTAGTGGGAATTCTTTACTGAATGTACTGTAGGGTAAACGTTCAGTGAACGAATCACTTACTGAGACCAATTTACTGAGTAGACCAGATAAATAGCATACCATTGGACAGTACACTTAAAACATCATGACTTATAAACAAGTTCACCTTACAAACCTGTTTGTCAAAGCAACACAGCCAAACACTCTCATCTCCTGGTCCCAGAAGCTCTGAATTGAACTGAAACGCTTATTGATTCGGTGATTTGGTGAACGAAATTTTTGAACAAATCTTTTTAGTGAACTGATTCTAGTGATTCAGTACATCTAAAAGAACTGCTGAGCCCATCACTAACTGACACTTACCCCCTCATGCTGGCTTAAGATGTCGAAAATTACAATATAAGAATCACAAATCTTATTTCTGGTGGTCTTGTCAGCTTTTGTAGATCATAGAAAGGCATCAGTATGAATTTCAGTCTATTTCGCAAGTGTCAAATGAGTCCTCACAGGAGCTTTAAAAAGTGGTTTATATCTCTTATTCATTTTGGATCTTTGCTGAGGAAAATGTACCAAAACAAAGCTGTTTCTAAAGCATACTGTCAAATATTATGACAGATATTGCACCCACTCTGCAGCACTGATTTGAAGCAACTAAAACTTCTTTCAAGAAATAATCCATGTTAATTCTGATGGTCCCCTAAACGCAACAAACTGTTTGGGGAAACAAGTTACTCCATGAGTAACCGGTGCTCTAAAGTCCTGAACCACAGAGTCTCTACCTCCTGATTCACTCACTGGTATTGTCTTAATAGAAATGGATTCAGTCGATCAGTCCACCCTAGAACATAATTCTTGGATTTAAGCTCACAGTTTGCTCGACAGGCAAACGCCTAAGCTGCCACAGATGAAGGGACTGTGACGAATCCACCCACAGTCTACAGTACATGTTAGATCTGTCAATAATATTGAATGACAACTATAAGAAAACAGCTATATGAACATGCAAGGATTCATGCTTTGAAGTCACTGACTAAAGAGTCTTGCTGTCCCTTTAATCACAGATTCACACGCACATCTCCTCTGATGAAT